CCGGGTCCATCCCCAGTTCAAGTACGGATGCAGCAGTTTGCTCTTTATTGACTACAACACCACCAACAACAACTCAAACAACCACTACAACACCAACAACTACTACAACACCAACAGCCACTACGACTCCAACAACTACTACAACTCCAACAACTACTACAACTCCAACAACCACTACAACTCCAACAACCACTACGACTCCAACAACCACTACGACACCAACAACTACTACGACTCCATCAACTACTACAACTCCAACCACCACTACAACTCCAACAACCATTACAACTCCAATCACCACTACAACTCAGACAACACCAACAACTCCAACCACCACTACAACTCAGACAACACCAACAACTCAAACCACCACTACAACTCAGACAACTCCGACAACACCGACAACTACTACAACACCGACAACTATTACAACACCGACAACCAATACAACTCCGGAAACCGCTACAACTTCAGAAACGACAACAACTACAGATACCACAAGCGTTGGACCCATATCTCAGTGCCATTGTCGATGTGTACAAGTGCCAACTTCCAATAAAACGATAGAAGAAAAACTAAACGAACTCAAGAAAGAACTTACTATAGATAAGAAAGTAACATCTTCTTACATACGATCACTGACCAGTGCGCCCGATAAACGCGTGAGCGCCACGACTGTGGGAGCATCACTAGGCGCCGGGGTCCTGATAAGTGTGGTGGTTGTTATTGTGCTCGGAGATGCTATCAGCTTGTTTAGGTACAGATGTAATGTGGGTAAAGATACACCGTCAAGAGCATGACTTTTGTCTGTTAGACATCACGAAAAACAGAACCTCAGTCCACTTCATGAGCATGGGAAATGTCTTTTTTTCTTTCGTTCTGTTGATGGTATATTTCCATCTCGTATATGTTGCAACGATACGATATTCCAATCTTTTGTCGTTGTAGTCATGTTATGATCATTATCTTTATTAGCTTAATATTGTAATATTATTCTCATTGGGTTTTTTTTTCATATTGGGATATTTCTCTCTTACTCTTGCCATTGCCATGTTTCTTTCTCCTAGATGTTAACACCAAGTTCCTCTCTCATGGATGTTGCCATGAAGATCCTCTCAAATATATGTCATCTGGTTCCTCTACCATAGATGTTGTCATAAAGTTCCTCTCAAATATATGTTGTCACCTAGTTCCTCTACCATAGATGTTGCCATCTAGTTCCTCTCACATAGATGTTGTCATCTAGTTCCTCTCACATAGATGTTGTCATTTAGTTCCTCTCAAATAGATGTTGTCATCTAGTTCCTCTCACATAGATGTTGTCACCTAGTTCCTCTCACATATATGTTGTCACCTAGTTCCTCTACCATAGATGTTGCCATCTAGTTCCTCTACCATAGATGTTGTCACCTAGTTCCTCTCACATATATGTTGTCATCTAGTTCCTCTCACATAGATGTTGTCATCTAGTTCCTCTCACATAGATGTTGTCATCTAGTTCCTCTACCATAGATGTTGCCATCTAGTTCCTCTCACATAGATGTTGTCATCTAGTTCCTCTCACATAGATGTTGCCATCTAGTTCCTCTCACATAGATGTTGTCACCTAGTTCCTCTTCCATAGATGTTGTCATCTAGTTCCTCTCACATAGATGCTGTCACCTAGTTCCTCTCACATAGATGTTGTCATCTAGTTCCTCTCACATAGATGTTGTCATCTAGTTCCTCTCACATAGATGTTGTCATCTAGTTCCTCTACCATAGATGTTGCCATCTAGTTCCTCTCACATAGATGTTGTCATCTAGTTCCTCTACCATAGATGTTGCCATCTAGTTCCTCTCACATAGATGTTGTCATCTAGTTCCTCTCACATAGATGTTGTCATCTAGTTCCTCTCACATAGATGTTGTCATCTAGTTCCTCTACCATAGATGTTGCCATCTAGTTCCTCTCACATAGATGTTGTCATCTAGTTCCTCTCACATAGATGTTGCCATCTAGTTCCTCTCACATAGATGTTGTCATCTAGTTCCTCTCACATAGATGTTTTTCTCTCTTAGTTGTGATATGATCATTGTATCTCTCGTGTTTATACTTATCTTTCCCGTCGCTAGTTTCTCATCTTACTTTCGTTTGTATCTTTATTACTTGGCATTCATTGTTATCATTTGCCTTTCCTTGCAGTCGTGTAATGTTCCTCTCTCGTTTGCGTTGTAAAGATATTTATCTTGTAGTTTTACAGTTCCTAACTCGGTCGTAACTTGCATATCAAGTTCCTCTCTTGTGGTCGCACATTTTTATTCTGTTTTCAGTTTCCATCTATGTCGCCATGTTCATCTCTCTCAGTCGTTGATTGTTTTTCACACATTGATATTGTAGGCCAGTTTTTGATGTGAAACCTTAACATGGAATCTTAATATGTAGAAAGCTTACAAGTTTGCATATATCAATATCAGTTCCCATTACGAAATTGTTTTTAAGACGAGAATTTCGTATATGCTTTGTATAGCATGTGGCGGTCTCTAACTTGTTGTTATGTGAGGCAACCACCAGTTACTACATGGAGACTGCGCCTCAAAATTACCCCGGTTGCTCAAGGGACGTTACAAAAACCAAAAATTCATTACAATTAAGATTATGTCATGCTGTCTCACAAGTACACAAAATGTGACAATTACCCATTGTGTGATAATGGTGATGTCAAATGTGATACTGCGATGACGAAATGAACTTTAATGATGAAATAGCAAAATATCGCTATTTTTCTGCGTAGTGTTTAATATACAAAGGTGATCGATATACTAGATTAAAGCAAGAGTGAAATAGTTTATTTTGCAGTCCGTCCGTCCGTCCGTCAGTCCGTCCGTCCCATAATCATCGCTCTACCAGCTTCACAAATTGAGGATTTTTTTTATCTATACTCACACAATTTTAAAACATTTAGAAATGAAAAAGTTTTAAGGTTGTTAGTTTAAGGTCAAGGTCACTAACTTTTTTTAGAAAATCATTGTCAGCGCTCTATGCTACTTAAATAGATTCTCATCGAACTTGACATGAGAGGTTCGACATTTAGTATGTCTCTGAGGAAACTCGACATGAAAGGACTCTATTTAGAAACAGCAATTAAACGGTGGAAAGCGGCACCTACACCTATGTGACAGTCTTGTGACTTGTTGGCGCAGTCGGAATGGAGGGCGAGACAGTTGTCCATGACTGCAGCATATCGAGAACCGTGCATATTTCTACACCGACGTCGTCATCTGATATGGCGGCTATCACGTCAGTGATTTAAGGAATGCTGACCAGTATGTAAATTCTTCTTCAGACTGTTCTTTAACAGACGATATTGGCCCTCATACCTACGAAAGCTGATTGATAAGCTGTGAGCTTTACTTATATATATATTGACATATTGTATAATTTTTCAACATAATCTACTTCAGTATCTATACATTTTTGTCAGCGATGTTAAAGTATCTCCATGCCTCTTTTAAAGAAGTTTTCTTTTTGACCGTCCAGAAAATCTTCCGCTGCATGTATGGCCGAAAGAGGGTACCGGAAATTACCTTTTTTCAATTTGGAAATAGCTGAAAATCTGATGAAGCGAGAAAATGCGAATAAGGCGGATACTCAATCAATTCAGAGCCACAATCGTTGATGATAGACTTGTGAACAGGGGCATTGATCTGGTGGAATAGTTTCACCCCGATCGTTGTTTTATGTATAGGTAACTAAAAAATAATAACATTCACAAAACAAAACTAGGATATCATTCTGAAGTGCCAAAAATGACTGTTGAATTCAAACACAGTAAACTTATTAAAAGTTACGTAACCTTATGTTGATTGTTATGGAAAGCAATCTCATTAAATAAAAAAAATGGTTGAATAAATTTGAAGCAGGCGGCAAAGCCATTCCATACAACACAAAGAAATGACATTCCATATTGCATAAGGGAAATTACAGCTTCTTTTTTCGAGTATGGTGTTCTAATAAAGAATTCACAAACCAGTAATTATAGTTGAACTAATTTATTTATGAAACGTCACTGATATGGAATATGTACAAATAAATGTAAGTCGAGAGAAATGATACACACATTCGATCATAATTTTTAAGGTATACTTTCCGTTGTCGTGACAACGTCAAACGACGACTTCGTAATCTAAGAAAAACAATGTTTATATCTACGCATGACCATATTTCTACTTCAGAGATATATATATAAATATACAATGAGGTTGATCATGATTCATAACATATGCACTAGTTGGTATTTCAAATATTTTAGTTGATAAGTATATTGATATATCATAAGAATATGTCCTTGTTTTTGTAAACTGTAAAGCTTGTGTTTTTAATCTTTTGTTTGAAAATTGAAGTTGTGACAGGTTCTATGAATATTTTAATGAAAAAAGTCTTTTTAACTATTTTAATCCATCTTGTTATACTAGTGCGGTGGTCGGGACGTAGATTCATCAATCTCGTTACTATCTGATCGTCTTGATATATCTAAGAATTAGCTATATGTATTTGATTCACACAGTATCATATACACCGTAGGTATACCTCAAGGTCACAATTACAGCATTACGACTGAAATGCCTCAGAAAGAATTTAAGCTCAAAATCCACAGTCGTCAATGTTATAATAGAGGGTATTCTGCAAAATTGACGAGATGACAAGACAGGTGATATACGAGTTCAAGTTCTTAAGGGGAACATAAGATTTTCGATCTCTTTATCGCAATCATTCTAGAGCTGTGTTTACATAAACAATATCCGGTTGGCACCCGTCAACAGTTCGGTGTGATAGAAATACACCATCACCGATAAGGTTAGCTAGGGGATTACCTTAACTAGGGCGAAACATCGCGCCACATTTATAAGCAAATAAGAACCGATCATGCTGACCTGAGTAATCGGACCATCTCACGTTCCAGACATCAGACCATATAAATATATTGAAAATCTGTTCGAGTCTCAAACCGGCCTGCAAGATGAATACTTTGGCCATTTTGCTTGTTGTTGCTACCTTCTCTGCCATAAACGCTGTTAATACATACAAAGATTGTGGTAAGTCTTTATCTTCATAAACAACATTCTTTATCTTATTTTTTCAAATAATGAACTCAAGATTCCAAAAAAAGACGTTTTTATTACATTTTTGCCAGTGAAATATATGAATTTGTCAATTCAGACATTTAATTCCACATTCTTTATGATGTGAAGGTTGAATGAACTGGATTTTCGACAAACATCGTCAACATTTCGGGTTTTCACTTATTTGGTATCTAAAATAGTTTTGTGATGCGTATCTGATAACAGCATAACATGGTAGAGCATCTCGTAGGTATTGGTATTTCAGCTGTTCGTGTACTCATATGACAGGATATACTGACACTTTTCACTCTTGCTTTGCACCCGTGAAAAATCTAGATATTCTGTCACGAAAGCATTGACCATTTGCTATTATTTGGAAATTTAGGGATTTTTATATTGGCGTGTTGCTAGTATGGATAACAATTTAAATGGTGATTTGTACCTTCTCAAGCAACCAGCTGGAAGAGTAGAAGAAATTAAAAACTAAGGCGAAATATGAACAAAAGAGATATCTACACGGACTCTCACGAAGAAGTACAACGAGAATAAGACCAGGTTATGTGTAATAATTGAGTATGTTCCTCATGTAGTCTTGACTTTTACTGGACGTGCATATTTCTTACCATGCAATTCTTCCTGAGTAATGATTCCTGTTGCATAAATACCAGGACTGTAATCACCATTCAATAGTTTGGCTCAGGTAATTTCAACATAATCAAAATTCGTTGTTTTCCACAATGGAATAGCTGAATAAGAAAATGTGAACGAGCAAGAAATTTGAATTGTTTTCATTCATAAATTTTACATCGTGCGGTGTTGATAAATACGAAGCATTTCAATTCTTTTAAATTGCTATTTCATTTTGACAACAGACGTACTATATAAAAAATCACTCCAGGAATATATATATAATATCAGAGATATTTTCTGGTTGAATGAAGACTGCGCATTTTTCGTAATGTAAACTATGGTATCAAATCAGGGTTATATTATCATTGTGAAACTGTTTACTCAAGAAGCGGAATTAGTGGTATGCGATTTTTTTTAAATAAACTCTAAAGAGTTTTTCATCAATCTTTACTACTCTATTCTAGAAATATTTCTTTTTTTAGATTTTTGCGATCTATACACTATCATACTTAATTCCAAACTGGACGGACATATTTGTTTTCTTGTTACAATAGCTTTCTTTTCAAAGAAAAGTAATATAAATATATAGTTGTTAACTATACTAAAGCGAATCTAAATCAAAAGAGAAATAAAACAGAGGAAGATGAAAGGAAGAAAATAATCTGGTTCACAGTATCTTGGTCGAGTTTGGCGGTATGGCTCTTTTTGACAGTCTTGTTTTTTATTTACGTACAAAGCTAAATTTATGTAAGATTAACAATGACCTTGCGAAGTCCTTCAGTTTTACTTTTATATATATCACTGACGTCTTTAAATAATAAGAAATTTATTTGCTATGGCCGTTGTACATACCCTCCAGAATCGGAAATCAAGGAAAGGGTAGTCTCTTCTACCTCATCCGCTTACCTCAATCTTTTCCTAAAACGAAATAACCAAGGATAGTTTTGTACCAAGCTTTATGATAACCCCGACGATTTCCAATCCTATATTGTAAATTTAGTGTCTATTTCTGAAGTTATGGTTTTCACATACATGTTGCAGTTGATCGATATTCATGTACTTGTTTTCAATAGCACGGCAGATAAACTCACAACACACGGCTTCAAAACGTATGGGTTGATAAAAACGATGGTAAAGTTTCACCGTCGACATATTAATCTCATTTGGAAATTATTTACCTAAATTCTTTTTCCTTCTGAGATATGAAGTTGGACATGTTTGAAGCTCATTAGTTTGCCTGTTGATTCTAATGTTGTTTACCCCGAGTGCTCTTTTGGGAGCATGACATTACTTACTCCATTTGACAAGGTTTACATTGAGTGTCGTCGATGAAACAGAAGATGCTTACTCTTCCCGAACTCGTGGTCTCATTCTTCTTGTACTTTTCAAGACTCTCCGTGTAGATCTTTCACTTTTTCATATTTTGCAATCCTGCTTTTCTAAAATTTGAAATTGAATTGTGATTATTCTGAGAAATTGATATTTGTGTATTATTTTACACACACACCCTCACACAAACACCCTCACACACACACACACACACACACACATACATACATACATACATACATGTAATATAAACTCGTTTCCGTGTCATTTCAGGATCAACGTCAGGTCGAATAACTAGGATAACGGTAAACCCATGTCCACAGGAGCCATGCGTCTTGATCCGGGGGACGAATGTGTCAGTAGAGGTTGAATTTACGTCAAGTAAGTAAAGTAAGCTCTAGAACAGGGGTCACTAACAACTAACTTCAAGTCAAGTTAGTCGACCGGGTCCAAAACAGATGTCGCCAAAGAATTACTTCAAGTCAAGTAAGTATACAGGGTCCAAAACAGATGTCGCCAAAGAATTACTTCAAGTCAAGTAAGTATACAGGGTCCAAAACAGATGTCGCCAAAGAATTACTTCAAGTCAAGTAAGTAGACCGGGTCCAAAACAGATGTCGCCAAAGAATTACTTCAAGTCAAGTTAGTCGACCGGGTCCAAAACAGATGTCGCCAAAGAATTACTTCAAGTCAAGTAAGTATACAGGGTCCAAAACAGATGTCGCCAAAGAATTACTTCAAGTCAAGTAAGTATACAAGGTCCAAAACAGATGTCGCCAAAGAATTACTTCAAGTCAAGTAAGTAGACCGGGTCCAAAACAGATGTCGCCAAAGAATTACTTCAGATCGCTTTAATATGGCAACTTCCGAAAAGGCTGTCGCTAAAGAATGTTCGCAGTAGACAAAGACATTATCAGTGCCTTTAAAAAATTGTAAGTGCCACTGCCGTGATGAATGTAAACACATGACACAGAGCGATATCAATGCACATTTATTGAGCAATATTAGTAGCACTGAGTTAGAAATATGGCTTGGACAATCTATCAAAGGTTAAGTCCAAGGTTATAGTGTCAGCATTTTAAGGCGCAAAAGAATTCCCAACCTAATATGTATCTATTATGCAACTATGGCGGCACTAGGCCAAATGATAAAGGAAGAATTATCTTAAAAGATACATCGAGTTTGTATTCTTATGATCGGGGTCAAAGGAAGAACCACACACTAGGCGACATGCTGCCATCAAAAGGTGGTAATATTTCAAATGATATAGGAAATGTCACTCCAACACGGTTTTGCATATTGCCCTGACGGAAGGAGATAGTGCAAATATAAAGCCCAATTTCTAGGCAGGGAAGTTAGGCAAGCTCACGTATGTCACTGAAACTAAACATAACGACATAGAGTTTTTTCAAAGCAATTAAGACATGTTGTGAAAGGTAGACTTACCAGTATGCCAAGAATTTCAAAAATTGTGGCTAACGTTGTCCTTAACATCAGTTAAGTAGGCCAAGGCCTCCAAGAGGTGTTGTGTGGAAATCCAAAATCTATTGCTCTAAACAAATGTGGAAATGGTAAAGAAAAATATCATTTTGAAGCCTTAATTGCTCATTAAAAGACAGTTAAAATATTTCCTGCGAGTTATAATTATTTCTAATACTAGAAATTTCATTTATTTTACAGATGTGCCAACAAATAATGTCACAACGTCTGTTCACGGAATCATTGGTGCAATTCCTGTACCATTCATGACATCAAATAGTTGCGCAAATAATAATGTGGTCTGTCCAATTACCGCCAATTCCAACAATATCTACAGAAACTACATCCCTGTACTAAAACTTTACCCTTCAGTAAGTATCCGTTCAGTAACAACTTTAAATTCTAAACCGCGTCTACCCACGCGTATGTATAAATCATACCCTCACACATGTCTACACACGGCTATGTATCAATCTTACCTCTCACATGTCTACACACGGCTATATATCAATCTTACCCTCTCACATGTCTACACACGGCTATGTATCAATCTTACCTCTCACATGTCTACACACGGCTATGTATCAATCTTACCTCTCACATGTCTACACACGGCTATGTATCAATCTTACCCCCTCACATGTCTACACATGGCTATGTATCAGTCATACCCTCTCACATGTCTACACACGGCTATGTATCAATCATACCCCTCACATGTCTATCCACGGCTATGTATCAGTCTTACCTCTCACATGTCTACACACGGCTATGTATCAATCTTACCTCTCACATGTCTACACACGGCTATATATCAATCTTACCCTCTCACATGTCTACACACGGCTATGTATCAATCTTACCTCTCACATGTCTACACACGGCTATGTATCAATCTTACCTCTCACATGTCTACACACGGCTATGTATCAGTCATACCCTCTCACATGTCTACACATGGCTATGTATCAATCATACCCTCACATGTCTACACATGGCTATGTATCAGTCATACCCTCTCACATGTCTACACACGGCTATGTATCAATCATACCTCTCACATGTCTACACACGGCTATGTATCAATCATACCTCTCACATGTCTACACACGGCTATGTATCAATCATACCCTCACATGTCTACACAAGGCTATGTATCAGTCATACCCTCTCACATGTCTACACACGGCTATGTATCAGTCTTACCTCTCACATGTCTACACACGGCTATGTATCAATCATACCTCTCACATGTCTACACACGGCTATGTATCAATCATACCCTCACATGTCTACACATGGCTATGTATCAGTCATACCCTCTCACATGTCTACACACGGCTATGTATCAGTCTTACCTCTCACATGTCTACACACGGCTATGTATCAATCATACCTCTCACATGTCTACACACGGCTATGTATCAATCATACCCTCACATGTCTACACATGGCTATGTATCAGTCATACCCTCTCACATGTCTACACACGGCTATGTATCAATCATACCTCTCACATGTCTACACATGGCTATGTATCAATCATACCCTCACATGTCTACACACGGCTATGTATCAATCTTACCCCACACGGCTCACATGTCTACACACGGCTATGTATCAATCATACCTCTCACATGTCTACACACGGCTATGTATCAATCATACCCTCTCACATGTCTACACATGGCTATGTATCAGTCATACCCTCTCACATGTCTACACACGGCTATGTATCAATCATACCTCTCACATGTCTACACATGGCTATGTATCAATCATACCCTCACATGTCTACACACGGCTATGTATCAATCTTACCCCCTCACATGTCTACACACGGCTATGTATCAATCATACCCTCTCACATGTCTACACACGGCTATGTATCAGTCATACCCTCTCACATGTCTACACACGGCTATGTATCAATCTTACCCTCTCACATGTCTACACATGGCTATATATCAATCATACCCTCTCACATGTCTACACATGGCTATGTATCAATCTTAACTCTCACATGTCTACACACGGCTATGTATCAATCTTACCCCCTCACATGTCTACACACGGCTATGTATCAATCATACCCCCTCACATGTCTACACACGGCTATGTATCAATCATACCCTCACACATGTCTACACATGGCTATGTATCAATCTTACCCCCTCATATGTCTACACATGGCTATGTATCAATCATACCCTCTCACATGTCTACACACTGCTACGTATCAAACATACCTCCTCACATGTCTACACATGGCTATGTATCAATCTTACCTCCTCACATGTCTACACACGGCTATGTATCAATTCTACCCTCTCACATGTCTACACATGGCTATGTATCGATCATACCCTCTCACATGTCTACACACTGCTATGTATCAAACATACCTCCTCACATGTCTACACATGGCTATGTATCAATCTTACCTCCTCACATGTCTACACACGGCTATGTATCAATTCTACCCTCTCACATGTCTACACATGGCTATGTATCAGTCATACCCTCTCACATGTCAACACATGGCTATGTATCACTCTTACCCTCTCACATGTCTACACATGGCTATGTATCAATCTTACCCCCTCACATGTCTACACACGGCTATGTATCAATCATACCCTCTCACATGTCTACACACGGCTATGTATCAATCTTACCTCTCACATGTCTACACACGGCTATGTATCAATCTTACCCTCTCACATGTCTGCACATGGCTATGTATCAGTCATACCCCCTCACATGTCTACACATGGCTATGTATCAATCTTACCCTTTCACATGTCTACACACGGCTATGTATCAATCTTACCCTCTCACATGTCTACACTAGGCTATATATCAATCATACCCTCTCACATGTCTACACATGGCTATGTATCAATCATACCTCCTCACATGTCTAGACATGGCTATGTATCAATCTTACCCTCTCGCATGTCTACACATGGCTGAGTATCAATCTTACCCTCACACATGTCAACACATGGCCGAGTATCAATCATACCCGCATCACAAAATTTACGTTTCCCTGTTACATTTCTATCCATGGATAAATCTCCGTTATTTATATCGAAGGTTAACTCAATGAGGACATGCAAACACCATAACATTGGAAAACAAATATATTATTGTCTAGACTATACAACAGAGAATATGAATACAATTGTGTACAGAGTAAGAAGTGATTCAGGTGAAAGTTCATAGGAAATGTATTTTATCAGCTCTTATAACAAGAATGAAAGTTAAACAATTTGGAGAAATGGTTTTGAGTACAGCTTTAGAATTTTTTATAGCATTGTATGTGTTCTGGAACGATTCGCGAACCTGTGTACTGAAACCGTAATCTAATAGTTATCTGGAAACAAATCTCGTATTGGTATATCTTAACAAGAAGATTCTGAAAGTGTCATAACATCTATAATTGGATTACTTCATTACATATACAATGTACATTATTTAAATGCTTCCTATGATAAATATACCTTGGCACTTGTACTGTTTTGTAGACAGAGGCTACTGGTATTTAATTAATTCAAACTTATCTTTTAGCTAACACTCATTGTAAAATGGGAGTTAAAGGATGATCAAGGAAACGATTTGGTTTGTTTCGTTCTGCCTGCAAGTATAGCCGACTCCTACCCAGGAGCAATCGGATAATTACGTCCATCGACCATGTAAAATGTGCTGAAAGACTGGACACTAAAAGACAACAATCCAAACACTCCGTATATCTATGTTTGTTTTATACACATAAAGCTTGTTAATAAATGGATTTCATGATGTATACATCCGAAACAGTTTCCGAGTTTTTGTTACTACGGATCCTTATCGCATTGTTGCAGTATTTTAGTGCAACTTATGCTCAATTCTTTTGCTTTAAATAAGTTTAGAATACATCAGTTCCCTTATCAATCAAATTTGAAATACATGTACTGTTAAAACGGAACAAAAAGTATGAACTACAAATCGTCTGAAATTGAAAATGGAGACTTTGTAACAACTGAAATATTTCTTATTGATGATATTAATTTCGAATTTATCTTTATAATTATTTCTACAAAATAGCAATTGGTCTAACATGACAGGAACATTTGTTTAAATATCACAAATATGTACAGGTATGTTCACTCACCGTTATATAGATGTGAAATGAATCGGTTTTACTGAATATCACTTCAGCTTCGTTGAACAGTCAACCTACAAGCTTCGTTCATTCAGCATGGCGTGGACTGAATTGCAGTGTCAACTACTTCTTGCACCATCCGCCGTCAAGTATTCAGGATGCTTTTCAGTCTCGTGTAATTGATTAAGAAAAGTGAATCTTGTAATGTCTTTTCTTATTATATCAAACAATTATTAAACCATTTCGGATAAATAACATTAAAATTCAACATTGTTGAAGGAACTTTTTTTTTTGCTACCTTTGTAGAAAAGACGATTGTTTCGACCATAGCAAAAACTGTACTCTTTCTGGGGAAAATGTTCTTTCTACGACGTCACATTACGTAAAGTTAAACAAATGTGCATATTTCAATAATTGTGCAATTTTTGCGCTAAAATTTTAATATGTCCTTATGTTGATAATAAATAATACATGTACAATGATTTTTATTTTTTTTTTTTTTGTCATTGATACGAGACGTTAGCAATTCATATGTACAGATATCGATTTTCTCGTTTTTTTCCAACTTTGGCCGTTAAAAAATTAACGTGACCCTGTTTTTATCATTTTGATGTTTCGCGAGTTCTCTATGTTGAAAGTCACCCCCTCGTTCATGATTACTCAACCTTTCACAGAAAGAGGGCTAAAGTATTTAACCTTCACAATGTTTTTATTTATGCTGATAAATAGTCATTATTTTAACGTCAACATATGAATAGATGAAAACAATATATAGGTTATGTACAATTGTAATTACCACTACAACACTACCGAATCATATAGTTTACAAGATGTTCTTCTAGAAACTCAAACCAGTGTATATAAATATTTATAAGATACCACTGCGTCGACATTAACCAAACATAATGGTGAATATACAGTATATAACTGTAACCAAAACTTGGAGTGCAGCTAAATTTGAACCATGTTCTTGAAACAACTATTTTAAAACACATAACATTGCAATAAGTTTGTGTTAAACAAGAACAGACATATGTATATAAGCAGAGGGATATACTACGGTGTGTCATTGTAAACAGGTTAATCAAAGAATTTTAGGAATTACTTTAATTGTCAACAAATTAATTTAATCAAATTCATTTTAAAAAATTAGATTTAATTATTTTAATTAAAATGTTCGGAGAGATGAATTCATTCCCAACTATTTATTTGTCAAAACAAATCTTACGAACAAGACAACTGAACTTTAAGACATAACTAACTATTGAAATCTATGTTTAAGCAGAACGAAATCCTGACGACATCTTTGTCCACCAACATTAAATTATCTTTATTTTGACTTTTAAAGTTTGACTTCTTTTCACTTCTTTGTTTTCGCTCTTTACTATTTGAAAATATCTCCAAAGAAATAGTGAAGACAATCTTTCATTGTTCATGCAGAGATCGTCACCTGTCGATCACTTTGCTTTCTTTTCTTATCAGTACCAAAATCGAAAGACTACAACAAGAAATATCAATACCAAACTTTCATTGTCAAAATCCAAAATGCCACCTGTCAGCCACTTTAGTTATCCGGTTAACCCCGAAATCAAAAGGACATAACTAGGGACCAGGAGGAACCATTTTGTGAAATCCGAGAAGCATTCACTCAGCACTTCAGAGGAAATAGCGATTACAAATCTTCACAATCAAAATCCAAGATGGCCGTCTGTCGGCAATTTCGTTTTCCCACAATCAAAGGAGTAAAAGAAGGCGCTAAGGAAAACCTACATGTGAAATCTTAGAGAGATATATTCAATATCTACAAAGAAATATCGATAACAAACTTTTATTATTAAAATTCAAAATGGCCCGCTTGTCACCATTTTGTTTTTTTCTGATCAGTCCCAAATAAACGGCACAACTATGGACCAAGGAGAAAGATCCATCCAGTACTTCTCAAATAAAAATAACAATATTCAATACTCAAAATTCAAGATGACCGCCTAATAATTATTCTGTTTCTCGGAACAACCCCAAAATCAAAAGGGTTAAACAAGGGACTAATGGGAGCCTATTAATGAAATCTGAGAATGAGTCATCCAACATTTCCTAAGAAATAACGATAAGAAACTTCCGAAGTTCAAATCCAATATGGCCGCTTGTCAACCATTTTGTTTACCTAATCAGTCTCAAAATCAAATGGGCACAAGAAGGTACCAAAGGAAACATGCGTAAGAAATCTGGGGAAGATACAGTCAGTGTTTTACTGTAAGAAACCAAAATGGCATCATATCGACTTTTCTTTTAGTCGCAAAATAGACAAAGCTCAGCTAGTGACCATGAGGACACTACAAATGAAATATGGTAAAGGTCTGTCGAGTATTTCAGAATCTCAAGATACAGCGATAGTAAGAATCGTTTAAGGACAGACGGACAGACCAAGAGTGATTTAAATATCTAATGATGGTAATAAAACTCGTTTGCTGTTGGTAAAGTTTGATAAGTTAGGAAATGATGGAGAGCTTAGGCAATGACTGTCTGAACAAAATAGTTTATGAATGAACAACATCGCAGAGTTACAACGTCTGCAACACTCTAAAAGTGTACAACCATATCATTGAAATCCAATTAATTCGACTAAGTATGATTTCCCCCAAAATTCATTACTTAGCCGTAAGGTGAAGTTGAATTCATCATTCAACTCTACTACATCTTATTCTAAATCTGTATTGATAAGGTACACTATACTATAGTCTGTGTCAGTGCTGCACTTAAAATGAATGTTGTACAGTACACTGTATATAAGATCGTGTGATTTTTACAATAAAGTGGATGTAAGTTTACGTATTCAGATTTCAGTGTTGAGTACAAAGAGTTCATTAATGATCAAGTCCTTTCCTCTACCAACAACAAACATCAAGTTACTAAGGCACTGGTACTCTACTGATACGGGATCGATTTTAGAAACGAAACCAATGAATAACCTACCTAAACACTGCCGAGTAAGTACACTCAGGTTCACTTTTAAATTCGATTCAACAGTGTTCGATTCATCCGTGTTTAATTTACTAAATTTTACTGTACTGGTTGTGTTTTCAATGCTTACATTGTATGTTACAAAATCCTTTTCTAAGTGTATTGTAAAAAAACACATAAGTAAATAAACCTTTCAACATTTTTGAGATCAAATACAGTAGTGCCGAATAATGAAGTCAACGGTATCACTCAGCTGATTCTTCTGTCTAGGACTCGTCAGTGATGCTATATCATAAAGCTGACTCGTCTGTCTAGGACTCGTCACTGATGCTGTATCATAAGGCTGATTCGTCTGTCTAGGACTCGTCAGTGATGCTGTATCATAAAGCTGATTCGTCTGTCTAGGACTCGTCAGTGATGCTGTATCATAAAGCTGATTCGTCTGTCTAGGACTCGTCAGTGACTCTGTATCATAAAGCTGATTCGTCTGTCTAGGACTCGTCACTGATGCTGTATCATAAAGCTGATTCGTCTGTCTAGGACTCGTCAGTGATGCTGTATCATAAAGCTGATTCGTCTGTCTAGGACTCGTCACTGATGCTGTATCATAAAGCTGATTCGTCTGTCTAGGACTCGTCAGTGATGCTGTATCATAAAGCTGATTCGTCTGTCTAGGACTCGTCAGTGATGCTGTAACATAAAGCTGATTCGTCTGCCTAGGACTCGTCACTGATGCTGTATCATAAAGCTGATTCGTCTGTCTAGGACTCGTCACTGATGCTGTAACATAAAGCTGATTCGTCTGTCTAGGACTCGTCAGTGATGCTGTATCATAAAGCTGATTCGTCTGTCTAGGACTCGTCATTGAGCTGTATCATAAAGCTGATTCGTCTGTCTAGGACTCGTCAGTGATGATGTAACATAAAGCTGATTCGTCTGTCTAGGACTCGTCAGTGATTCTGTATCACATAGCTGATTCGTCTGTCTAGGACTCGTCATTGATGCTGTAACATAAAGCTGATTCGTCTGTCTAGGGCTCGTCACTGATGCTGTATCATAAAGCTGGTTCGTCTGTTTAGTACTTGTCATTGATGCTGTATTACTCAGCTGATTCGTCTGTCTAGGACTCGTCAGTGATGCTAAGGGCATATTGTGTTGAAATCTAGGAAGCGACAGCAGCAAATCAAAATTGAAAAAAAAGAGTCAAAAATGAAACCAGATCGGGATGTAAACAAGCCTTATAATCCATCACTAGTGACGCTGATCGATACTGTCTTGTGATCCGTATCATTTATATATCCTCACATTTTGCATTCTAATGCATTTTAATGCACGAGTTTATTTACTGAAAAATATCACCCAGAAAATAACAAAGGTTGCCCGTTTCTCACGAACGATATCAAGAATAATGAGTGAAAATAGATATTGTCTTGTAAGCATATTCCGACGCCAGTAGTGGTAAAAGGAGTGCAGGACATATTTATTTTGGCTGTTCAATTACATTCTACATTAGAACTTTTCAAAAATCGTCACTTGATCAAAAACTAAAGTTTCAGATTCTTTTTAGTGTTACCATCATATATCTTTAGGTACATTTACAATAAGCTGTCTTTTCTAACAAGAGAGATTATCAAATGAAACTTACTGCAGTAAGTTAATGGACCTACCATCTATCTGATATTCTTACAGCTAGTAAGTTAAATGATCTACCATCTATCTGATAGTCTTACAGCAGTAAGTTAATGGATCTACCATCTATCTGATATTCTTACAGCTAGTAAGTTAATGGACCTACCATCTATCTGATATTCTTACAGCTGGTAAGTTAATTGATCTACCATCTATCTGATATTCTTACAGCTAGTAAGTTAATTGATCTACCATCTATCTGATATTCTTACAGCTAGTAAGTTAAATGATCTACCGTCTATCTGATATTCTTACAGCTAGTAAGTTAATTGATCTACCGTCTATCTGATAGTCTTACAGCTAGTAAGTTAATTGATCTACCGTCTATCTGATAGTCTTACAGCTAGTAAGTTAATTGATCTACCGTCTATCTGATAGTCTTACAGCTAGTAAGTTAATTGATCTACCGTCTATCTGATAGTCTTACAGCTAGTAAGTTAATGGACCTACCGTCTATCTGATAGTCTTACAGCTAGTAAGTTAATTGATCTACCATCTATCTGATATTCTTACAGCTAGTAAGTTAATTGATCTACCATCTATCTGATAGTCTTACAGCTAGTAAGTTAATTGATCAGCTAGTAAGTTAATTGATCTACCGTCTATCTGATAGTCTTACAGCTAGTAAGTTAATTGATCTACCGTCTATCTGATAGTCTTACAGCTAGTAAGTTAATTGATCTACCGTCTATCTGATAGTCTTACAGCTAGTAAGTTAATTGATCTACCGTCTATCTGATATTCTTACAGCTAGTAAGTTAATTGATCTACCGTCTATCAGCTGATAATTGATTACAGCTAGTAAGTTAATTGATCTACCATCTATCTGATATTCTTACAGCTAGTAAGTTAAATGATCTACCGTCTATCTGATATTCTTACAGCTAGTAAGTTAATTGATCTACCATCTATCTGATATTCTTACAGCTAGTAAGTTAATTGATCTACCGTCTATCTGATATTCTAACAGCTAGTAAGTTAATGGACCTACCATCTATCTGATAGTCTTACAGCTAGTAAGTTAATTGATCTACCGTCTATCTGATATTCTTACAGCTAGTAAGTTAATTGATCTACCGTCTATCTGATATTCTTACAGCTAGTAAGTTAATTGATCTACCGTCTATCTGATATTCTTACAGCTAGTAAGTTAAATGATCTACCGTCTATCTGATATTCTTACAGCCAACTTTTCAAACTGATCTTGAAAGACTGTGGATATCAATAGAACGTAAAGTAACATTAAATGATTACACAATTTAACAGCTCTTATAATTTTACTGATACGTGTATCTTATGATACTACCAGTCTATTTGTAAATTATAAGTCAATATCACGGAGAAGTAGGAGTCTACCGACTCGCCCTCCACAACAGATATAGTAACAAGGTTGATATTATGTTAGATAATATTCTATTAAAGGTTCAGAAATCTATTTCTAGAGCTATATTCGGCATCCTTAACATATAACACAGGATAAGAAATCTCAATACCAGGCTCCTCTCGAACCAAACTCCTAGTCTGCACTGAGTGAATAACTGCAAGATTAAACGCGAAATGGAAATTTAAACATTCAGCTTTAGTTATATAATAATTGACGGTATGTTACAAATTAAATCATGCTAAGAGATATTTTATGAGATTTGATATTTCATCAAGTCATAGAGAACACTTTTTTCTATCAGTCTACTGTTTGTTAGGGTGTGGTAATTAGTATGCTAAGTGTTTTATCAGATGTAAATCACCTTATTGAATTCCCACTCTTTGCCTATAACTTTTAGGTCTTGCACAAAGGTACGCATTTCGTAATTTGCACACAAGAGCGTGTTTTGGCGTACAGTTTAAAGACAATATGGCGTTTTAAAAATCGCATCAAACGTAGATGGGAGAGTAATTAAATAGGAAAAAAAAATAGAATTCTGTAACTCTCTTACAGTGAAATAATAGTGAAAACGCAGATATTTTAGTCGAACAATTTCAAATGGCAAGTTTTCTTTATCTTCAGAATTGTTCTCAGGAAGTTTTCAAAAATAAAACACATCTAAAAAAGATTTTAAATTTTTTTAAAAAAGAAAACATGAGTTTAATAGTGCATCTTATAAAGTCGAGATTTCAATTAATTAGTTTGCATTCCAACAATTAACAATAGATGATATTGCCAGAGCGTACAGTTAATAATAGTTAGTATCAGTAGGGAATTACTGAGTTTTCTCATTATATAACTTATAAAAGAATAGGGGTTTATTTCGTTTCCTCAGATAGGAAAAAGATTTAAAACTAGCTTCATACCCTAATAAGTCATACAAAGATTCAATACAGTATACGATGGATGTCCGGCTATTTGCGGGAAGTCAAAATATATTCCCTGTTGTGCTTTCTCTCAGAATCACATTCTAAGACTGGTAAAAGGGAGTGTAACGGCTTAGCATAAATGTTATCCTGCTGGAAACAAGTAATATAAAATGTGAAAAGGAATGATTTATCTTTTTTTTTTAATTTACTTTTTTTTCATTATTATTATTCATTCTCTCTACTGATAAATCACTAAAGTGTTGTTGTCGTTTGTTGACCACCATACGTGTGAGTTATCTTTGGTCAATAATATAATCTGAGACGTGGGTAAATTTAGAGAATAATCTCGTAACACAAGGAGGCTACAGGAAACAAACACTCTAAAATCTAGATAATGTCATTTATCTGATAAAATAGTTCATCTTGCTGATAATAAAGAAAACAGCAAAACAGTTAAACATATTAAAAATACAATTATAATTCATCGATAGTAAATTGTATAAAGATACTGCATTGAAATTATATGTGGAATTACGAGATACCGGTTAGTTTTCGTAGAACATGATAAATCAAAACGTAAACATTGAATTCACAAACTGGTTGTGAAAAATCCTTAATATCATCAGTCATGTGCGACAGATATATTATTCGTGTTAAGGAATTTAACGATATCTACAATATATTATCATGTTTGGGGGGAAAAACAATTCAAGTTGCGTCACTGAACCGGATGTGAACACTCCGAAAAGGTCGTGCGCGATTTAGTGTCCGCTTCGACAAAAGACAGTACCATGGGTTAAGAAGTAGGTCGGCCGGGGCACCCATATATATATAGACGATGGAGGCGACTTGAGGACTATATCCTACGCAGCTGACACCAACAATATGTCTCTCACAGTACTAACTTGTACGGTCATTGCCGTTACCGTCTTGGCCATCTGTACCGCAAAACCAATCAACTTTAAAACGTGTGGTAAGCTTTCATTTTTTTTCCCTTTTCGCTGTTCCGACCCAAATCGTTGTGCTATGCATAGAAGAAAATGCTTACGCAATATACATTTCGGTGGTTTGTCAAGTAAAATTCTGTATTGTATTGAGAATATAGTGTTACCATTTTTTGATAATGTTTATACATACTTTGACTGATAAATTTTAAGAACAATCCAACAAACACGACGTACCGAAAGACATAATAAAAACAATGTTCTATTTTCGTATGACGTTGCTGCCGGAAGTGCATGTCGGTGGAGGGGTTATAGCGTACATGTACCGTTGTAAATAAGCCAACACTCACAGATATTGTGATATCATCTACCACTGTGTTATTTTAATAATTGTTTACGTCTACGAAAACCTGTCTAAGAAGATCCTTTATTTTTTCATGTTAATTTAGCCTATAACGAGATGTTATTCAAAATACAACACACTGCCTGCAGTACACTGTACAGCTTCAGAACATTATATCAGCACATATATAATATTTCAGATAAATAACGAATGCGAATTTATCGGTATCTTTCTTAAATGAACGGTTAACACGATATATTTGCAAATACACGTATTTCCTTTCTGCTTTTATTATTTTTTTTATAATTAATACGGTCCATAATATATACATTTACCTGACGTTGTTTTTACAAATGTATGGGGCAAGTGCATCTTCAATGTAGCTTTTTACAGTTTTTTCGATCTCTTTTTATTTTTCTCATTCACCTCTTGGGATTTAAAATCAGGGTCCTTATCATCACAGACAAGTCCTAGAAGTACGAAATAGTTGCATGACGCTGTTTTCTTCATTATCTCATTCATCTCTATCTAGTTTGTATTGAAAGGTATAATTTAATCGTGTGTCTATTGTACAATCTTCATACATATATCTCTACAGAGTTTACGAAATTTTTGTTAAAACAACAAAAAGCAACGACAGCACGTTTGCAGTAAAAGATAAAGCTTGTATTGACAACATGAAATGTAATTGACAATGGCTAAAACGAGTGTATTTACTTGTCGACACGTTTCTCACTAGCCGCAGTGTTATAGCACTGACAACTTTGTTACAAGATGTTGACTAGATCGGAGAGGAGGAGATCGGAGATCGGGTAGATTTATATAAATACTAGTTTCTAGCAAAACAAACGTGACCTGGGGTGAAGTTAAAATATTGGTTGTTCAGTGTATATTGCATATTCCATGAATTATCATTTAACAAATCGAATGCACTCCTCCTCTTCGTTTCACAAATGAGGTTAGACACTTGCATATGTTTATCGAGCAGTAGATATATTGAAATGTTGATGTTTTGTCTAAAGCTCCTTCCTACAAAATATTTGTACCCTTTCTCTTGTTACATCAGAAAATGCCCCGAAAACTATTGACAGTGTAGACATCAGCCCGTGTTCTAAACAGCCATGCGAATTCAAGCACGGAATGAACGTCACGGTCACGGTCAACTTTACAGCACGTAAGTTTTACCTGCAAAAGTGTACAATGACCACCAACTCATTTGAGTTAAGTCACCACACATAGGAGTTGTATGTTAATAAACTCTACTTTTCTGTGAATATTTGTCGTGTTACAAGATTTCCTAAAATACAATATGTCAATAAAGTATTCTAGTATTACTGCCAAATGGTTTTCTCACTCACCAGGAACAGAAATATATGTTTATTAATGTCTTTACCCAATTATTACAACTTATACTGTTTAAGGAGTTAAAATGCCGCATGCTCTTTGGTATTTCCCCTGAAAAAATGTTCTAACATTACCAGTAGGCAATGATCCACCTTATGGAATTATCAATCTATTAAAGAAGTCAATCGAGAGGAGCTAGGTATTAATCACTATGTGCATGCGTGCGTGCGCACATCGCGATAACACGTGTATAAGACATTTCATGAACCCCAAAAAATTGGTTCATATTCAGCTCATATCGCTATACCACCAAGGTTCCTACCTGATTCGATATTGGTGGTCAAGTTTAAAGGTCAAAGTCACCTGTCAAGAGTCACCTTTGACCACTTTGAATATGAAAAGCTTGTGTAAAAGATTTATCGTGAACCTATGAACAGATCTCAAATAATCGACCACATACCTCCTCTCCAGCGATGGAGGTATACTTATGTGAACACCTGATCATTTTGTTTTTTTGTAAAAGAAAAACATTAAACAAATATTACAAAAACATATTCCGTTGAGTGTTTATCATTTTGCTCGAAGATGCAAAACATTTTACCTATATCAGAAAAGATAGTTTTACTTCCGTATTTAAAACATTTCCCCGTGTTTTGTTGACCTTTTCATTTTGTCTTACTTTAGCTGCCGTCTCTTCAAAGCTTACATCAGAAATATATGGAATAGTGGCGGGAATACCAATCAAATTTGCAATGCCGAACTCAAACGGATGTTTAAAGTCCGGCCTACAGTGTCCCATCAATAGCTCAACAAAATATTCCTACGTCCAGTTCTTCGCCGTCATTCCTACATATCCACTGGTAAGGTTAACAAACACGACACGTTGGCCTCCAACATGCTGTTTTAATTACATGGATTTGAATCAGTTTCACCCTAACCAGAAACTCAACGGTCCATATATGTAGCATGTAAAGAGTTCAGAGTTCGTCCCAGGTCCCTGTGGTTTAATCAATAAAATGTCTGTGGATTCAAATGTTTTGGATTTATATTGGTTTAACTGATAAATAATTTGATTAATCAGTTCAATGTATTTTAATATTCTTTCTTCAAAAGTTCATATTTTTACACTGCTTAAGTCGAAAATCACAAGTGTTAAATTCGACAATGTGATTTTATTTTCAACTGGATTTCGCTTTTTTCCATTTCAGATTAGTTTAAACGTACAGTGGGATTTAAAGGATGAAAACGGGAAATATGAATTCTGTTTCGTGTTCCCGATGATGATCGTGAGCTAACCCGATATTGCCAGTGCCTTCTAACATCGTACATGTCGCACGACAAAGCCACTCGTGCACCCGTTATCGACTCTGAATACGTCTATTTTCATCCTTGTATTTGTCTTCATTAAATATTTTCCTATTTAATCAAGGATTTTTTATTCTTTCCAAAATAAACTATTTACAATAACTCATTCATATGTACCATATTAAAAATATATGTATTATAATTCGACTATACACTGGGTGCAACGATCTGAGAACAGATATGTTGTGTGAAGTTTTGGTTCTGTGTCATGCAAGATGAAGTTTGGCCTATGACATTATAAGACGCTGGAGATTTCACATTTTCTGCTATTAAAAAAGAATATTATTTACTTTTCAGTATTCAATTTTTTCGAAATATCTGACAGAGATTGCAATTTTCATTTTGCCTGAAGAACTTCACCGGCACTAACAGCTTGTTATATAGCCAGATGTATCAGTATGTAGGACAGAAAATGACTTGATGACCAACCGTTTGTTTCTTTGTTTACACACATAGGATTTTTTTTCATTTTTATGCTAAGAGCATTTTCAATGCTCTTCAGCATGTTGCTATCGCCCCTGAGGCTGAGTATCAAGTACTTCGTTTTCATTGGTTCATAAATCGAAAGTTTACTCCTACTCCATCTGCCGGACATTACCGTAATCATTGGATTATCGCCCCTACAAGTTGCTGATGCTAGTCATTAAATGAAACAACCTTATCGACATTTTCTTCATTACCTGTACATCAAGAAAATGTTTTGTGTTGTGTATTAATGATAATCAGACATCGAAATTTGTAAATACAATGACAAAGACTCACGTTTATGGTGGTAAATTTTGCGAGGCGATGCCAATATGGCGGCTTAACTTTCTTTTCCGCGCGATGCATTGTGGGAGTCATATACATTTGTATATCTTTCTATTTTTCTTTTTTCGAAAATTTACTTCCCGTTTAATACTGTTGATAACTATTAAAAATACTTATATATGTAGTTGAAAATAAAAATGAAACTAAAATAAGAATGATTTAGAGTAGCATAAAATTTTGACGGAAACAGCCGGGGTGCTCTGTGCTGCTGGACCCTGAAAGAAGACGGCGGCTGAAAGAAGATGGCGGGTAATTCATGTAGGTAAGTATCACTATATATATATATATATGTTAGCTGAATTTGAAGTCAATACTTATACTGAACTATCAATTGCATTTTTTGCAACAATTCATTTGGAATGAGCCTTCGCGTCTAGTGAATTTAGGCTGCACTTTTTTTTCAAAATATTTTCAAGACTTTTCCCTTGAAGCAGTATGCATTTGAAAAATGTGATGTAAGCATCTAGCACATTTTTGTTGCTTCCGTAAAGTATTTCAGTATTTTGGAATGGATTTATTTTGGAATGATCGTTTCATAATGGTCTCATCGCAGTCACTTCTGTCAGTGGCCCAACAGATCGGAAATTAACCAGAAAAAAAAACTTATCCGTAATATTGTACTGTACTACTTACGCTACCGTGAATAGATCTAGGAATCTGTCTGGGTAATATATCGATTTTACTTTAAAATATCTGTCACTGTCCGCGCTATTGTAGGTCTAGCTCTTTCAAATTTCTGATCGGAGATAATTTATAAGTACCCCAACGGCCCAAGGCCAGAGTATGAAATCGTACGGGAACTCTACAGCTATGCTAATTTTAAGGTTTACATGTGAAGTTAATATATATAGTTTTAGCTTAATTTTAGTTTTTGTCTTTCTGACATGATGTCTCGTTGATTCTGTTGAAGAGTGATGCATGTGAACGATTACAATATGAAGATTAGGAATAATGAAGATGTCAATTAACATCTGATTCCCGGAAAGTATTTTAATAAAGATTAGGATAAACCTAGCAAAGTGTTAGGTCCCAGTGTGAATGTGTAAAGTTCCAGTGTGAATGTGTAAAGTCCCAGTGTGAATGTGTAAAGTATTATTGGTACAATTGAACTTTTTGATATATGTACTGTATTTGTTCATCTCAGAAATTTCAGTATTATGTCAACTGCGTCCACTTTCAGTTCAACACTTTTGATTCATCAATTTTACCCAGCCCTAGGCTCAATATTTGTCATTAATTGTCGACTGTTTTTTAGAGTTTTGTTTTCATGGTGAATGGAATGAAATGAGATAAATAGTCTAACCAATACCCCTCGAGAGCTAATTAAGACATTGCAGTATTATCATTTTGGGCCTTATTAAAAGTCAAATTGCAACTTTTAAGAAACTCAAGTGACTGTAAGTACAACAATAAGATGTCAATAATCAATGAAATTGATTAATTGAGAAGACATTTTCTTAGTACAGTTAACCAGGCTTTGTAGTGGTTTGTTCAGAACTGTAGTTCTGGTTAAGTAACCATTAATTGTGTCCTTTCAGTTACAATGACATACATTTTTGAAATACCTCTACTGTAGCTAAATATGGCATTTGTAATAGACAGCCAACATTAATTTTGTGATAGACATAGCCAAATTTAATTTTAGGATCAGTTAGGACAGCTACTGTTTGTAACAGGCATGGGTTCAATTACATGATGACGTAATTAATGAAATTACAATTACATTATGAAAATGGCATTGCCATTGCATGACGGTCCAATGTAATTAATTAAATTACACATTACCTTTCAAGTCATAATGATTTTTGAAATACAAACGTCAAAATAAATTATCATACTGCACAGATTTATCTCATGAATTTAACTTTATGATTCAATCTCTGTATGACCATGGTCAAGATATTCTTATTTTCTAGCTGTCCATCACTTCATAATTTGACAGTCCTGAATGTCAAAATAATTAATTATATTTAATATAGACTCCTATTGGGAAGTTCAAGACTATAAGCTTATACAGAAGTGTATATTTCTTGCACATAATCATAGCAATAAAGAAATATAGTTATTTATTTCCCTTACTCTCTTTCAGCAGGTGGATGTCCCTGAAGAAATGAAATCTGGAATGGTAGAAGGTATCTCTTGATTCTTCTAACTTGGAATTGGCCATTGTGACCAACAATGGATTTGAGGACCTTATGGTGGAGAAAAACGTCCTTCTTTCCGACCTCCAATTAGATGTTGAAGATGGTTAATCACTTGAGGATATGCTAACAACCATGTTGCCTTTTAAGGTCACAGTACTCTCTAAAGGCGGCAATATATTTACCATCACAAAAGAAGAATCAACAAATGGCAGAAACTAAACAAATGTGGAAAAGATCATTGTATGCTGCATTTGTAGTAAATTTCTTTACAATCTTCAATTTACTTAAGTAGAAAGATTCACTAGTTATACCAAGTTTATGTAGAAAGGCTCACTGTATACTGAGTTTGTAGTGTACATAGAAAGGTTTACTTATTTTTTTTTTCTGAGTTATGTATATACAATATATATAAAAACTTTTTGTAGAAAAGATCACCGCATACTGAGTTTGTTGTTTACAAATGTGTAGAAAAGATCGCTGTATACCGAGTTTATAGTTTACAATTGTCTAGAAAAATCACTGTATACTGAACATAATACGACTTCTGTTTAAAACCTTCATTTAAACTTAGACATGTATTTTTTTTTATTTATCTTAAAAGTCTACCTACAACAATTTTGTGTATGCAATCTTGTACTAGGATATTTACATGACAAGATTACATTGCTGATCAAAGCATGGAAAGAATACTGAATAAAGAAAACAAGATATAAGCATCTTTATCATGTTTTTATTTTTATTATTATCATTATTATTTTTCCATGATGTCTGTCCACATGGAATTTGTAAGCACTCTTGTGCATTCTTATACCACCAAAAGGGTGGGTAAATCGAATCAAGTTGTCTATCTGTCCATCCATCTGTTTGTCTGTCTGTAGACACATCTTGTCTAGACAACTCCAATGAAACTACAGTAATATTCGGGACAATGTGTAGATGTGCATGCACCATTTTCCCCTGGAAATATTGATTGCCATGGCATCTGGTCAATATAGACAGGTTTTGCATGTCGGTCAACTTCTAAACCTGTGGACCAATTTCAACAAAACTTCGCAGGAATATTAGGGAACATGTGCACATGCCGCTGTGTTTCAGAGGATGTTTTTTTGCAAAAGGTCACCATGGGGAGATAACTAAGGCTGTGGGTGATGGGGGTATTAGCTATTTGGATTACAGTTTCAGTTATCCCTGGGCAATGTGGAGAGGATATAGTAATGATTTTGAGGATTGAATGTAGAGGTCACAGTACTTGCATAAGTACTATATGATTACCTTGTAAACGCATTGAGACCAAGACAGTTAGTATACCTTAATCAAATTTGGAACATGTATCCCTTGTGAGGAGAAGTCGGTTTCTTTAGAAATTCAGGGTCAGATATCAAAGATCAAGGTCACAGTCAAAAAACGGATAGTTGCATGGGGGTGTTTTTCCATTGTATTACCCTCGTTTTTCTATCAAATTTCACAACCTAAAAGATATTCACATCTTGTAAATTTCAAGGTTCAAGGTCACTGTAAGGATGTTAAAAAAAATGATAATACAAGAGGAATAAAATATCTTGTGACAAGTTTTAGAGAACAAAGAATATATAAACATGAAAAATTGGAACAAAGTCAATATCTACTTGAAGATTCCCAGAAAAAGTACAAGGAGAATAAGACCAGGTTTTCTGGAAGAATAGGCATCTTCTATTTTAAGTTATGGTGACAAGTCATGTTTGTTTTAGAAAATTGGCACTCTTATGCAGTCTTTTACAAACAATCTGGAAAATGAAGCTGTCCAATATTTGTATGTAGCATGTTATTTGCATGATGGTCTAACTAATGGTCTTAAACCAATAGGATACACAGTCTTTAAAGTGATAATATGGTGTCCATGATCAACATTCCCTACAATGTATCCAAAGAAATGGACAACTTCCCTATCATTGCATCTTGGAGCCTACTTGGGACATGTATTACATAAGTAATACTACTATGCTTGTTATTTCTGATATCTGCTGGTCATTTTTTATGGGCTGCAATGATTTATTGATTGCATATAGTTGGTTTCAGTATATAGCAAGCTAATAACAAAGAATTTATTTTTTAATGGTCTTAGCATACCAGTACTTTCAGTACTTTGATTAAATTTTGTTCACCCCCACATAATGATTAAGTTCCAATAATTCTATATCCATACTACAAAAACACCTAATATTAAACTCGTATGTCCATCTCCGCTATGTTGTATTGTATGTGTAAAAAACGACGTTAGCACAAATACCTTAGAATCACTACGGAGATGACATGTTCTAAAAAATACAACATGATGGTAGACCTTGAAGGACAAATGTTACGACTAAAAACTACCTGATAAAGCTGAACTTGCCTGGTATAACACTAATACAAATACATATTGTATCGTGTCTTTTATTGTCAGTATAGAACCCCTGCATTCTGTCACTATACAACCATAGATATCTAAACAGCTGTTTCATACCTACAACAATTCATCAGTAAATTTCATGTAACACAAATACGTGAAACACGGCCAATTAGATCATCATTTAGACTAGTGCTGTTAGTTTATGAAAATAGGTACGGTCCTAACTATCTTACCTTTTCTACAGAGACCCGACATTTAACCTTTCTAGTTTCATATCGAGTAAGCACACTCGTCCAGAGTCACATGTTAAACGAAAGAGGCACTGGGTGTGGAAAGGTTAGTTATTTGTGACAAGAAGATCAGATGTTTGAAAGTTATATAGAAAGCAGACAGATAGATGGTCTCCTTGTGTTTTTTGCAACTTTGAATGATACATCCTCTCACATTCCCAAAATATTTTATCTATTTTGATTAATGATGAACATGTGTACGTGAATAAAATGAGACTAAACAGAGTTATCACCCTTCCCTTTAAGTCAAGTCAGTAATTATACGAGAAACGCGAGACAGAATTCTAAAATAAAACCATGTAACATTGAACATCTGCAAAAATATAACTTGGATACATCACTTTTTAGCGTTGATCTTCGTGGAGTGGAACGACGAATCAGAATTTCATTGCCTGTCGTCATCTCGGGAGAAACGCCCACCAGTGATATACGTCATGAGAAAAACTTGTTATCTCGAAGTTTATAAGACCGATGAGAAGTTTATTCCTTGGAAATATATACGATTTGTATGACTTATTGGATGTGCGTGGTAACGATGGCTTGTTGGACGGGCGCACATGATATATGGGCAAGAATTAGCTAATGTAACCCTAAGTATGACATTGCAAGAAAAAAACAAAAATATTCATAAGCCTACAAATTTTGTTTGACGTATAACTGTAAATGGGGGTTTCTATGTGTAACAAAAAAATCATTTTGAAACTTACTTCAGTTAAGAACAAAGAAAATTAATGAATTTAGAGCATGTAACATAGACACTATTCCCAAACTGAGATTGATGGTTCTTTGACTTGTTTAAAGTTTAGTATTATGTTTGTTTATCTCAAAACATTGTCCATCATCTCGACTTAAAAAATTGCATTTTTCAAATTTATCATGTATTTCAGAAATTCTATGAAAACAGGTTTCCTCTTATTGTTCTGTCAATGTTACATGCAATTATTAAGAGATAAATATGATCAGAATTATGTTCTTGGTAAACAAGAAAAGTCATTTTTTTATTGTGTTACTGTCGTATAAATAAAATTCTATCAATATTTTTGCAACCTCCTCATTTCAGTAATAAAGTAGTTACACATATGTTGCATGTAACATGGACACAAAAAATATGAATCATAAAGCATGCCAGAAATACTATTAAAACATATAAAAGCCCCCCAATACACTATCTGTATGTAAATTATAATTATACTCCCACATATCTCAAATATGATATCGTTTAAGTAGTCGCATGTAGCATTGACACCAAAAACGTGCAACTATTTATTTTCGGGTCAAGGATACGTACGGAATTCGTTCCCACCAAAAAATCGCTATCGTGAGGTCAAACCTGTTTCAAATACCAGATCTACTCTTTTTTTCTTTTCTTTTTTTTTTTTTTTTTAGAAAAATACAAAGAAAAAATCACCCAACATTATCAAAGATCATATTTTACTCCGAATGTGTGCGTAACACTTCGTTACGTGATCAAAATTACCAGATTCCGTGGTCTCCTCGAGTTCCTCTACACCGATAGACGCTATTTTGGAAAAATGCATAGTCATGTGTTAACGTTACTGGGAGCGGGTCGAAATATCGCAAAAAAACATTATCGTTACGCGATCTGTTACAGAAATGCAACTGTTCCAAAGAGAGGGGTATTTTAGGGTAGTTTGGACAAGAAAATTAATTATATTTTACTACCTGATATATTTTCTGAACTCCAGTTGATTGATGAAAATTACGACAGTCATATCGTACCTTGTGTTGACACTTTGTAAATTTGCAAATGCCGTGTCGACGATGCGTTTCCAAACAAATTTACTGAGGGAAACGTGCACGTAACGTTTGTTGACGCGAAAAGTTACGTACATTGATCTATTTTCAATCCTATTTTTTCAGCATTAATCACATCCTGTACAAAACAACCGTTTTTATGGATAGACCGATCATTTTGCAGCTGATTAACAACTTTTACAGCACCACAATTCTTCAGGCATTTAATAAATACGACTCGGAGTTTCACTACTGCAGAAATATCACACTTTTTGCCTATAATTTATCCACTGGCGGTGTGTAACTTGTGCTGCATCCTTGTTATTTAATCAATTACATCAATTTGTTTCATCACATGACGATAAAAATAAACCAACTTTAATATCTAAACAATGTTTATTCTCCATTCTTGCATGATTTTGTTTGTTTTTTAGTGGATAAACTACTTTGACACTAAAATTTCATTAGCGAATTCTTGCCCATATATTACTTATTCAACGGGCGTACATGGTAACTATGACTTACTTGATGGGCGTACATGGTAAATATGACTTATTCAACGGGCGTACATGGTAAATATGACTTACTGGATTGGCGTACATGGTAACTATGACTTACTTGATGGGCGTACATGGTAACTATGACTTATTGGACGGGCGTACATGGTAACTATGACTTATTGGATGGGCGTACATGGTAACTATGACTTATTGGACGGGCGTACATGGTAACTATGACTTACTGGATGGGCGTACATGGTAAATATGACTTATTGGACGGGCGCACATGGTAAATATGACTTATTGGACGGGCGCACATGGTAAATATGACTTATTGGACGGGCGCACATGGTAAATATGACTTATTGGACGGGCGCACATGGTAACTATGACTTATTGGACGGGCGTACATGGTAACTATGACTTACTGGATGGGCATACCTGGTAAATATGACTTATTGGACGTGCGCACATGGTAACTATGACTTATTGGACGTGCGCACATGGTAACTATGACTTACTGGACGGGCGTACATGGTAAATATGACTTATTGGACGGGCGCACATGGTAAATATGACTTATTGGACGGGCGCACATGGTAAATATGACTTATTGGACTGGCGCACATGGTAACTATGACTTACTGGATGGGCGTACATGGTAACTATGGCTTACTATTAGGTAGGACTTTTTCTGAAAAGTTTGTATTCGCCTATGTTCAGATATCTTTTATTTAAATCTTTTTATTTTTTATAAAAAATTATACATTACACCATAACATTTCACTGATATCAGACTCACTACATTTAAGACTATAGAATATTTACAGGCCCATTGTACATTGTATGTTGATGACGAACTAATATACAGAGATTATTATATAACAATTTTGATATCACAGCCCTTATCACTTCCAATTGGGGTTTTCATATTACTTCAGGGTGTGTGATATCAGCCCGGGTGATATCACGCCCCTTTAAGTGATATCACATCCCCTTCAAAGTAACATCGCAGCCTTAGGAAGTGACATGACACTCCCTCTCAAATGGTTATATTTTGCCACTTCCGTTTATCGCTCTCTGATTTGAACATGAATATTGTTGGTGCCTGGAAGAAATGCATCCTTTTTTTCTAACTGGAAATAATTCAGAATTCCACTCTAATTTCCCGATTGGTGTACGTTTTAAGCGACGTAAACAGCTAAGCATGGCAACTAGGACTAATGATTGCAAGGCAATTTTAGAAGAACACGGGGAAGAATTGTCGTGTTGGATGAGTTAAATATATGAACATTTTGATATCACACCCCCTAATCAGTCCTCGAGTCCTGATATCAGGATTCTCGGACTGATAAGGGGTGTGATAGCAAATTGGTCATAAGATAACATCAAATTATCATAACTACTACTGTAAATCAGGGCGCTAAATCTGCTTCTTGTTGTAGTTGATCATTGTAAACTATTACAAATGTGTTTAAAAAATATATTGTATTATGATTTTTCCTGTTTATAAACGGAGAAATAAACGGTTAGCAATGGAATGTCTATAGAAGAACTTTGTCTACTGTCTGTGTTTGTCGGTTAGAACGGCGGCAGAAAAATATTCCTGGGGGAAAATATTTGTTTAATCAAATGAACACGGTGTAAACGTTTTGTATGTCATTTTTTCATTTCTTTTAAAAACATTTTTTGGTATTACCATGATGTGGAAGACGCTGACCCTACCGGAACATCTGGACTTTTTCTCCTTATTCTTTTCCAAGTGTAAGACTTTCTTTAATTGATAATTTCATAGTTCATCGAATTTAAGTTGTTTGAATTAAGATTCTGTTTACTGGTTATTATTTTCCCTGTAGTATTTTTATCAGGATGGTAGTTAAAATAATTTGATTCTACATACATTACATCTTGTATTTCAGCGTTATAGTTGCCTTTGATATTTCATCGTCTATTGAGTTTTTAAAACATATGGAGCTGAACTTTTAAGGCATCTTTACTCGGCTTCCTCGCTCATTGAAAAGAGTCTTCTCAAGGTTTAAAAATTGCTTTGATTTGTTTGTTTTGTTTTTGAATCGAAACCGAGTTCCCACACCCAAAAACATATAATTAAATCGAACTTAGAATATTAAAATCATTAAGCAATATGCACGCTTACATTCATACGGTGGTGGAACATCATTTACACATGATATATATATATGATTAAAGGGAAATAATTCATACCTTTTAACAAAACATTTCCAACGATACAGTACACGTAATGAAAGCTCCAGATGGGTTCCGAATTCTTTAATCACGTGATTAGCTGCAGCCATGATGGTGGGTGTGCATTGATGTTTCCTGATTGTGGCTATGTAAATAGTAAATTAATTCTCTGATTTATATTCTAATACGTGTGTTTCCTTTTTTTCTAGGACGGTTTGGATGACGGACCCGACCTTTTGGAAGGGGACCAGGAAAATAAGGTAAATATTTGAATATTGCTTGTTTGACATTCTCTGAAGTTCCAAAACAGTTGGTGACTTCACCAAATATTACCTGTACGGCGGTGAGTCAACTTAGCATTGTCCACATTACATTTCACAAACAAATATGGCAAACGACAGCTGAACATTTTAAACGTTACACGTTCGACTTTTTGTGTAATTTTAGATTCCATATTGCATTCAACACAGTGCTTAAGTGTGAAATTCAATTTCTGTTTAATGTCTTCCATTAGGAAAGGGGGTGGGGACAGGGTGTATTCTTTTAATTTGGACCTAATTGTATTACAGCAAATACTCACCTGATAGTACTTGTAAAGGCATCAGAGTATCAACACTGATTATTAATATAATATTTATGTTTGTATAAGGAATTTTAAAAGATTGTGGGCAAAAGTGTCGAGTTATGTGCAAATTAATAAACATTTCCATAATCTGGCCTGGAATGCAGTGTAATATGGTCAGGGTTGGTTATTGCCTGTTCTGTGATATTTAAGTAATATAGCATTATAAAAGGTAGGTAAGATACCATTGGAAGCATGGTTCCATCCAACAAACAACATGCACACACTAATATTTCCCAATAAAACCCAGCCACTCTCCCATTTGAGGAAGAATGTCAAAATACACTGCTTGTTCAAGGTGGACACTGAATTGATTGTAACACTATGAACTTGTGTCAGCAAATATTAATAAATGTAAGATAAATGACAAATTAATTTCAGTAATTGAGGTACAATTCTGATGAAAATATTCAACATATACTGATAGTTGCGTGTTATTGAAAGAAATCAGCCGGGCTGTGTGATTTTTTTTGACAAACTGGTATACAATAACTAAAGACAGGTCCAAGGGTGCACAAAATAATTTGTTGGAAAAATTTTTTAAATGGCTCGTAAAGCAAACTTGTTCAAGAAGAGGATTTTTTTAAAACAATGTATCTTTAACTATGATAAACTGCTAGAACTGGCATACATGTCTTTTGCATGTTAAAATTAGTTATCATGATAATTGCAATGGAGGTAACTTTGGGGGAACACTAAACAATCAGGCTTTTCGGTACATGTCACCAATCTTAACATTTTCAAATATTTGTTACATGTCTCCGAATGTAGCAGGAAATATTTCTGTAAATGGAGATTAAAACTGATGAACTCTTTAAGAATTATTGAAAACAAGGAATATGTGTATTACATTAAGAGATGCATTACTTCGACAATTACAAAGTTCCACAGCTTGTAACCATAAAGGGGATCTATAATCATATATTTGTAATAAATTCGTGCTCTGAAGATCATTGTTAGTGTGATTTATTACTTTTTATGTTTCAGCCAAGATCTGAGACAGTAGATTTGTCAACAGACACATCCCTGCAAGTTGATATTTCGGATGCTTTAAGTGAAAGAGACAAAGTCAAGTTTACTGTTCACACTAAGGTAAGAAACACTTGTACAGTTGTCTTTTTTGTCTGATTCAACTACCTGATCATATGCTGTGATTAATGTGGAATGTTATGCAGAAGCAAGAGAATACCCTCATGTCAACAAAATAATGATAATAACAATAATAAACTTTATTTATTGAGGATATAAAACATGTTTAGCCAACGGCTAATCTTCCACATGGTCCTCTGGTTAGTAAAAATAATGTTAGTTAAAATCTACTAAGTTACATACATGAATCAAGTTTAAACTACAAACTTCATATTAAAGAACTATAGAATTTAAACTAAAAAAAAAAAAAATATCACAGACATTAATTAAAATTATCACAGAATGCACAATTACTCATGCAAAACTATTTTGATCAATTAAATGGCTGGTGCCTAATTAATGATATGAAACTTAGATAAAATAAGTGCTAATTATGAATGAAGGAAATATTTACAAATAGTCCTTGAAAAATTACAAGGAGGTTAAGTGTCTTTTGCTTCAGCAACAACACCGCCCAAGTCAAGATGTGAATGTAGGTCAAACCAAGCAACATCCAGTTTTCAATGTAAAAACCAAGTTGCAAAGAACTTAACCACCTGCTAAAAAATCATATTTTCCTTTTTATTTCCAACATGTATAGGTTAGTTGAGAAACTGAAATTGATTTTCCTTATTTTAACACTTTGTACCACCTTCTGAAATCACTTTATTTATATGTTTTAGTGGTGTCCAACAAATCCTGATCAGTGACTATCATCTCTGCTAAAGATTTGTGTCTCCTACTATGTAATGCTACAAGTCTGAACATTATGATGTGTGTGTTGTTGAGAAAATTTTGAAGTACAGGCCTTTTCCTTTTACTATTTGTAGTGTTAAGGGAATTGCAAATGGTAGAACATTAACTATCTTATGTCTTTGTTTTTTAGACTTCTTTACAGAAGTTCAAAGAAGGAGAGTTTTCTGTGGTTCGGCAGCACGAAGAGTTCATTTGGTTACATGATCGCTATGTGGAGAATGAAGAATATGCAGGTGTCATTGTAAGTGTCTTATGATTTAGTGAGAAAAGCCAGGTCGTGATGCAAGCTTTTGTTAAATGCTGTAATTATAGAGTTTTTATAAAGTAAAACAGGTATTGTCAAACTTTCATAATTTAATTTTTTTTTTTTTTTTGATAAGTTATGATTAAAAAGGAAAATGGGGTGTGTTTTTACATTATGCAGTTATAAACCAAGGCTTCTTTGGGTTTAAGATTTTTCTCAAGATAGAATATGGTACATACCGTAAGAAATTTGCTCAAAAACATTTCAAATGTGTTTTTATTTAAATCTAGATGACATGCCTAATTCAAAAACCTGCATACAATACATCAGATGGTTTTGAAGCTGTAATAAGCATAATGATACTCCATATATAGAAACACTCTCTGAATATTTCAGAATATATATGCAAGGTTTGAATGAAATTTCATGTTAACATGCACCCAATACAAAGATAGCATGGATTTCCAGAAGATTTTGTAATCAGTCATAAAAAATCTTTTAGCATTTTATAAAATGATCATTGAGTATTTGTGTATTTAGTAGTGAATGCAGGAGAATATATTTACATGCTACTGACTAGTTATTGGTTTCAGTTACAGATGGCGCATGATAGCACAAGATTTGTGTGTAATGGTACCATAACACTGATTACACATCATTAGATTGTAGTACTGCTGGTGTGTAGCTCATGTGTAATACTATCACACATATAGACTTCAGTGATACATGTGAGGCTAGAGTCGGAGTGACAAGACATATAACAGATATCATTGTGCTAAACTAATAATTAATTTACATGAGAATTAATTAAAATTTGTGTGTTTTTAATCCTCCAGATACCCCCCGCACCGCCACGACCTGACTTTGATGCATCAAGGGAAAAGCTACAGCGACTGGGAGAAGGGGAGGGGACGATGACCAAGGAAGAATTCACCAAGATGAAACAAGAATTAGAGGCGTGAGTGTTTCATTTAGTAGACTGTAGAAGGGAAAGATAGAGGTTACATTACTAATAGTTCTATTTGATTAAAAAATAAAAGGGTTGATGAAGCTTTAGATACTTATACTTTTAAACAATTCTTACGTTTATCTATATACAATGTTATGTTTCAGTGAATATCTTGCTACATTCAAGAAAACCGTTGCCATGCATGAAGTGTTTCTCCAACGAATTGCTGGTCATCCCTTACTAAGGACTGATGTCAACTTTGAAGTTTTTTTAGAATATGATCAAGATGTATGTTTGTTTCTCATAGCAACATATTCGCATTTTATTGGACAGAATTTATTTTCACACACTTTATGATAGAACAAGCTGTGAAATTTGACCTTCATAAAGCCAGATGTCATAAAAGACAACATGCTATTCCTTAACTTTGTTGGAGAAGGTTATTTCTTCATTGAATGTATAGCATATAGGGTAATAGTAATGTGTGTATAAATTGACTATTTCCTAAAAAGAATCAATGCCTGATTAAAAAGTGTTTAAATAATTAATATTTTATGTGTATCAGTGTGCGTTTTCCTACATTTATTTATTGCTTGCAGTTAAGTGTTAGAGGAAAGAATAAAAAGGAGAGAATCGGAGGTTTCTTTAAAGGTCTTACCAAAACAGCTGATGAGGTGTTACTGTCATCACAAAAGGTAAGAAATGTTTGATATTTATAGATCAAGAACAGATTGCATATGTGTAGTTTATAGAAAGTATCCTTTTAAAATAAAATGGCGTCCTTTTGCTTAGTTTGAATTGTGTTCCGGAAACTTACTGGGGTCCATTTTGATTTCTATGCTTAAACAGGCTGTTGGGATGACTTTGGTGCAAACTTATCACTGATCAGATTTAGCAATGTAACAATGATGATGAGATGGGGTCTTTCTTGCTATAAAGTTTTGTGTAATGATTACAGTAAAATGCATAATGTTATCTGTCTATTAAGCACATAGAAAATCCCTGTTATCCTTGGCCATGGATTTTATGGTCACACAAGATAAAATCTCATTTGTAGTTGTGATCAATCATATTGTAAGTTTAAAATTTTGTTTGTAAACAGGATGTTGATGACTTTTTTGAAAAAGAAAAAGGCTTTTTGGTAGAATACCATGTTAAAATAAAGGATGCTACAATGAAGTCGGATAAGATGACACGAGCACACAAAGGTAAGCAGAAGTGAAACTTCAATCTTGTTTCTGAGTTATTCAACAGTAACAGTGAACATTTTTTCACATACTGACAGTGAAATACAAGATATGACATACCACTTAGGTATTCCGTCTGTGTTTGAAAGTGATTAATAATATTGACGTGAAATCTCATATCAGGTTTGATTGACTTTCAGCTGTAGCAGATAATTACATTCAGGTTTCCTCAGGGTTTGTACAGATGGCCACTATAGAGAATACTGAACTTGACAAGTAAGTAGCCAGTATGTGACTATTCTAGCATGTGGAGCACTATTCAGACCACATGCATTTCATTTCCAAAATTTATATTTAACATCTTGATTTATTTTATATCATCCTTTTGGTCAAATGTATTTGATTTTATGTACAAGTTATATTTATAGAAACAACATAACAAGTAATGAAATTGGCAATGATGTAGCTGATGTCTTTGCTCGTTAAGAGTTCTCTGTAACCTGTTGATGGTTGCAAACCTTCCTTGGACTGAACCACTCCAAAATTGTATACATATAAATAAAACTTATTATTACTGTATATAAGTCTTGCTATACGCATACAATGTATTAACTTCTTAAGAAATTAATAAAAAAAATTTGGGTTATTTTATTTTTCTTTGCAGAGTGTTTACAAAAGTAGCGGAGACGTTAGAAAAAGCTAGAGTAAGTTTTTCTTGTTGGTTGTAACCAAAACTTTTAACAATATACATGTCTGCAGAGACACGATTGAAAATTACCATAATATATATATAATGGTCCAATCAGTTTGATGGAAATCTCGCATCTAATTCACAGTATCATGGAAACAGTTTATCAGAATCTAAGCTATTTATTGTCCATGTTTTTGCTCAGACAGATTGCTTAACGAATGGAATTGGCTCTGGACAGCTGATACGTGTCAGTTATACACAAAACAAATAGTTAATTGATGTTCAGACTTGTATTCACCATTATTTAACCTCCTATGGACTACTTGAAAATACCTCTACCAAACTAAAGGTACAAAAGAAATAAGCAGCAGGGCTATTATACACAGAAAAGGAAATAGATAACAGAAAATGTTGTTATTTTTCACGTAGAAATTAGAGGGTCGTGTGTCATCGGATGAAGACTTGAAGTTAAGTGACACCCTGCGCTACTACATGAGAGATTCTGCTGCTGCCAAGGACCTCTTGTACAGACGCACGCGATCACTAGCCGACTATGAGTCTGCCAACAAAGCCTTAGAAAAAGCTAGAACTAAAAACAAGGAAGTGGCACAGGTAATTGGAGTGAATGTGCGAGAAATGTCACACTAAAGGCTAATGTGATTGTTCTTAGAAAGGAAACTGCTTGTGCCTTATTTGAATTTACAGTTGATACTAGTAAAAGTTAAGTTTTCTTTTTTTGTGATGTTTCAGGCTGAAAAACACCAAACACAATGTTGTGAGAAATTTGAAAAGATATCAGACGTTGCCAAAAAAGGTGAGCTCAGTTTAAACTCCTCAACCATGTTTACCTGGTCAAGAATGAAGTTGGAATGAAATTTGTGATTCTAAATTAACTCCCTCATCATACCGTTGTAATGTCCTTTTGGTGTTAGTGATATAAGAGTACTCTGGTTTTTAAGTGGCTTTTGGGTACTTTTCATACAGGCAAGAAATTTCATATCTGTCAATATTACAGACTTGTCATGATATCATTGTAAACATAATTTGTGAAGGCCAGTTTTCTTCTTTTCCAGAATTAACAGAATTCAAGGGACGTAGGATACAGTACTTCCGGAAGAACTTGGTAGACTTAGTAGAACTAGAACTAAAGCATGCCAAGGTAGGTACAGGCATGAAGGTGTAAAACTGACCTATACAAGGTAGGTACAGACATGTAGGTGTAAAACTGACCTATACAAGGTAGGTACAGACATGTAGGTGTAAAACTGACCTATACAAGGTAGGTACAGACATGTAAGTGTAAAACTGACCTATACAAGGAAGGTACAGACATGTAGGTGTAAAACTGACCTATACAAGGTAAGTATGGACATGTAGGTGTAGAACTGACCTATACAAGGTAGGTACAGACATGTAGGTGTAAAACTGACCTATACAAGGTAGGTACAGACATGTAGGTGTAAAACTGACCTATACAATGTAGGTACAGACATGTAGGTGTAAAACTGACCTATACAAGGTAAGTATGGACATGTAGGTGTAGAACTGACCTATACAAGGTAGGTACAGACATGTAGGTGTAAAACTGACCTATACAAGGTAGGTACAGACATGTAGGTGTAAAACTGACCTATACAATGTAGGTACAGACATGTAGGTGTAAAACTGACCTATACAAGGTAAGTATGGACATGTAGGTGTAAAACTGACCTATACAAGGTAGGTACAGTCATGTAGGTGTAAAACTGACCTATACAAGGTAGGTACAGACATGTAGGTGTAAAACTGACCTATACAAGGTAGGTACAGACATGTAGGTGTAAAACTGACCTATACAATGTAGGTACAGACATGTAGGTGTAAAACTGACCTTACAAGGTAAGTATGGACATGTAGGTGTAAAACTGACCTATACAAGGTAGGTACGGTCATGTAGGTGTAAAACTGACCTATACAAGGCAGGTACAGACATGTAGGTGTAAAATAATGTAAGTCTACAATAAAGCATTACAGAAATAATAAAATTACACACAAGCTGAGTGATGTGTAAAAGCCCTGCATCATCACATGGCTTGTTCCTCAAGTTAATTCTTTTCATGGTCTATTAAGAAAGAAAGAGAGGGGAATTTGAAATAATTATTCTTGGCAATGCTGAACATTCAAGATCACTGCCAGATGTCATTTTATTTAGATTTTGATATTTAAGCTCGCTATCATAACTTCTTTTGAACTACAGAGGAGATAATTTTGGAATGTCATGAAAACCCAAGTAGTGGACCAAGTTATACTTTCCATATTGCAAAACATTATCAGATATTCAGGATAGCTGCCTCCAGATTTTGAGGATTTACCAATCTGAGTGACCCATAAAATTCAACACTTCTAGCCTTCTTACAGCAGTTAGAGAAGACTTTTAATTACCATCATAATAGAAATTATTATTGAAAGGAATTTTGTGAGATAATGTTAATATAATTTACTATGATAATTGTGTAAATAAGAAGCACTAAGTTTTTAATTTCTTTTGCCCCACAGGCACAAGTACAACTTCTTAAGAACTGTATATCTGCTATGAAAGAAGAAGCGTGAAGTGTCTACACAGTGTGATGATGTGTATGTGATAAGTGGGTAGTGTTGCCTAGCAATTTGTCCCAAATAATGGCTGTTGGACATCGCAGGAATGTTTTCTAGTTTTGTCATCAAAAACACATTGCTATGGTAATATATGATGAACAACAAGTTTGCAGGTGTCTTAAAATTTCATTTGTAAAAACCTCTGTGTTTTAGAATGAACTTTTAGGTGAATTACAAATTTCTGTGTGTTTATTTTGAGACACAGTTTGTATATGTGATATGTATCTGTTGACAAACAAGAATATTATACAAAGTAAATTATAGCTGCAAAAATTAATTTTTTGCCTCACTATTCTTCTCTAATGTTGATGTCATCTACATATTTGTGAAACAATATAAGTGTTCTTTTTTAACGTGCAATGACTGGTTGGTTCCATTAAATGGATGTCTCACCGATAAGTAACTTAAATTCAGTAAAACTATATTTTGTGGTATTTTACGTTTATGTAATGGATATTTAGATAACTACAGATAGAAAATTCATTACAAGATCACATAAGTGGATACTAAAATCAATTGTTGCATGAATGACTGGTTTTAACAAAGCAAACATTGTAAATCTATACCAGCCTTATACAACAATCAGAGGATGTGGTATCTCAGGTCCAGTATCACTAGCTACTTAGTGAAGTGAAATGATGTTATAGTGCTAGTATTTGTCATTTTTAAATAACTGGACTGTTTTTTCATTGGTTAACATTTTGTCTCAAACAGAAAGATACTTTTCAAGTATAGTACTGGTCAGCACAGAACAACCGGCATTAGTGATGTTGTTAGAGAGATACACAAATTCATGTCTATACATATCTAGTTTGTGTATTTGATTTATATTCTAAGCACTTGCTCCAAAACATTTTCATTACAGTCTTAACATTAGTAATTAACATGATTATGAAATATTTTTTTATTTCCTTTGTTTTTTCCATGTTGAAATTGTGGGTGCATCTGAATTGAGAGATGAAGTCAATCATGCTGAAAATACAGGGACCAGAAAATATGTTGACTTTATCATCCTCAACACTTAAATATCCATCTTTATTTTGCTGTCATTACAAATGTATGTGTTTGCTGAAAAAAAGTGTGAGCTGCAGTTTAGAAACCAAATCATCAAATCAGGCCAATTTGGCCTGTGCTTTGTGCTCATTATCCTCCTGAAGAGGCCTTACAAGCTGTGACATGATCCACAGATTTAGGTTTTAGAAAAAAAAATTATGTTTCTGTATGGTTGTCAAATACTCTTGTTTTATTGAATTGAAAGTCGACAACAATGTGTAACAATATTTGTATGATTTCAGTGTCCATTCCATTTACATTAGATGTATATGTACTTGTAGCATTGTTTTTTATATCAATCATGTATGTCTGATCAGCCTTCAGTTACATATAGATAAATATTTTTTTTTGTACAAAGATTGTCTTGAATGTTTATTTTCCCTCCATATTGACAGAACTATATGATAAAGTATACCGACACATCATTATTATATACTCCTTCTCTCATACTTAGAAGTGTATTTTGCTTTTATCTTTATTAAATATTATTCCACCCTTAGGAGGGTTAAAATATACCTGCAATATGTATATCAGTGCTATGTTTAGTTTTGTGTTTAATCATACCTAGCGGGTAACGTTTAATAGCTGAGTTTAAGTTTCTAAATTTCACCATAGTTTCCCTGATTTCTTTTCTTTTTTAGATTAATGTTAATTATATTTAATCTTTTATGGTTGTTATGTATTCAGTATATCCAAGTTTGTTACCAACTGACAGATAGCAGTAATGCATTTACAGCCCACAAAAACAGGATGTTGAAAGTGTCCATCATGGATTCATTTTATTTTAAAATGCATTTTTATTATGCATAATGTGCAGGGCGATTGTGTCGAGCATTCTGGATCCAAAATTTAATTTACAATTAATGTTGATAATAATGTGGCACATGGTTTTTTGTCTACAATTCCCTAAGTTGAAACATTATACATTTACTTTGTGAGAATTGAAGGTAATATTTGATAAGATATCTAAAGGCATGTAACAGATCAAAGACAAAATTATACACAATTTGTACATACCCCTTTGATATAAAGGGAAGGTAAAATTAGCTTGTTTTACAGGTCAAGGTTCCTCAATATTTGTAAAGTTTAAACTTTATGAATATCTAGTCTTTTCTGTGTAATCTTTTGGTAAGATGTATTATATATTAATATATATAATAAACACACAAAGTGCACTGTATAATAAAGTAATGTATGAATGAGAGATTAAATGAGAGGTCATGAATCTAAATTTGTTGATGATTTTTTAAATCTCTTGACAAAAAGTGTCTCAAAGTTTCATGCATATTTCACTGGGATGCACTCCTACCTTACAGGGAGTTTAAAACCTTGAAATTTTAAAATATACTGTCTGCAGCCCTAAAAGTCCTTAGTAACAATACTGAAAAATATCTATATGTCAATCAGACAAGTATTAGTAATTACTATCGTGTTGTATAATAGCCTTCACAACAACAGGTGTGGTCTCCACAGTGCCTTCTTATGGCCATCACAACAGGTGTGATCTTCCTGGTGTCATGTGATAACTGTCACTGCAGGTGTGATATCCATGGTGTCATCTGATAACTATCACAACAGGTGTGATCTTCATGGTGTCATCTGATAACTATCACAACAGGTGTGATTGCCATGGTGTCATCTGATAACTATCACAACAGGTGTGATCTTCATGGTGTCATCTGATAACTATGAGAACAGGTGTGCTATCCTTGGTGTCATCTGATAACTATCACAACAGGTGTGATCTTCATGGTGTCATCTGATAACTCTCACAACAGGTGTGCTATCCATGGTGTCATCTGATAACTATCACAACAGGTGTGCTATCCATGGTGTCATCTGATAACTATCACAACAGGTGTGATCTTCATGGTGTCATCTGATAACTATCACAACAGGTGTGCTATCCATGGTGTCATCTGATAACTATCACAACAGGTGTGATCTTCATGGTGTCATCTGATAACTCTCACAACAGGTGTGCTGTCCATGGTGTCATCTGATAACTATCACAACAGGTGTGATCTTCATGGTGTCATCTGATAACTATCACAACAGGTGTGATTGCCATGGTGTCATCTGATAACTCTCACAACAGGTGTGATTGCCATGGTGTCATCTGATAACTCTCACAACAGGTGTGCTATCCATGGTGTCATCTGATAATTATCAGAACAGGTGTGATCTCTGTGGTTGCGTCCAATAACCATTACAACAACGAATGTCATTTTATTCACATTCAATTAATGCAGATCAGCTGTTGTTGTAAGCTGTACAACATGATGTAAACTAAAGAGTAAATATCACAGTAGGTTTACAATCTGATACTTTTTATTTTGCCATTAAGAATATCACAGTGAATTTGTGTACAATGTTCATAAATAACATTTTATAACAACTTATTTGTGTCATGCTTCCATCACTACCACGCTTCTAGCGCTTATTTGTCGAGAAGCTTTGCCACTTTTTGCTCCCTGTTGAGACCTACGACCATCAGGTCTAGGAGACTGAATGTCCTTTTTCTTTGGTGATGGTGATATTGGCGGTACTGGAGTATTCATTTGTGTGGATAGTTCAGTTTTTTGCCTTGCGAGATGGATTGATCGTGAAGACCTTGTTCTGCTTACGGGAGTGTCTACAATAATACAGAATCATGATATGTTTAAATATATTTAAACATTAAAGAATCTTAAATGCAGACTTCATTACAAATGAACACATTAAAACATCTAACAGTTCTATTGCCTGATTTTATACTTAAACATATTATATTGTCAAGAGTCACCTGAAAAACAACACTTATAGTACTGATATCCATTAATTTTTGCTGCTGAAAAATTCAGATCTTTGGAAATTGAAAATGGCAAAACCCTTACTCTACACTAGTTTTAAATTATGTTTTAATAAGCACTTTGAAGAGTTTATAAAGTAATTTAAGAAAATATCATACAACATGTACAAGGGCTGTATAATACATTAAGAGCTGAAAAGATGATATTATTAATTGACACACAGTATAACTCTCCATTACACTAACATAATCAAACAAGTTTATGAAAAATTACATCTTGACATTTTTTTTTTTTGCATTTGCATTTGCAAGCTGAAAGTAAAAAATGGTACAGTTTTAATGTACCCCAAAATAAATATATATAAATAAAAGTGAAATTGCTGTCAAATTACATGCCAACACATCTTAGCTAAGTTTGATGACACTAGCATGCAACCTATCTGTGTTGTGATAATTCAATATGGAGGCAAAGGTGACAGCTGTGTTATCATTACATACTAATCTATATAGTAACATGTATAGGCATTCCATAGTTGTGAAACTCACCTGTAACTTTGAGATTGTACAACACAACACTTTGAATAACTTGTGAACAATGTAATTTTTCACCAAATTTTGAAAGGAAAGTACAGTTTCTTTCTTTGAATATAGATATTTTTAAGCAAAACTTAGGTTTAAGGGAAAATAGTTGTTTGATTTACCAATTCAATAAGTGTATATATGCCCAGCACTGTAATGTCAGATCACAGGATTTCAGTATGTATACTGTTTTGCCATGTGTTGTCATTCACAATATAAAAAACACATTCCATAAAACAACTGCATGTGGTTTTTGAAATCTTAGAAATCAAATTTTGTAAAACCATAGTACTGGCTATGTACAAAAACTGGTTTCTTTCATAAAACAATATCGTCTATAAAACTACACCGTATACTACCCATTACCACTTCTGATTAAATCATCATATACTATAGATTTATCTATAAAACAATATCTTCTATAAAACTACACCGTATACTACCCATTACCACTTCTGATTAAATCATCATATACTATAGATTTATCTATAAAACAATATCTTCTATAAAACTACACCGTATACAACCCATTACCACTTCTGATTAAATCATCATATACTATAGATTTATCTATAAAACAATATCTTCTATAAAACTACACCGTATACAACCCATTACCACTTCTTATTAAATCATCATATACTATAGATTTATCTATAAAACAATATCGTCTATAAAACTACACCGTATACTACCCATTACCACTTCTGATTAAATCATCATATACTATAGATTTATCTATAAAACAATATCGTCTATAAAACTACACCGTATACAACCCATTACCACTTCTTATTAAATCATCATATACTATAGATTTATCTATAAAACAATATCTTCTATAAAACTACACCGTATACAACCCATTACCACTTCTTATTAAATCATCATATACTATAGATTTATCTATAAAACAATATCGTCTATAAAACTACACCGTATACAACCCATTACCACTTCTTATTAAATCATCATATACTATAGATTTATCTATAAAACAATATCTTCTATAAAACTACACCGTATACTACCCATTACCACTTCTGATTAAATCATCATATACTACCGATTTATCTATAAAACAATATCTTCTATAAAACTACACCGTATACTACCCATTACCACTTCTTATTAAATCATCATATACTATAGATTTATCTATAAAACCTTAATATGTACTTCCCATACTAACAATTCTTGATTATATACACAATTCAATATACATGGTATAATCTAGCCACAATGATCATTTTATATAGGGGACGGCTGTATGTAGGGGAATACATACAAATTCTGTGGAGTAATAATTCCACAGACATCATTTATCTGCCCTATACTGGGAGCCCAACACCAAAGCAGGGGAATTGTCGCCAATCCTCCTCGGGTAAACAATCAAATAAACACAGTCATACCTTAATGTAAAAGTTTTGATGAGACAATAATCCCCTTGTCATATTTATGTTGAAGTAAGTTTTTTTAATATTTAAAATTAAGTCATGAATTCAATGTAAATGGTGCAATAAAAAATGAGAATTTGAACAATTGGACAAAACATCCTAGGTGACCATTTTAATACTAATGAGAGATATATAGATATATTGTTATTTATCAAATCCAAAACCAGGTATCTTAAATATCAAGAGAGAATAAAACCAAAAATAATGGTAAAAAAAACAAAAAAGTATAACAAAAATAGATATACATACATATAAATTTATTGGAACTAAAGAAAAATTGTAACAATGTTTAACTCACACATCAAGGTTTTTATAGTAAAATGTCTGTTTTTATCATTGATTCTGAATTTACCTAAGACTGCATCAGATTTGATGTATTAGATGACATTATCTGATGCTGAAAAATAGTTCTGTATTTGACAGATATAAGAGAAAGGATATTTAATGACTTCAAAACAATAATTGTGAATTTATTTTAAAATTGCTATAACATTTCTCAAAATAACTAGCTTGATTTTTGCTGCATCTAAATCGTTTGCTTCTCTAGCCAAACAAATTGATTTTAAAATTGGATGATATGATTAACAACACCGTATATAGTTAATTTCCTAACAGTATTAAATGATGAATTATACTGAAACTGAAAAGTCATTTCTCAGTTAAAGATGAAATTAATTTATCATGAATTTTAGTTTAGTTAAGTGTGGCATTATCTACCTGTATCTTCTTTTGATGATTAAATCATTTATTAGGAGGTTGGTGATGCTACAAAACTCATGCTGTTTAAATCAGACAATGAACAATATCCTGAAGAAGCATGTAACAGGTGGGCTGGTGACATAGGAAAAGCATTTGGTGGTAGCAGTTGTCATAGCGACTATTCCTTATATAGCTTATAGGGCATGATTACTTTTGACCTTGACATGTGGTTCAACAAAATGACAACAGAAATTAATGGATGTGAGAATGTGAACTTTACCTCTTGTCCGGCTGCTTTTTCTTGCCTAGAAAGTTGTGGTTATAATTTTGATGAAGATGATTACAGACATAGTCAATAGATTCTTATAATATAAATGTTTACATGGTTATCAAGAATCCAACCATATCCCAGCTGTTTACACAGTAGATGTCAATTACAAAACAACATTTAAAATATAGTAATACTGTGCTGTATAGTACAACAGTAGTGACACTACATCCTAGAAGTTGTGCTGTTTCTAAGAGGTATACAGAGGTTGGGAGATACAGCGGTTTGGAGTCAACTACCTCATTAAAATTGATTTGGGAGAGGGGAAAGCTCATGCCTTGTTAACATTGAGTTGGGAGATCCCTGCCTTGTTAACATAGAGTTGGGAGAGACCATTGCCTTGTTAACATAGAGTTGAAAGACAGGAGAGCTCCTGCCTTGTTAACATTGAGTTGAAAGACAGGAGAGCTCATGCCTTGTTAACATAGAGTTGGGAGAGACCCTTGCCTTGTTAACATTGAGTTTGGAGAGACCCTTGCCTTGTTAACATAGAGTTGGGAGAGACCCTTGCCTTGTTAACATAGAGTTGGGAGAGACCATTGCCTTGTTAACATAGAGCTTGGAGACGGGAGAGATCCCTGCCTCGTCAACATGAATTTAGGAGAAGGGAAAGTTTCCTGTCATATTAACATAGAGTTGAAAGAAGGGAGAGACCCCTGCCTTATAAACATAAAGTTGAAAATGGAAGAGTTCTTCACCTCATTAACAAAAAGTGCACAGATGGGACAGTTCCTCACATTGTTGATATAAAGAGAGGGGAGATTGGAGGGTTGAAACTTCTTGTCTTGTTTACCACCGTAACATAGTGTAAACATAAAAAAAGAGCTCCCTGCTGTCTTAAGATGGATAGTTTCAAAGGGATAGTTCCTTGACGTGTAAGGTATTTACGATTGGGTAGTTCCTTGACGTGTAAGGTATTTACAATTGGGTAGTTCCTTGACGTGTAAGGTATTTACGATTGGGTAGTTCCTTGACGTGTAAGGTATTTACGATTGGGTAGTTCCTTGACGTGTAAGGTATTTACAATTGGGTCGTTCCTTGACGTGTAAGGTATTTACAATTGGGTAGATCCTTGACGTGTAAGGTATTTACGCTGGGTAGTTCCTTGACGTGTAAGGTATTTACAATTGGGTCGTTCCTTGACGTGTAAGGTATTTACGATTGGGTAGTTCCTTGACGTGTAAGGTATTTACGCTGGGTAGTTCCTTGACGTGTAAGGTATTTACAATTGGGTAGTTCCTTGACGTGTAAGGTATTTACGATTGGGTCGTTCCTTGACGTGTAAGGTATTTACGCTGGGTAGTTCCTTGACGTGTAAGGTATTTACGATTGGGTCGTTACTTGACGTGTAAGGTATTTACGCTGGGTAGTTCCTTGACGTGTAAGGTATTTACGATTGGGTAGTTCCTCGACGTGTAAGGTATTTACGATTGGGTAGTTCCTCGACATGTAAGGTATTTACGATTGGGTAGTTCCTCGACGTGTAAGGTATTTACGATTGGGTAGTTCCTCGACGTGTAAGGTATTTACGCTGGGTAGTTCCTTGACGTGTAAGGTATTTACGATTGGGTAGTTCCTTGACATATGAGAAGTTTACAAGAGGATGGTTTCTTGACTCAAATGACAATTACAAGTGAATGGTTCCTCAACAGACTCCTGCCTTTTGTTTGAAATATTAACTGGGGGATTGAATTCTTAACCGTAACATTTTTGAAAAAGTTTAATTACAAGTAAATATATATAAAAAACTGCTTCTGATTGCTCCAAATCTCGGATTCTCGTCCTTGATACTCCAGGGATTACGATCACTATCGCTCTCGGTGAAGAGATTGTTAGTGATCATAACTCATGGAATTTTGAGGATGATGATTCTAGACATTAGCAGGTCTTTGAGGTGGACAAAGATTTGATGATAAAGCTATTATATATGATTTTATGTATTTAAGGGTGACTGTAACACAAGGGAAAATGAAAAACTTCTGCAGGAGCAAAAAAAAACCCTCAAAAAATGTTTCAGAAGATAAAAATCTATGATAACAAAAATGATATTTCATAACTCAAACGATAAGTTTTCCTCACAGAATAAATTGGCTGTATTCTGATGAAAAGCATAAATCTTCTTATAAAATCTTTATATATAAATCATACTAATTTGAAATATACAAGTATATCTATACATTGAATCTAAACTGACATCTAAGATTTGAAAGTTAGATCACTAAAACTAAGATATCACTCACAAGAAATCATGATTTTCATCTCAGAACCAAAACAAACACCTACCTCTTGGCCTACGTGTTGCTAGATTTTCCAGAAATCCGGCCAACATTGCCAACTCTCCCTGTAAATTATCTGAAATCTCACTGATTTTTTCACTTCGTTTTTCGGTCTTGTGCATCAACTTGCCAAGGTCATCCACAATTAACTGGTCACGCTGTGTGTACCTCTGTAAACATTTGACATTTCTGTTTAGTTATGTTATAAAAGGTGCTTTTATCAAATTGAGACTAATGTTGGCAAAATAAGACATTGTGATTTTAAACTTTTTTATAAACAATACTTAGTACAGGCAATAACAGGAAGGGACATTATCAATGAAAATTAAGGAAAAAAACAAAACTTTAATACAAACATGTGCTCTCATTCCATCTGTGATCCTAATGAAACTAAATACAAAGTAAAAGTAGAAACTATAGGTCGCAGTGACCTACATTTCACATGTTATTACAGAAATCTTCTTGAACGACAGAGAGACCTGCAGTATCAAATTCAGTACAACCAAGATGTTGTAAGGATGTACAGAGTGAAAAGTAACATACCAAATGTTTCTTCTGCTTTACCTGGTAGAGGCATAAACTATATTGATCTATTGGAAATCACAGATTAAGGAATTTGAAGTATATATGTACCTACCTCCTCCATATCTCTGTCACTCTGCCAGCTTTCAATGAGACCCACTACAATATAAAATATATCTCATTTCAAATTTTTTCGACAAAATCTTATAACACAAACTAAACAAGTAACATGCTCATAGTGACTACAGATACCATACTATAGAATTTCAAAGTTTGACCTATGTTACATGTATGTTGCTTCACCTTTTACTTCATCTAGGGTCACTTGAAGAGTTTCTTTCACATGTTCATCTTCATCCATTTGTTTCTGAAGTTCGTCCATTTCAGCTTGATATTTGTCACATCCCTACAAAGAAATAATTGTTTTTAGAATAGTAAACATATTGTGTGAGAGCCTATAAGATGAATCACATAACAACACTACTATAGTAGAACTCTCCTAAATGGGAGGATGGTATCATAAAGCACACAAAACAAAACGACAAAAAAGTAAACACTCTCGAATGACAGAAAAGTATAGACACAGCAACATTACATTACAGGTACACTATTGAATGTTTGTAGGTTGTATATATCTTTCCTTCTGCTTTGATTAGAATTATACATTCTTCCCTGATCATAGATGGAAGCTGATATAATCCAGAATATTAAAAACCAAGAACTTAAACATACATCTTCAATCTTTTTGTTCTCCTCAATTATCGTTTTCAGTTTACATCCCGCCTGATAGATCTCTCTCTCCATTCTTTGTCTCTCCTCTCCATGCTTTTTCAGTTGCTCTATTGATTCCATTCGTTTGTTTCTTAAGGACTCTTTCAGTTTTTCCTTCAAGAAATAAGTTTTGAAATGAAAAAAATATGTTGGTTAAATGCAATTATCTAAATTAAGTTCACCTTAATGTTGAATATTTCATGACATGTCTAATATAATCCCCACATCAAAACTGACAAGCTGTCCATCAAGTTTAATGAATCATTTTGTCCCCAAATCATTAATTTGTATCTAGAGTGGAATTTTGGAAATGAACAGAATCTGACAGGTGGAAACACACATACGAGAACTAAAATATCTCTGAAAAAGATAAACAGCAAAGTTTTAATATTGTTGGTAATAGATTTGTTAACAGTTAACAGTGTATTTGATGGTATCTAGGTAAATTTAAAGTGGCCCACCAACACAGATAAGGTTCTTAGGGTCTGGTGTTTGATCTATACTGAAGCCGAGTGTCTAGTATAGATATAAAGCTATGCATGTTGTAACAGTATAAACGTATATCGTACAGTCATCAAACCCACTTCTGAACATTTCCAATATCATCAAGTTAATTCTGTGAACCTGAATTTCTACAACTTAGTAATTTAAATAAGAAACATTTACAACTACTGTTGGCATGATTATGTGATTATAATTAACATGGCTCCAAAACATGTAAGGACAACTGGAAATCACAAATTAATCTTATACAGCTTTGCCAAAAAAAGTGGATCGTAAAAAATACCCGAGGTCCAACAAGATTGTCCTTAGCGTCTAAGGTTTTGCGGATCTGTTCGTCTAGAGCACTTTTCTTCTGGCGCATCTCTACAACACCAAACAGTATATGTAACCATTTGTTTAAGACAAATCAATGTTCTTCCCAAGCTTGAAAAGATCTGACTCTTTCTCTGATTTCTTTTTAGGTTATATTTCCACTGTAATTATGATTGTAACAGTAATAGACTGTATCAAGTCACCAACTATCATATTTTATAATCTTAATAAAGTTAAAACATGATGAAATGTTTCAAAAAATAATGTTTAAAATACTACTACCTGATATCCTACAAAACATGTATGTAATTAACTTGTTATCTCAGATTAATAACTCTATGGTAGTTTCTGTACTCATACACCTTTGACTAACACACAACACTGGTGGTACACTATACATATTGTTTGTGACACATGTTAACATATTTGTCCCATTGATGGCAAAAATCTGGGCCCTCCTAGGCTGAAATGATGTCAGTAATTTTTCTTGTAACAGGGTTTCTGTGATAGCAAATTTCTACAGTCAATCATAACTCCAGTTTTCAATACCCTAAGGCACTCAAGCCCTCATTTACAACAATCAAGAAAAATTTAAAGAGAGCGCTTAGTAATATCGATCATCAGTCAATAAAAGGACAGCTAAAACCAACTAAACATATTTAGGAGTAATTCAGAAGGATAAAACAGCAATGTTTAAGGTACCTATCAGGATTAATTTTTCTATTAACTTTATACATGTACAACTTAATAAAATTTGCCATCAACAGGATGTTTTTACACAGTATTCAAGTCACCTGATACATATTATCAGGTCTGTTCTAATTTGTTACAGATACTTCCTGTATCACTAATTAACTGTGTCATTTGTATAATATATCAAACATTAGGTAGAACATGGCTTGTATGTGAAACGCAGGCCATCCCCAATCTGTGGTGCAAAATTACCCATGCCATTTTAAAAACTTCTGGGTGTTTTGCAAAATAAACTTTCTTTTGTTCCGAGAGTTTTCTTTTCAGTTATTTAAGCATTAGCTTCACAAATCTGTTAGCACTGTGTACCGACACAGGGACACACAAATCTACACAATCAGACGATAATCAGTCAGTTACATCTAGCGCTAGTTTTTGTCAATTGATAGATCATAGAACTAGCAACTACACAACATCTCAAATTAAAAGACAAATTATAAATATTGTCTTAAGTCATTATCGTTTTAACAGTAAATTTTAACTTTCTGATACATGCATGTATTTATTAATTTACCAATTACTGATGATGTGCATTTTCAGTGCTAAATAATTTTTGTAATCGATAATGTAGCAAATGCTTAAAAATCGTAAAATATCTCGTGACTACTTAGAAATGTGAACGTGGAGATGTTGTATTTTGCAGTTCTATAATGTCAGTATCATCATTTGTTTACAATTACGATCTGGATGTGGCAGTGAAATGTTTCATTACCAAATCAACAAAAAAAACAAGACACACATGAGCACACATGCACCTAACAAAAACTCTCTCGAGAACCTTTGCCATGAATTTTGGCCATGCACAGTCACAAATGTGACAGGGAACAGAAAGCATTTCACATACTAGCTATGCCCCTTTTCAGTTCATCATAAGCATTAGTTCTCTCTTCAAACAATTTTTCTAAATCGTGAAATATTGGTGTCTGCTCTTCAATTTTCTTCTTCTTCTCCACAATTGCACGTTCATACTCCACAATTTGCCACTGTAATGAGAGACATATGGTAATGGAAAATACACTATTTTATCTACAGTATTTCAAATAAAAAGTTCATACATTTGTAAGCTTTTATTTATCACAATATATTATATATACTTATTATACATGTAAGCAGATAGTTATATTGATAGCTAAGTGATGGTTTCTTTGCAAGGTTTTTAAAAAAGTATAGGTATAAAGGTAGATTGAATTTTTACCAGTGTATTTGATCAAAATAAAATACAGAACTGAATTTATATCAACCAAACAGCAGGAAAAGTCAACTAATAAACAAACATTTTACTGTCAAATTGCATGTTTTAACACTTTGAGAAATGCAAGCATTTAGTATTTATAAATGTTCATACTGTCGTTGCCATTTTCATGAAAGTGATATGCATGCTTATAATGTAGTTTCTTAATTTAAATTAATTTGTTAAAGACAAAATAAGATATACACATGTATATAAACAGGAAGAAAGACCTAAAAATCTTGTGCTCAATCTGTTTTCATATATATATATATGATGAATGTGATAAACAATGCCAGATTTCCACAATGTGTACCTCCATCATTTCAATGCGACCCTGCATGCTGGTGTACATTGTCTCATAACGGCTTTGAACATCACTAAGGTCACTAGACAGATTGGAGATTTCTTCTTCATCTAGCTTCAGCTCTCGCTGTAGATTAGCTCCCTGGTAAATTGATCAATAAATCAATTGTATACACATCAGTTTTCATAGTGATTTGTTCTCAATATACACTGTAAATTTACTATTATCATATACTTTTTATACTGTTCATTAAGCATACATAATTTTACAACTGTGTACAACATCTTAACTCTACCAACCAAATCTGTACTCCTTTTTTTGAACTTGTACCAAAACACATAAATCTTTCATGAATCAACTTGAAAACTGTCTTTCTGTATTCAGTAATCATATGAGAGAGACTGTACGTCCAAGCAAAATGATGTTTGGACCTGGGGTTTTTTTTCGCTGTAGGCTGTATTGGGCCAGAGGAACTTAACATTCAGCTGATTTTATAGGAGCATTTCTATAGCAACAGTTTAACTTGACAACCTGGATAAAATCAGGTAAAAGGAGAAAAGTGACCATTATGTAGGTAAAATAAATGCCAAGTAACATTCTACACAAATTTCTATCTGGTTAGCTCTTCCACTCACTTCGTTAGAGAGATCAACATGGCGGACTTTACCCTCCTGTATCTTTTTATTCATGTCACTAAGATATTTTTGGTTGTCCACTTTGAAATCCTCCACTTTCTTGGACACATTGTTTTTCTGCTCCTGCACAATGATCCTACAATTTGAATCAAACAGAACATATCACCTAAAGTCTCCAATATATCCCTTATATAGATTTGGGGATATTGTCAACCTTTTTCTCCTGAATTACACAAAATATGCTTTAAAACAATCATTTCTTAGAAACATTTAAACCCAATTTGCATAAGAACATTTTGTTGTATTTATCAATGTCATCAGTAAATTATGTGTATTTATAAGGACTTGTATACTTTTGTATATTGCTATCCATTTTCTCCTGGAGATTGTAGATTTCTTATGGATTCTGATAATGATGTAACATTTTGTACTTTTACTGGGTAAGAAAGAATTTTCATTTTTAATTCACTTTAATCATCTTTTACCCAAAATACATTGCGAACATACATAAAGACTGAAAAAAATACCATTAGTACACAGTGTATATATTAACAGTTATTAAATGAGTAAATGTATTTTATTTAACATATTTATAGTTTATTGAATACAGTAGATTAGTTACGACACCATTGTATATCACGATAGTGTGATACATTTCCTATACAGTTATAATACATATCCAGCATGCTGTTTAAACATTTTAATACACACTAGATTAAAACATGTATGATGATTAAGAACAAAACTATATTACATCATGTATTGTTAGAAATTAAAAACCAAATTCTTCAATGATGAGGCATCATGTCATACCTTATTATGTTCTGTCTCAGACATGTCATTCACAGTCACTACAAGTATTGTAGGATTACAAAGATGGTACACAATCAATGGGTAACAACATGCAAATTATCAGAAGAAAACAAGATGAAAATAAATCCACATCAACATATATTTACACAGTCATTTATTTGTCATGTACATTTCTCTATGAGGGTGGGAAACCAGAAGTACATGTGTTCTGAATAACATTTAAACACATTCTCTATAACCAATATGTTTAATGCAGTGTCTCTGTCCATCATCAGGAAATCTATTAGTTATATTAATAGCACTCCAATCAAATCACGTGACATGTTATAATTACCCATCCTCTTCGGTGTCCGTGTAGTCATCATCGGAAGAGGACAATGGGGGACGAGGGGGTACATTTATTAGGGGCGGAGCAGCAGGGGGACCATAATTAGGTTCATTACCAGTCTGTAGGTAGTAATTGGCTAATTTGTTCTTTTTGGGTTTCTTTGGTTTAGGGGGTGGAGGTGGAGGGGACGGGGATGGTGCAGGGGGTTCAACTACTGGTGGAGGGGCTGGAGGAGGGCTAAGTGAAAGAAATGTGCAAAATAGAACAGAATTAGATAAAAATTATCTGTGCCTTGAATTCAAATTCAGTATAGAAGAAATGATAGAATCACCAAATAACCAGAATCATATATAATTGTGTTATGTCTCATTCTTACTGCAGCTTAAAAACTTTATCATTTCATTGTTAGTAGAGAATTTTGAAGTAAATTTATATTAAAAAAACTTTCCATTAAAAAAATTGATATGCATTTGCTGTTTATCAATACCAGTAAGACAAGTTTAAGTAATAAAATGATAGATACCTCTTTGGTAACAGTTATAATAATATGTATATAATTGGTACAGAGTATAAGTCAAACATCTGTCATGTTTCTACAAATTTGGTGATAAACAGTTTTCTGGTATGAGGATAATGTTTATTTTTTTCACAGAAAGTGAAACAGGACAAAATGATTGTTAAAAGTGAGAAATAGATGTGTCAGTATTACAGTAATATCTCTATATATAATGCTATCAATATCTCTATGTATAATACTATCAATCCACTAGTTATTAAGAATTTTAGATACACTCCCTGATGTTTGGTTTGTACTGTCTATCTGCTACTACATTCTCTCCTAATTACACACAGTTGATTTATCAAAACGACAAAACAACAAAAAAGTAGAACTGTTCCATTTTTGAAGATCAATATCAATACTTCGACACAGAGATATCAAACATTAGCACCATGATAGGTATACATAACTCTCTTTCATTATGGTCAAGTCTTGAGTTCCAGTTTGGAGCAATACTTTCATTTTATCAACAGAATCCTGCTTATAATTTCATATAACTTTGTTGATCCATCTAAAATAGATAATGAGTGTTTGAAACATTGTCCTTAGCCTTTAGAATAAATCGCTGTTACTATCAGTTTGGATTAGAAGTCTTTTAAAAGCTGAAACGTCCATGGACAAATGAATCAATGCAACAGTATAAACACAAGTAGCATTCAACTAACTTATCACAGAAAGTTACTTCCATGTCAGGTGAAAAGTACAGGAGAACATATCAATAGTTTTGACAAAATTCCACCATAGGGTCTAGGTTTACTTATATGACCAAGTTATCAACTTGGAAATGATAGTAAAATGTGCAATTACTAAACGTGCAAAAAGAAAGAAGAAGATTAAGAAGTGACAGACAGTATGCCTACCTTTCTTTACGCTCCTTTCCAAGCTGTTCTCGGTAGTCTTCTATCTGTTTGTTTAGCTGAGCCATCACTGCCCTGAAAAAGAGAATTCGAAACTTTGTTGACAAAACAAATTATGTCAGTGGAAATATGATTAAGTAAACTATACAGTACTAAACTTAATTTTGAAACAAACAGAATACTTACTTGTGGGACTCATCTAGGTTTTCTATCTGGTCATGCATCTCTACATTTTCTGCCTGCATCCTACCCATCTCCTCTGCCTTCAAGGCGAGCGCTCGCTTCTCAGCCTGCAGACTAAATACACATTGTTTGGAAATCAGTTCTTCTGTAAATTTGTCAATTTAATCAAACTTTATTGTTAGATATTCCATTATATTTTTGACCATGTTTGAAAACAATTTTACATTGTTTAGGTACTTTTTAGTCTCCCATCCTTGTCAAAATTGGCACATCCAAATTATAGTTAATTTGTTCCAAATACTATATAAATTTACCACACTGGTACAGATACAGATAAGAAGTAATTTCACAAAGATATACACATCAATAAACTGATGGTAAGCGATGCCCAATAACACAAGGTTTTGTCTCAAAGCTAGTGCTAGATTAACTACAGCTTCTGATACTGCCTCCCTTTTAAATGAGAAACCATCAACACACTGAAATATGAGGACTATGTGTTTTTACAAACTGCTGCAGTGTAACTAATTACTTATATTTACTTCATCTTGTTATGGCAATTATGTAAAATATAAATTACAGAATTTTCAAAGAAAAAAACATATTGTTTTTGTTGTCTTAAATCAGACGATAAAGGCACCTATCTTGTAGAATAGCCACTTTGAAGGGCACCTGTCACTTATAACACTTTTCCCTCTTGTTAGTATATATAGAGTTATTTCTATGAAAACTTATACAGAAACTTACTCATCATTAAGGTCAGAGACACGTTCTGCATCTATTTGTCTTACTTTCACCTTCTGTTCCAAGTCTGAAAGTTCATACAAAATATTGTTAAACTTTGTCACTAACATAAATTTAAAATTACATACCTATATATACATTATACATTGTATCAGAATTGTATCAATTTTACAATAATATCTAACTACTTACCTAAATGTAACTCCATCTTCTGTCCCTGCAGCTCCATACTCTTGTGTTCTTCTCTCTCTATTTCATATTTCATCTATCAAATCAAATTAATTTACTGAAAAATTATCATTACTAGCACAAAAGAAAAAAGTCTTCAATACAGACTTGTGATATTGTGATCTAACTACACACAAAGAACGATACTTATATTTAGTGTTCATATACTCAAGTGTTTTCTTACTTAAACTTTTTCTTGAATGTATAGAACAGATATTTGAAGTCAAATCGTTATGTACTGTAATATTTCTGGAAAACTCTTCTTGTTCCGTACAACATTGAATAAATATTGTTGTATCTGTTCAAATTATGCAAAACTAATTAACTTGTCCAAATGAGCTAAGTCTAACTTGAATTGTGCTGAAGGTTTATTGAATGGTGCAGTGTTGAGCTATAGAGGTGTACTTATGGGTACTCAATAACACTATTATTTACAAATACCTTTATCCTATAGATAGCTTAGCATTTACTTTATCAGGTTGATTGGCGATAATTATCAACATGTCTCTTTTTAGGGTAATACATGTACTTACCTTTTCCAACTTATTTCGTAATTGTTTTTCAGTATCTTCAAAATCTTTCTGAGATTGCATGTCTTCTTTGATTATTGCATTGCTACAATAAGAAAATTTAATATGTCATTTAGTAACCACTGTAGAATTATTGACAACAAGAGATCCATCAGCGTGGTATCAAGCCAACAGTATATTGTGTCTGGATAAGGGGCATTTTGGTTCATCAAAAGACTTTGTAAAGAGATTTTAACAAATTAAACCCTAAAACTAGAAATGGGTCAAATGTCACTGAATTGAACAAATTGAATAGCTTTCTGCCATTACTTGTAAATACCAAATATAATTACTCTAATACTCTCTGTAGTTCATATGTGTTAAAAGGTTTTGATGCACCTAACTGCTATGAAGGTTACATGATGTTGTGTCATGGTGATTGATTTGACAACATCTTCTGAGAAACTTTTCACCTACTTCACAACTAATTGTCAGCAAGTTATGGTCAATTATATTGGATTTTAAACACACTTGTGATTGTATTAATCTGTATTTCCTCACCCCTTGTTCCGAAGTTCACCATTCATTTTGAGTTGTTTCTGTAGCTGAGCATTCAATGCTCTCTCCTGCCCTTCCAGTTTGGCTTTTGATGTCTCATATTTTCGAAGATCCTAACAAATCGCAATATATCACAAAATGAAAATAATACATTGAATCATTAAGCATACAAGTCTTTCAGTTTTAGAAAAGAAGTTAATGTACATGCAATTAAAATACATTCAGTATGTTAATTTCTTTGATTGAATGTTGATACAGATCAGCCATTTTCCTGTGTTCTATAGAATGCTCTTACAAAAACCAAATGTTTTAGTTTTCATTATATTTCTTAGTGTATATTCAACAATTTTACTTCTTATTAATTCAGTACTGAAAAGGTGAATATTTCATTTTCAATTAATAAATTAGGACAGGAAAAAATGTACCTTTCTTATGGCTTCAAGTTTCCCTTCACTGTCCAGCAACTGTTCGTGGACAACATCAAGTTCCCTAAGAAGGAAGCAGAAATACATTTAGTTTTGGTGTATTAAATCAAAACACCTGTAATTTACTCAAACATGATTAACAGAGATCATTATTTACTTAATTGGCTTCACTAGGCATAAATCCCTGAACCTCTAGCTTTAAAATGTGTCAGTCTTGTACTCCACTGATCAAACTCAAGTGAAGTTCTCACTAGCTTCACTGTATATTTCATGTGGTATTTACCAGGGTTACAGTTCACTGGTACATGTATATGTAGTACAACTTCACAATCATTGATCCTATATCTTACACATCACCATGGACTTAATTTGAAAATGAATGTGCAAAGTATCCTACAGCAGCAGTAGATGTATAATTTTCCGTGATTCTAGTTTATCTGATCAGATATATTGGTGATACTACTCATTGTCTAAATTATATGCCAGTTTACTTACTTCTTCTTCACAATGTTCAGTACTTTTTGGTCTTTTGTCTTTTCTGCTGTGTCAGTCTGTAAATTACAATATCACCAGTGGATTATTGAGTATCTCTCCTATCTTATAATATTTGTACACTTTTAAATATACACACTATGGAAATCTATTCAGGTTTTCAGAAACTGACCTACTTGGTCAGTACTGAACTAGTGATACTCACCACAGCCCTTTTTAATTTCTTCTTTTCTGTCCTTGCCTCTTTCCTCTCAACAATCAGATCCTCTTTCAGTTGTAAGATGCCATCTTCAAGGTCAACAATCTAAAACATTTCAAAACAAATGAAATGGTCAATTTACACTGATGTCTTAAGATATGTGTCTTGCAAAGAAAGTTTAAAAACAAAAACGAGCTTGATTTTTTAATGATATATTTTGACATATTATTATTAGATGAGAAAATGCACATGCACATTCCATCCTGTAAGTGAAAAAGGCAGGTACACATATAGGTATAAGTGTATGTAATACATAAGTATCTAAACATATATAAAAATACTTACATCCTGGTTTGTCTGTCTCACTTTATCTCTTGTTTCATTCAAGGTAATCTGTAAGCTTTTGAAAAAAATAAATAAAACATTCTTATCAGGTCCATTTCTGGTTTCTTGACAAAAAATATGTAAATAACAGAAGATAAAAACAATTACGATTAAGAATATAAACATCATCACAATCAGATACAAAATATATCTTTTTCATTTCATGTAAGTCTGATATGAATTTTTGCTGGAAGAGGTGAATACATACCTGGCTTTTTCAGCCATACGCTGGTTGAGCTGTGAAATAATTTGCTCATGTTGCTCTTTGACAAGCTCTCTCTGTGGACTGAAATGTGTAAGAAACAAGTTTTAAAAAGGTTGAAATTAAAATTAGAAAGAATAAAACACATCTCATTAAATAAAATAACAAGATTTTATCATCATGAAATTCCAGAAATAATCTACCATTGTATATATACACTTACATAAAAATCACAAAACTTTGCCAATAACTTCACACTTACACAAGGTATTAGTACATATCTGATAATGATATACCAATTATCAACATCAGTTTAAAACACACTTGTTTACAATAGGAAAAATCAACACTCACTGTAAAATGGCATTTTCTTTATCCAGTTCTTGTTGTCTTTTTTCAAGATAAACAGTGTTTTGGTTGATTTCATCCAACTGCTGCTGTAACTTCCGTAGGACATCAGCATTGGACTGTCTGGCTGACTCAACAGCAGCTACAGAACAATAATTAACTTGGTAACCATAAAGAGGCCAACTTTAGCTTCGATCTGAGCCATCATGACAGATTCATTTGAGCTGACATAAAATTTATTTTGCAAGTATTCAATGATAAATTTGGTATTTATAAAAGTAAATTGTGTCTTATCAGCATCTTCAGAAAGTGATAGGATACTATATAACACTATGGAGAATTACACTAAACAACAGTATACCTTTTATTTCTTTCTTTATTTCCCCTGGCAAGAACTGAAGTTTGTGGCGTAGGATACTGGCATGAATTGTTTCTGTTTCAAGTATGTCATGGACTCTGGTTCGTTCAGACTCCTAAAAAAGCCATATACCATAAATAAATAATATCATAATGACGAGATAATAACACTCTTTTTGATTGTTAGAAAACCTTGGAAGAGCAATTTGCTTTTAATATGAAGAGAAACTTGATTAACTCTTGAAATCTTAATCTATATTTCAGTTAAATTGAAATCTTTTACCAATACAACATTTCAAAGAGGGTGAACATTTCATAAAAAAACATTTATGATAACTGAATATTGTAAAAGGATTCATACTAATGAATGAACTGCTTCTATAACTCCATCAATATTCTGTATGTCTTTTTCATTGAATCCAAAATCCTCACCCCTCATGCGATCAGCTGAAAAGGAGAAATGAAATCAAAAGTTATTTGGCTGAGTTTACAAATAGTTTTTAACATAACCGTAAGGAGTGAGCACAACACGTTCCAATCCAATACATGATTTATTCGTAGTCGTAAGAGGGTTATATTACATTCATTTAGTTTTGGCAGTATTTTGGGTGGATGGTAACCAAATCTTTTGAATTCTCCAACAGTCATTTTGTTCAAAGTCTATTCATGAGAAGATCTATTGAGAATTAAAAAATCACAGTTTGAAACTAATGGCAGTCTGGCAGCCAAATGCTGTCTAAGAAGAGGAAAGGCAGTCCATATGCCGCTTCAAACCTTCAGCTCAGCACAATCTTGGACCATGACTGCCTTCATGTGCAAGTATCTGGTTTACAGCCTTAAATTTACTTCTGGTAGAAAAATAGGCTGTCTTTATAATTACATGTTAATACTAAACCAAGACTACTTGAAGATTCTTTGAAATCTGCCTCAGCTCAAGCTGTGCTATCTGGCCATAGACGTAAATGGGAAAACAAAAGCAAAAACAAAGCAAAATAGAAGTCTGTGAAACAGAAAACATAGGTTAAAACAGTTATAATTTGACCAAATCCTTGATATGTCTTCAAATCATTCCAATTTCTGGCTCCTTTATTGTACTTTATAAATAGGTAACCAAGATGGTGTTCAGTTCAAGCTGACAGCTATGTTTTAAAGTAGATAGGCATTTTCTGTATATAAGTAACCTGATTATAATTACAGGATAATTAGTAATTGACCATGTCAATGGAATCACCAGAGGTTGCAAAGAGATGACCACCTGGGGTTGTGTTACATGCCCTTGTCCAAGGCAATAAGGGGTTTGGCCAATTACAGGTGGTTAACACCACCTTTGTATATATAATTCAGCCAGTGCCCCCGTGTCTAGCTGTTAAATAATGATTTAGTATGAGAATTTTAACTTGCTCTTTGATGCAAGTATTATGGTAAATAAGAAGTATGCAAAGTCTCAAAATTTGCATCCAATGGTACTGTAGTGCTATTGAGCCTTCAAAGGCCTGAGCAGAACACTGTACTTTGGGTCTTTGATAAATGCATGTTTAGTCAATAAAACTTACTTAATACATAATCATTTTTGTAATGTTACATCTCAAACATTGTTTCATTTTTTTCTACATAGCCATCTTAAAATAATGTGTATGTGTTGAAAGTATGTCACAATGTTGGAAAGAAATCTCGACTGAATGAACTCCAATGTGACAGAATGTATTGTAACACTACCTGAAGATCTTAGTAAGTTTTTAGCCCTAAATTACTTATAAAATAAGAATTGAAAGAAACTTATACATGATACATGATTATATCTTTTCTCTTTACATTCATTGTTACATTATCTATTCATGGCAGTATAATGCATCAACACTTGAAATTCCGACGAGTGCTTCAAACTATCGATTTTACAGGAATAAAAAAATCACATGACTAGAGAATAACTGAGGTCTTCTACCTAACTTGATCGGCAGCTATTTGAGTTTGGCTGACCTAGGACTGTTTTGAATTATACAATTCACTCTTCTACTGCTAGTTGATATCACTGCAGGCCGATAATCCGAGTTTGATACCTTCACTTCCGATATACTATATTTTCTAGCCTTACGTTAAGTAGAAATACAAACGAAAGGGTTTTACCCAATTCCAAAAGGCGTTCTACGGCTGCATTAACCTCCGTGCTTTCTTTTTTCGCGGACATCATTACTGTTTTGATTTCTGCTACTGGCAGACCATCGACAGGTTCCCTACGCCATTTTGAAACAAACTTGTTGTCAATCGCTTTTAACCTCCGAGTGTAAAGAGTACTAAACAAGGGAGGTAATAATATATACGGTAAACGTTCGCTGTTTTGATAGAATGACCGTGTTTGCCTTATAATTATAAAAAAAAATGGCAATTTTGATATGCATGATATAGGACAACTTATGTGTCGTGCAATATTAGCATTCAAGGTTTTTTAATGGTGTCCACATACACATTGATCGGTTCGTTGAAGTCAGGTCTATAAATCATGATGATGAATACACCGATAACACATTAGAGAGTGAAACTACCTGTACCTTATCGGTGTCACCGTTAAATGATACTTGTTTAAAGATACCAGACTCGTTTATATATAATCATAGTATCCGAAATACTATTAATCAACATTGTAATTATCATATTGTTTATGCACAGTTTTCTCAATGTCATTTCTATCCGTCAGCAACAGAAACACATCTCTAAGTAATCATAGCCAATGAGAAAAATCAGCAAAATATTTTGACTTGTCATAAAAAGAAAAAGGAACGAAGAAAATCTGGATATGTTGAGACACAAAGAGCCACGATTCCATCAAGTTTTAAGGTTCTTAAAAAATCAATTTTACATTTGTATATGTATTGCTTGTTTCGTCCAGCACACCGATTCATTTACAACTGTAATAAACAATATATGAAAAAAATGACCATCACATAAATTGATGAAAAGATGACTATTAATTAAAAGTGTGCCTCGGCACTGTTGACTTGTTTGGTTTATTTGTGTGTGGCAAAACATTGCACACAGAAAAACATACTGTACTATTTCATTACACTCAGTTAACTTCAATCATTCTATCTAAAATTGCACGGAAAACATAGATAATCTATATATCTATTTAAAATAATTGTTGTCAAGAACTGGAAGTAATCAATCTCCGGCTACCGCACATCTTGTTAATACGTCTGTTTTCGGTAAAATGCGATGTTATTAAATGATAGAGAAAAAATTAGTTGTCTGGTACATGTTGTAAACTAGTGACTGATGTTTTAATTGAAAAATATCAACTATATTGAGCAGTTGTCGAAGACCAAGCGTGCAATTTATCAATAAACATTATCGGAATGCACATGTATCATTCCATTTGGATAGTTTTGTATTAATTAACTGTTTAGATTTTAAATGTGTTCCTTCTTTCTCAAACCATGGACGTAAATATTAGATCTTAGTATTATACATACGATATAACTTTTCTTAAGTATTTTATAATGATAAAAATGTACATAAAACAGGTGTTTAGATGTCAGTTTAATAAAGCCTGAGACAGCAGCGTTTCGATACATCGACAAACATAAATAATCGGTTGGCCTCATGCTCCAATTCTAAAACACATCCCTTACAAAGTCAAGCAAAACCTTCTAAACATGGCTTTAAAAAATACAAATTTATGTTTTTATTTTGAAAGCAGCATTGATACAACACACAATTTAGCCAGATCGAATTGTAGAATGTATATATGTTTGAAATGTAGATCATTTTAATAATCATTATCATTAATCTTATTATCATTAAGTGGGTACGGTTTACATGCACCATATAATTACGCTATTATGCGACCAAATAAATATTAGAACTACACTATAAACCAACACTAGTTATATATTACCTTTTCCGGTAACAAATACAATGTATAACAAGACATGTACTTAGATATATCCAAGTCCATGATTGAACAAACACGTTTTTGGAATAGTTCGTTATTGATTCATATAATAGTTGCCGGAATTTTTTTATTAGGTCATACATTTTTATGTAACACCGCCTGCAGCCTATAGTCAGTGTGTTTACAAGTATCCGAGGAGACAGTTTTTAATTGCTGAATATATATTATCATTATGTCTGATAGCCAAAATGCTGTGGCTCTGGCCGCGACACTGGCCGGTGTTGCTGTATTTAAATATACGTGCTTTGCTTGGATGTCATACAAGCATCGAACTAGACCCTTCGAACTGGTAGGAACGATATCCGAGCTGAACGTGTTCCCGACCAAATCGCTTGGGGGCCTTCGGGTTGACTCGGCTGAATGCACAACTACCGGCTTAACATATCAAGGAGTTACAGACAGGTGAGACATTGTTTTTAAACGACGACATTGATGTAGTGTAATTTGTATGAAACAATTCACTCATTCAGTTAAAAGGTTTTGCAATATAATAAATGTATTATATATTCTTGCTAATCAACTTTTCAAAGCACTGAAATATTTGTCCTGTTATCAATTAGTGTATGCATGTCTTTAAGTAATTCAGACTTAAATGAACGACTTATGATTTACGACAATGACCTACATTCCAAGGTCACATGACATGCTGTAGCATTATGACCATAAACTTCCGAATATTCCATGTCAGTGGTATCACTTAGACTGATTTGGGGGAAGGGGGGCATTTAAGCACCCGGTGTTTAATTATAGTTGATACCGACTATAAACACACACTATGCATAACATGTAAATTTTTAAGATATACGTATTATTGTCAACCGGTAACACCTAAATTGAGCGAAACCCAATCTTATACGATTGAGTAAATCCTTTGTGACGTCCCAATACAAATTACAATAATGGTTTCGTTGCAATGAGACATGCGCAATGGCATATTTAAATTGAAAAGATTCATTTGTGGCGTTTCGTTGGCTTTTGTAAAGATAGTACAAGTGTATCCTGCTACTTTTCAATACCCAGTCATGTCATTTGCATGATTAGATGAAATGTAAACATCACGCACCAGTCACCAAAGTTATGTCTTCCAAATCAAAGGGCTCTGCAACTGAGGCTGTATACTCCGTCCTTTAGTAGTATAAACAAAGCCTTGTCTTGTCGAGAGCTTGAATAACAATGATTCGAATTCAGGTACAAAAAAGTGATGAAATTTAGCCTAAACAGAAAAATTGACCCACTGTATACGAAACTTTCCCGGATCGCGAAAAAGTTCGCCGTCATCTTTAAATTTTTGGATCGTGAATTTCACCAAGACTCTCGCGAAAACAATCACTATGGAATTGTAGAAATTTCATTTCCCGAGGATAAAAGGTACACATTTGATTTAACATGGTTGTAACCCTGATAAATACGAATATACACTATACCATTCTGTCTGATTTTTTAAAACAAGGAATTGTACATGAAATTTATGAAAGTATATTAATTATGTTTGTCCAAGTGTCAAACAAAACTTGCAAATAGGTGTTTTAAATCATCTCCTTAGTCACATTTAACACGTGCAGCACTAAAATCAGATACGTAAGAAACTTTGTACTATGAACGTGTTTGCAGTCTTTTTGCACGCTAGGGTCTTGTTCGTGGATTTCTACACTCATGGAAAGTGACTTGTCAGAATTTATGTCCACAATTTTGACCTTTCGAACTTCACGACACACGTATTACGTCACTACAAGGTCATACGCATCCTTATAAAAGAAAACTAAATCAGTTACTTTAAATACATTGTAATTTAATGAATCACGAAAAAAATTGTACATCTGTAACAAATGAAAATGATAATCATATTTATTACCATCTGCAACCAGTAGAGGCGATCTAATTTGCAGGACTCGTTTATTGGTCTAGGTCGTTCAAGCCTCGGTTTTAACTGTACTATCGGGATGTTTACTATCATGTAAGGGGTTTTGATTAGCTTCTTTATTTAAGGCCTGTTTGATTTCGGTATGACCATTCAAATAGGAAAACCACTACAACCACAACTTGTAGAAAGTTGAGATTTGACGAGATTAATTCTGACCAATGAATTGAATTAGTATTGAATGAAGAGTAGTTCTATTCTGTGCGAAGTTATTCCAGCTTATACCATGACGCGCGATGTCGTATATGATATCTGATATCAGAAGCATGTGACCACTACACGCTACTCCGGTTAATGTAATACCCGCTAGTGAGACTTAAAATTTATTTCCAGTTAATGTGTATTGTACTAGAATCATATATATATATATATATATTGTTATAAATCGTTAGCATGATGTCCTGTGTCGTACTCCGTTCTGATTTGATGTTATGAAGGGACAGCATTAAATTACAATATCAGCAATTCTGTTATATTGTACTGTATCTGGTACTCTCTTCCGTTATTACAGACACTGGGCAGTAGCAGCCAGCAATGGCGTTTACGTCACACAGCGCCAGATTCCGAAGATGGCACTTATTTCCACCAGTTTACAGGAAGACAACATGCTTCTGGACGCCCCTGGAATGCCCACGCTCAACATCCCTATCAACCCCAAGCAGGGACCCAAGACGTGGGTCTCAAAAATCAAGTATGGATATATTATATTTTGAGAATAAAACATCGAATTATGTGAAATATACAGTCCACTCGCCCACATGTAGAATCTTCCACATTATTGGCAATAGGTTGATGGCCCAATTTGGTATACGTTCCAGTGAAAATGTTGTGTTATACTAGTTAATTGAGTTATTGATCTTTAGTGATTTGGGATTCAGATATGCTACATACTGTTAATTGTATGGTATTCGTAAGTCAGTTTTCTTTCTTAGTGCCAAGATCAATTAGAACCATCCGATATATTACAACGCACTGAAGTTTCGTGATCTGACGTCCTTGTGAAATCAAGACGTTTTGAATATGGTATTATGTTTGTCTATAATTCTCTACAGAATTAAGGAGGAGTGGTCATCCTCTCTTGACCTTGGTGATGAGGCGGCCACGTGGATGGATAAATTTCTCGGCAAGACTGGACTTCGTGTTCATTTCTCGTCCCCAGAAATGGACAAACGTGACGCGTCTAACGTCACCAAATTATGGGAACACTACGCCAAAAAGGGCGATAAGGTAATAATGGCACGCGCTAGTGCACATGACTAGTCTTAACCAATGCAATTTCTTTCTTCGGTTTCTTAAAATACAGAGGGAGGGGAAAGAGTAGAGCAAAATTACTGGGTGAGAAGCGCTAGAGATTGGTTCTAATATACCATATTCCATGTCGTGAAAAAACAACCCGGTACAGAAAATGTGGTTTCTTATTCAACAACCGTGGTTCAACACTACAAACGAAAACAAATAAAGTTTGATGGCGTAGCAATGAATTTGATCATATACCAACCAAGTGCCTTATACCTTGGATACACTGAAATAATCCAATGCGGGGTAGTCCCGGGCAGTCCCATCATCCATCGCTTTCCAGGACGTCCTCCTGAGGTGCACCGGCTGGGTTGATCAAGCCCAACCAAGGACGGGTCGGCTCTCAGCGCTGCATCTTTTTTTTATAGACTGGTGCCAAGATGTTTTGGGCCCTCATTTCTAAACTTGCTAGATCACTACGGGCAGTGATGCCTACCTCTCTCCCATCACGCCAGTGCCTAGCATTGTGTCTGGTGACCACTCCACCGTTCTTCCCTTTTCCAGCTGGAAGCGACCTCTTCCTACCTGGTCGCAACTCACACCACTTTCGATCTGCAACATTGAGCCCCTAGTATGTAGATGTAAGGCTTTCCAAAATGACTGGTAAGGGAGCCCTCTGCAGCGAACCTCCACAGGCAGACGCGAAGGTCTCCATCCATGCAGTTGACACTCTTCCACTATCTGCTGATACTTCTGTCGTTTCCGTTCATTTCCCTCCTCCATTCTGTCTTCCCTAAGCAAGGTTAGCTCCACTATCACTACCTGCTTGGAGTTGCGGGACAAAAGCACGATGTGTGGGCGGAGTGTTGTTTAAACCACCTCTACTGGGAAACTCATTCTCTACTGGAATTATGCTATCATTTCCAGTCTCCTGCTGTTGCTAGTATCCCGCTTGCTTCCATACGCTGCCCTTCACCCTGTTCCAGATTTCACGAAATTGACGTATTCAGTTTAATGTTTGACGATGAAAAGTAGTACCAAAATGAATAAAAAACACATTAAAAACCAAAACAATGACATCTATTTAACAGGAGTCCAAGCATGCAAATTGTGACAGTATTTCTTGATTTTAATGAATATATCTAGTTATTTCAATATTTATGCAACATTCGCTGATATTTGTGTATAGTTATGTCGCGGATAAATAAAGTATGTACATAGGAAATTTATAGTTAAGAAAACGGATTGTGTTTGATTTTGAAAACTCTCCAAAATTAAGACTGAAGACAAACAGAGCAACACTTAGAAGAGACTTTTGCCGTTATGTTATCAAGGAATGTCATGGAATATAACATCTTTATATATTATCATATAAACATATCATAACCTCTTCAGTTCGAAAGTAGGGTCTTGAAAATCATCCCAACCCTCCTGAATCTACGATTCGTCGACCCAATTCATGTACAGTATTACTTAGTGCAAGATGTAGGAAAATCAAACCACATGGATTTTATTTCGTTATAAAATATAGGTATTTTATTTGTTGTATAGCTAGGGGATACACGTATTTCATTTGTTGTATAGCTAGGGGACACACGTATTTATTTGTTGTATAGCTAGGGGACACACGTATTTATTTGTTGTATAGCTAGGGGACACACCTGTTTATTTGTTGTATAGCTAGGGGCACATGTATTTCATTTGTTGTATAGCTAGGGGACACATGTATTTCATTTGTTGTATAGCTAGGGGACACACGTATTTCATTTGTTGTATAGCTAGGGGACACACGTATTTCATTTGTTGTATAGCTAGGGGACACACGTATTTCATTTGTTGTATAGCTAGGGGACACACGTATTTCATTTGTTGTATAGCTAGGGGACACACGTGTTTATTTGTTGTATAGCTAGGGGCACATGTATTTCATTTGTTGTATAGCTAGGGGACACATGTATTTCATTTGTGGTATAGCTAGGGGACACACGTATTTCATTTGTTGTATAGCTAGGGGACACATGTATTTCATTTGTTGTATAGCTAGGGGACACACGTATTTCATTTGTTGTATAGCTAGGGGACACACGTATTTCATTTGTTGTATAGCTAGGGGACACATGTATTTCATTTGTTGTATAGCTGGGGGACACATGTATTTCATTTGTTGTATAGCTGGGGGACACATGTATTTCATTTGTTGTATAGCTGGGGGACACATGTATTTCATTTGTTGTATAGCTAGGGGACACATGTATTTCATTTGTTGTATAGCTAGGGGACACATGTATTTCATTTGTTGTATAGCTAGGGGACACATGTATTTCATTTGTTGTATAGCTAGGGGATATATATATAGGTATTTTATTTGTTGTACAGCTGGCATTCTCCGACTACTGTGGCTATATGTTGATGTCGTCAGCAAGTCTTAAGGAACTCAACAAACGCTTGGCTGAGCCAGTGACAATGCTCAACTTCCGGGCTAACATAGTGGTCGATGGATGTGCAGCTTTTGATGAGGTTATTTTAACACATTAGTTACGCTATTACAAGAAACACGGGTCAATAAATACCTCCGTGGATTTAAGAATTTGAATGTATTGTATAACGCTATGTTTCGGTCATAATTCGTGTTTTTATGGAGTTTATAATTAGTCTGAAATTCAGCGTTCTTTTATACCCATTACCCTACCAAAACGGACCTCTGAATGTACTTCAAACGGTCGAGAAAGTTTGGAGTACACCGAATTTTTTATCATTTAAAGCGAAAGTACAATGACGGTACTGAAAATAATGTCAACCCTGTTCCCCTTGTATGCTAATGCATGATTTTTTTTCTAGATTTGTTTCTTAATTTCAGGATGATTGGGATGAAGTCAAGATAGGAAATGCAAGCTTCAGAAACATTGACGCGTGTACAAGGTGGGATATTATGTATTCTAGGTTACAATAGTGACAGTTTCTGTACCTGTACATGTGTTGTTTATGTAAGGTGTAACGTTGTGACAATTGTTTATGTAAGGTGTATCGCAGTGACAATTGTTTATGTACAGTTGTATCGTAGGTACAGTTTCTGTTCATTTACAAGTGTATCCTAGTGATAGTTGTTTGTATACAAGTGTATTATAATAGAATTGTTTATGTGTAGGTGTATCCTAGTAACAGTTGCTATTTGTATATTGGTGTAACCTAGTAACAATTGCTGTTTATGTGCAGGTGTATCCTAGTAACAGTTGCTATTTATGTGTATGTGTATCCTAGTAACAGTTGCTGTTTATGTGTAGGTGGATCCTAGTAACAGGTCGGTGTTGTTTTGTGTAGGTATATCCTAGTAACAGGTCGGTGTTGTTTATGTGTAGGTATATCCTAGTAACAGGTCGGTGTTGTTTGTATGTAGGTATATCCTAGTAACAGTTGCTGTTTATATTTAGGTACATGTATATCCTAGTAACAGTTGCTGTTTATATGTAGGTATATCCTAGTAACAGTTGCTGTTTATATGTAGGTATATCCTAGTAACAGTTGCCGTTAATATGTAGGTATATCCTAGTAACCGGTCGGTGTTGTTTATATGTAGGTATATCCTAGTAACAGGTCGGTGTTGTTTATATGTAGGTATATCCTAGTAACAGTTGCTGTTTATATGTAGGTATATCCTAGTAACAGGTCGGTGTTGTTTATATGTAGGTATATCCTAGTAACAGTTGCCGTTAATATGTAGGTATATCCTAGTAACAGGTCGGTGTTGTTTATGTGTAGGTATATCCTAGTAACAGGTCGGTGTTGTTTATATGTAGGTATATCCTAGTAACAGTTGCTGTTTATATGTAGGTATATCCTATTATATATGTAGGTATATCCTAGTAACCGGTCGGTGTTGTTTATGTGTAGGTATATCCTAGTAACAGGTCGGTGTTGTTTATGTGTAGGTATATCCTAGTAACAGGTCGGTGTTGTTAATATGTAGGTATATCCTAGTAACAGTTGCTGTTTATATGTAGGTATATCCTAGTAACAGTTGCCGTTTATATGTAGGTATATCCTAGTAACAGTTGCTGTTGATATGTAGGTATATCCTAGTAACAGCTCGGTGCTGTATGTGTAGGTATATCCTAGTAACAGCTCGGTGTTGTTTATGTGTAGGTATATCCTAGTAACAGGTCGGTGTTGTTTATGTGTAGGTATATCCTAGTAACAGGTCGGTGTTGTTTATGTGTAGGTATATCCTAGTAACAGGTCGGTGTTGTTTATATGTAGGTATATCCTAGTAACAGGTCGGTGTTGTTTATGTGTAGGTATATCCTAGTAACAGGTCGGTGTTGTTTATGTGTAGGTATATCCTAGTAACAGGTCGGTGTTGTTTATGTGTAGGTATATCCTAGTAACAGCTCGGTGTTGTTTATGTGTAGGTATATCCTAGTAACAGGTCGGTAACATGTGTCCTAGTAACAGCTCGGTGCTGTATGTGTAGGTATATCCTAGTAACAGCTCGGTGCTGTATGTGAAGGTATATCCTAGTAACAGGTCAGTGTTGTTTATGTGTAGGTATATCCTAGTAACAGGTCGGTGTTGTTTATGTGTAGGTATATCCTAGTAACAGGTCAGTGTTGTTTATTTGTAGGTATATCCTAGTAACAGGTCGGTGTTGTTTATGTGTAGGTTTATCCTAGTAACAGTTGCTGTTGATATGTAGGTATATCCTAGTAACAGCTCGGTGTTGTTATCGCCTGTTTTTTTTATCTAGGTATATCTTAGTAACTTTTGTTTACTTGCAGGTGTATCCTAGTAACTGTAGATCCATTCAAGGGTGTAAAGAGCAAAGATGAGGAGCCACTGACAACACTGAAAAAGTTTGTGTCTTTTCATTGATTCAAAACTTTTAAACCCTTTTAGCCATGACATGACAAAATTTTAACTACAGTGTAATAAATCTCCAGGTTTGTTGAGAGGTAGATAGTCAAAACCATGGATGTTTTCTACACTCTGAAAAGAAAAGGACGTACTCCGTACGGATTTGATGGTTAAACCAGAATTCCCGTCAACTAAAAAAACAAACAGCACAAATGTCTTGGGGATGGCGGTGGGGGAGGGGAGAGAGTGCGAAAAAACCTAGGGCACCTTGTATTACACAGGGATATAAGTTATTCAAATCTTTAAAAACAATTATGAAACCAGCTGTATTACCTTATCTTAATCGCAGTTATTGGCTCGGATGGTTGACCGCAAGGGTCTTGTGGTATGGTAAGTGTCGCGTCACATATTTTGTCTTCTGATTGCAGATTGTAAAGTTTTAAGTCGGTCACCTGTTCTTTACCTCTCCTTGAAATACTATCAACCAATTACCCTTATATACATTAATAACATCCCGGACCGGGCGGACATTCTTCGATTCGTGTGAAAAGTCATTTGCCATTTATTGAAAATTTATCTTTGTTGTTCTCCGACAGATTCCGCCTTAAACCACCATATGGACCTAAGCCATGTCTGGGAATCCATCTTGCCATGGATAGCAAGGACACCATAAGTGTAGGCGATGCCATTTATGCGAGGAGGAAGCGGAACTAGATAACACAAATGATAATAGGCTTATTATTTACTTCATATCATTTAACAAAAATAAGGCAATATAAAGTTTATTTTTATAGAGTGTTTTATATAAGGTATACAATTTAGCTGGCAGAAAAAAAGTGCTTTTACTAATTAATAATCCATTTGTGTGAAAGAAACCTTTACAAAATAAAACGGCATTTGAAACGTAACTATAAAATGAAATGTCTTATGATAGTAACATCTTTGTGTATAAGTGGCGCATACCCAACCTGTTAGGAACACAATGGAATTTATCTCCAAACGTACTTGTTACTGGTTCTCATGTCCCTGTGTATTATCCCATACATAACACTTAACATTTGATATATATTATTTGTAGATGTAGGATCTATGATAAAATGAAGTACAGTGTTTGAGAATGTGAAATACAGTATTTAGGAATGTTTCTTTCATATACACAAACAAATTTACTTACCTCTATATGAATCACGAATATCAATTATAGATCTGTCACGTGACTATGCAATTACATATCTGCCATATGATATACAATGATATTAATTAGAGATCTCTTTTCGTGGTGATACTCCACACCAATGCAGAATCCGAAGGGAGGGTGTAGTATTATTTGTATGCAGCCCGATACCTTTAATTTTTTTTTATAATGTAAGATTTAAAATAACGCCTACATGTTATCCTGCCAATCAGTCTCAAAAAAAGACATCGATAAGAAAGCATCAACAAAAACCCTGATTTGAAATTTGGTTCGATAATTTGTTAAAATTCAAGACACTTGTTTTTTGTTGAGACATTTTATCGTGCTGATGCGACTTAATTATGTATTGTAATATGAACAAACAGTTATCAGCAGTTGGATTGCATGCGTACAATATAGGTCTTCCTTGTTTAATTGAAGTCTGTTGTTTAATATATATATATATATTTACGAATATATATCATACAGCTTAAGGTATATTTTGCTGCAATGGCACTTAAACTCGTGCCGATTTTTTAGAAATAAATATTTCTACCATAAGACGATTGTGTGTGTTTTTTTTCTTTTTTTTTTTAAGAGAGAGGCGGAAACACTGGATGAAGGATAACGCTACTAATTAATATCCGATTTCAACGAGGATAAAGCAGTGTTCTGTTGTACCCCAGACCAGTATAAGATTTGGGAAATCTCCTTCCAGTTCTCAAAACTAGCGGTAACGAGAACTGTTTAAGGACGGACGGATACAGGGCGATTGATCATCCCAGCCTACCATCCTTTAAACCATCTGATGACGATGGGCTATAAGTGCGCTTTGGTGGCCACCATTATTTTGTCTTTATCTGTCCTTTAAATGCTTTTTCTCCTGATCTTGCTCTTACACACCCTAGATACTCCACGGGCTACGATCACTTTCGCTCCCTGCACCCCTGAAATATGTCATCGCAAAATTGAAGGCACAAGCGAAGTGATTTGATTAATTCCAGGAGAAAAAAGACCGATCACAGATGCCCCTTTTGAATGTTAGATATTAATAACCCCAGTTAAAATGTCAAATCCAAGATCGTCGCCTATCGTCCATTAACTTTTTGATGACTAGTTCCGAAATCAATAGGGCAGAGTTAGGGACGAAGAAGAACATACATACAGAATCTGAGAAGGATCCATGGTGTATTTCTCGAGAAATAGCGATGACAAATTTCCAGTGTCAAAATCTATGATGGCCATATCATTTGTCAGCTATTTTGTTCATTTGATCTGTCCTAAAATCAAAGGGACACAACTAGGAACAAAGGGTAACCAATACTTGAAATTTGAGTAAGATCAATTTAACACATCTGAAGCGATATTAACAATTGTTTACGGAAGGACCATGGACCAAAATGATCTGATGCAGGCTTATCCTGTCTAGACCAAATAAAAAGGTAACATTAATTTAGGTCATCTAGCCGCTTGATCACTGTTAGAAAAAGGCGTGTGAAGACAGACAAGGGTCTGGTTTATCGAGATTATTGTCACTTGTCAACTTAGGAGATGGCTTCAAAACTACGAAATTCCAAGTTAAAAGACTATGTAGGACCTAAAGAATAAGCAATCGCCATGCAAGTTTTAGAACTGATTACTAAAGAATTTGATTTCCTCCACGGTGACCTGTCTTCCTCCAGGATTCTTCAACTTGGTTATAAGAACAAGTAACGCTGATCAGGGCACCTGTTTTAGCGATGTGTCGGTAGGCCCATATCTAGGATTGATTAACGAATTTCGGGATGCAGTCCACGCACAGTTTGAAATTAGTTTATCAAAGTGTAAAATGGTTTTTCTGAGAGATATTCTAAATGTGTCAGTTTTTAAATCATTTGCATTAGACGAAGTAAAAACTGCGAAGAAATACACCGATTCGACCCGGAAATCGTTCCTATTGTTGATAGAATTCCTACGGTAATGTTGTTATAGGCCCTACAACAAGTAAACAATCTCTCTGAATCAAACATAAATACAACAACAACTATGTAACAAGTCGGTTGACAGAAGTTCTTCTCACTCTAGACACTTGATACATACTTTAACTGGATGATCTGGAAATCACAATTGATAATTATAGCTACATGTACATGTAATGGAAATGGTTTGTTTACATATGTAATTTAGGTATTTATGGAGTTATCTTCACATCTGAGAAGTTCAGAGTTCATGAGGTCTAAGGTCACTGATGCATTACAGTACTAAAATAGCAAATGGCATGGAGGAAAACTTCCAAGGTCATGGTGTCAGATGTCACAGGTACAATAAAGGTTTTAAATAGCTAAGTATTTCATAAATGGTTGGTACTTTGTAACGGTTAGTATTGTATGGGTATACGGATGGATTTCTGTGAAATTTTGCACACATATTATACATAACATATTCTGGTGTTTCTGTGAACACCATTTGTCAGTTATTATTGTACTATTATGGGATGGTCACGTGGACTGTTCAAATCTCCTTCGTCCATCCATCCATCGTTTAATCCTTGTCTTTGCTATTTCTGGAGCAACACACGATGGATCATGGTGGATTCCAATATGAAGGTTACTCTTGGTGTCTGGTAATGGAAAAAAAAATACTTTTTTTAATTATGTCTACCGTCAAACGGAGGGGGGGAGCTGATGAAGTTTATCTACGTGCATTTCCTTGATGATCGTTTACTGTTGAACATCCCTTAGTTCATTTCAGAATGCATGGAGTTAAATGCAGACACACACACTCACACACAAACACACACACACACACACACACACACACACACACACACACACACACACACACACACACACACACACACACACACACACACACACACACACACACACACACACACACACACACACACACACAAACACACACACACACACACACACACACACACACACACACACACACACACACACACACACACACACACCTGTTACTCCAAGCAAAAGGAAGAGTCACAAACTAACACGGACATGCCATTTAGTTTATGTGTACACTTTAACATGGTGTATAGCCTTCTGATCTCCAAGAGTTACTTCCCTTCGTGTGTAGCCATAATCTGGATCTTTACTCGTAAAAAGAAAACAAACAAAACATGTACAGCACACGGCTCGGATCGCTATTTTGCAAGTGATTTCTTATTTAGTGGATAGCGAGATTTTAGTATTTTCAAAATCTTCTGTTTGAATCGAAAGTGCAAGAATTTCTGTTCATCGGTCGGTCTAAAAATAAACGTGCAATCATAGTTACTGTGTCTTAATATAGATTAAAGATGGGAAATGTACTTGAAAAGACAAATCAAAACTTGAATTTAAAGGCCCAGTTAATGTTTGATATGTGACATTCTATAATCACGAGGAGACATTGAAAATTGAGATGACATTTTATCGAATTTCCAACACTATCAAGTAGGAATCTGTGTCACTTACACTAGCTTGTACCCCATCGGCTGTATTCATCATCAACAAAGATAATAAAGTCGGATTTTGGTCAGTAATCGCCGCAACAGACATGATAAGAGTATAAGCATTTACCATCATTTGTCCAATTTGATTTTTAATTGTTTCGGTGTCAGCGCACTCTTGTACCAATTATTAGAATGGGATCTTAAAATTATCCGATCTCCCTGTATTTGGTTCTGTTCCCTAATAGCTGGTACATGTATACACTTGGAGTCAAAATTGAATTTGAATTTGGGAAAACCCGATCCGTAATAAATGAGACTTGCCAAAATCCAAGATATTTTTTCTTATAATTGGCTTTTGGATATAGTTAACTGAAACACGGACCTTGGATATTGTGATGTACCATCCTAAGTTGTCCTGGAAATTAATACATTGAGGAAATGTAACCAGGAATAAATAGTGATTTATTACTACTAAAATGAAGCTGAGATGTAAGGAATAAACAAGGAAAAATTGGAAAAGTAGCAAGAAATCTTTAACATTTAGTCAGAGGAGTGATTGTTTACAAATTATTTAGCTTCTTAGGTCCAAACTTTAATTACTTTTTTAATACTTGACAGAGATATACGTAAAATCAATGTACTCTGTGTGACCATAATTGTACAAGTATATACGAATATGAGTTATCCGTCTCAGAATTGTTTTATTTGTGCGAGCCTAGGCGAGCGAAACTAAAAGCTTCAGACATGTTCCAGAAATTTTATGTGAAATAAAAGCAAATTTCTCACACTTCACATAACTCAGAAAAGTTAATATTTGACAGCTTTTGATGTTCAGTCCATGACGTAACGACATTGTCCAGATTATAATACCATCATCGATTTCTAACATCAGAAATGAAAATTTGCTGGAATATAATTCATTAGTGACTTTTTTTTAAAAACGACAGCTGAGTATTTTTTACTGGTCGATACACGCAGCAATATGTCTATGATGTTCTCTTCTAATAATCAACCTCCCTGTCTGTCATAAACCACTAAACACGTTGTACATGTGGGGTTATTTTATTTTTCAATTTTAGAGACGATTGATATTTTCTGTGTTATCGAGGTACATCCATCCTTATTTGATTTATATACACTCTGTCAATGACCTTCACTGGCATTCCCGATAAAAGGCAAAAACGTATTAAAAGAAAGGTGAGGAAAATTCACCACAAGTGGATAAAAGTATTTTTGCATTCAGTGCTGAATACTAGAAAGCGAGTACCGAGTAAATGTAAAAACCGTTTCAAAAGAAAACGTGCCGGCTGACAATTAGATAAGGAAATTATAAACATAGAAAATATGAGAAATAGATCTTAGTTAATGCATTTAGAAAATTCACAAACTTATGTAATATTCCCACGAACCGTATTGTGCCATACGATTCTGAAAATTACTTTTTCTTGAAATACTGAGTGATAGCAGTCTGTCTAGGGTTCTCCATCGGGGGTATGGAATCCAGAGTATGGAACACGTTCCACATAGCATCGAGATGATCCCCTAAATTAAGGTGATTCTCGAAAAACCTGATACATCTAATGGCACAATGCTTCGCCTCTTGTACAGACACAAAGTTCGACAAATTAACAGGAAATGACATTCCTTTTTGATCATGATTCTCATGACAATGACCTTCAAATGACCTTTCATTGGCTGTGTCTGGGGGAGTATTAGCATGCTGAGAACGGAAGGACAATACTGATACAGGGAAAGCGCTATTAATCTCCCCTTCGTGTCTATCAGGGGGGATACAGAGGGAATTAGGCGGGTCCGTGTCCGAGTCCGGTTCCCAAAGATTCTGACCTTGACCTTCCTGATCAATGTCCATGCTACCTGAACGTCTAGTGTCGTGACAGTCTTGGTAATCGCCGTTGTTACTACACACTTCCTGTTTAATTACTACACTGTCCGGTTGTGGGGAGTTAGGGTTCGAATCTGACATGTCGGATGTCTGTGCCGCTTTTAAAGTTTGGAAATCGTTCAAGAATGACCAGGAGTGTGTGACTGTAGGAAAGGACTCGTCGACAACACTTTGGTCGATTACTGAATCGGTAAAGTTGTTAACACCGCTACGCCCAGTCAGTTCATTTCCCTCCAATAAACTGAGGTCCACACTGCTAGCTGTATCAAACTCCATCAAGGAAAGTCTACGGGCTATTTCTTTACCGTCTTTGGTGTTTAATCCTTGTCGTTTCTTAAATTTAATCAACCATCCTTTAGAATACGAAAACGACTGGTCAATATTAAGAATGGCTCCTATTTTTTTTGCATTGTCAAGAATAAACTTGTCTGTGAACACTAGTTTTGGGTGAGATTTCCGTAGGTTTGCCAGCCATTTCACAAGTTCAGTCTCTAGTTTCCGATGGCGCCCGCCTCTGCTCCTTAGAAGATCCTCTTGGTCTGGGGTTATATTCAACCATTTTTCTTTTTGCCGAATGATGTCACTTAAAGTTGAACGTCCGATTTTAAGGTTCCATTTACTTAGGCAGTGTTTAGCTAACTCGTCGTAGGTAATTTTAGGATGATACTGTTTGTAAACACATATTTCACGTTTGTGTTTTGCTGTGATCTCAACCCTGTTACGCTTTGCCACAGGTTTTGTAAGTTCGGGCGTGTTCAGTGATACTAACGTCCCCATCCGTACTTCTTTGTTAACTTTATCCATTGCGGTTGTCAACTTCCTGCGAAGTTCACGCTCACTGCTCACCATCGCCGATTTCTCGTCGTTATCGTCAGGTCTAGTGGTCGTTACACAGGTGTCGGAATTGACAGTAGTTGATTTGCACGATTTTGCAGTGTTTTCATCAGCCAATGGCGGAGACGGTAACTTTTCGTCACAATCAGATGTGAGAGATTCACTGTAGCGGTCAGACAACGCTGTGACAGTAGTAGCTACACTGTCCACTGATTCACCGTCCGCCATATCCATTTGACCGGTAATGTATACGTATTACTACATGCAGTTTTCCGATTGTGACTTGTCCTGATGTATTTTAAAGTTACACATTAACTCGGTGAATACGTACCATAATACGTCAGTATATATTATTAAATCCGTTTTGAATTACATAGTGTATAATGCCCCAAATGTCAATGACTTTGTCTGGTTTTGTACACACCAGTTCGTACGCTTGTGTTTCTCTTCCGGTTTAGGATCCATTAGCGCATGCGTTTTGTAGCATTATCGGAAACGTCGGATTATAGTAACCACTATCTATTTATAGCACGGCTATAACAAACACTTCTTTACGAGCAGACGATACAAGCCATACACAACTTCCACACAATGTCTTTTTGTATATTCGATCCACTTCTTGTGTTCACATGAATTAATAAATGAACGGATGCTCTTTTGTATTGATATAAATTTTTTGAAATACGAAAAAGAAAACAACATACAAATTCTTTATTAAAAACCCGATAAATCGAATATTTCTATTGTATATAACATGCTAATACTTACGTATATTATATGAATGGATATAGTTAGTTTAACGCAGTAATGTCATGCATGCACATCGTATGTTACATCAGTGCACGATTGTCAGACGCTACACAACAGTGTATCGTTATACACACTGGCACACACTTACTCTACCGTTTAATTTACACACATATATACGCATGCGCTATATCAGCAGACACGCTGTAAACTGCCGAGAGTCATTGTGAATCTGCTCCAGTTTAAATGTATGATGTGGAATAACGCCACGTAAATTACAGCATTCTTTTGTGTCAGTGACTCACAAAATTGAGGTACGTATTTATTTAATCGATTGAACGCTATGGCAAGTCTCGGTGAAGAAATGTGTTCAATGGAAGAGCAAACTAGGTCACATTCCGATATAAGGACAATGGCCGACGAGTCTCCTAGTGCTCCGCGCAACGACGCAGTTCCCCTCAATACGTCCGGAGTATCACCGGAGAAAATAAAGCGAACCCGAGTTGGTCTAACAGCGAGACATAAACGGGAAATTTGTCTGTATAAACAATTTAACCCTAAAGCAACCCAAGAGAATCTTGTCCAATTTTGTAAAGATAGGTGGAATTTACCAGCTGGGAGGACAACATTGGGGGAAATACTCCGCCAGAAGGACAAATGGTTGAGTATCACTCCGGACCAGGAGGAGATGAGACGGAGCAGAGGTGGGCGACACAATAAATTGGAAGTGGAACTTTTTAAATGGATATCGGCTCAAAGAAAAATCGATCAATCGAACACTTTGTCGGACCAAACAATCATCGATCAAGCCAAAATTATAGGTCAGGAACTAAATATTGACCCATCGTTTTCGTATTCCAATGGCTGGTTATTCAAATTCAAGAAACGCCACGGAATTAAAAGTAAGGGTACTACGGGACGGTTTCAGATTTTAGAGAACTGTTACTCCTATGATGAACATAATCCTGGTGTATCATTTGACGGGAAATTATCGGAATATTCAGATTCGGAACCAAATTTTCATGGTGGACCGAATATGTTTAGTAACGTTTTTGGTAACAGTTTAACCGGACCCTCAGTGGTGGATCAATCCCACGTTTATTCTCCATACACATGCAATTTGAACACATATGGAGAAAAAGAGACTGCTAATGATATTCCTCGACCACACAACATATTTCCATCATCGGCTGAAATGATAATTAAGGAAGAATGCATCACAGACGATGAAAACAGTAACGATTTTGAAGATGCCGACGAAAGTATAAACTCAGTTCAAACTAGTGTTACACATTCACCATTGCTACAATTAGAGTGCGACAACGAGGCACACGCGACCTCATCACGACAACTTGTTGTCAAAGAAAGAGACAATACAGCTCATCAAAGTCAGCGTCCGCGTTGTGCAATTCTTCCAATATCGACGAAGCGAATTATTACGGCATCTGAAGCGAAGCACGGCGCTCTTCTGTGCATCCGTTACCTTGAACACCACCCCGAACTGGGGGAACACCTGGATACAATGTGGGAGATACATGACGATATAGAAGCACATTATGACCGGGAGATGTCCAGCCAGAGAACTATTACGGACTATTTTCGTCGGAGCAGAAGACGGTCTGATGTCGGACTCTGATAAATTAAGGGGAAACATTTATTTTTGAGCAGTTCTATAGCCCTCACTTTGAATAGAGAAACCATGTTCAACACTAGTGTGCAATCGCAGTATTAGGGTTCCATTTTTGCATTTGCACTATTTCACTGCTGTATAGTATTTTGCTGTACCTAAAAATATAATAATATTATTGTATAAAACATTCTATGTATGTGATAATACAGAAAAAAAATCTCAACAAAAAAGTTGTTGAGATATGCTCGGGTAGCTGGAAAAAATGGCTATAATTAAACAAACAAACCGTATCAAAAGCTAAATGTGAGTTAGGAATGAGTTTTAGAAACTTTGAACACAATGTGATGCTTCGAAATGATGAGACATTATTTGGTGGGAGACACGTCAGCTAGCTTGTGTTCATCTGACGTTTAACGTCACCATATCGGCCTAAACATTTCACATTTTTCAAAACAAATTATTTCTTCATGTTACTAAAGCATGGTTGTTGCTAGTGTGTACACGGAATGAAGTGTGCGTACTTATATGTCTGCATTATTGTGCTGAAAAAATGAGATAATAAAAGTTAAATTTCAAAAACGAAAATGATAGTTATGAGTATGTATCGACCTTTTTCGAGTTAAGATGAACAAATTAAGTTCAAATATGCGAGAAACTATCAAGATTATCTGAACGAATCTGCTTATTTTGGCACAATAGAAGACCAAGATGGAATTTTGACTTAACAAGACCAGAGACGTATATATCACATATGTTATATACGTCTCTGACCAGACGTAAGACTCGTGTTTGTAATGTATAGTTGCTGAGAAATCACTTTTATCGGGAAAGTAAAAATCCATGTTCCTCCGATACATAACGATAAACAAACCGACGTACATTTTTTAATAACGTACCTTTTTTATTAGGATTTCTTAAGATAATTTCAAACAGAAGAATGTTTTACTTTTACAATAAATAGTTGCCGGTAGCAATGTATTGTCGTTCTTTCATCACGACATTTTAAGAGAGACTGTTTTTTCATAACGCCGTTGTTATTTTGACAAAAAGTTAAGTCTCACAAAGAGTCACAAGGGTTAGGTAGAGGTACAGTACTGTACATACTTTAAATTTCGAACGTCATCTGTACTTTTTCAGAAGTTTCAGTTTGTCTGACCCAAAGAATTAATAGAAATATGTCAAGACATAAAACAGTAATATTTCATCGTGACTTGGCAATTATCAGTTGCATCAATTTCCCTAAACCACGGTTGTATTAAAATTGCGCACTGACAGAAATAGTAGTGTGATGCCATTTTTCTTGTGTTTGATACGAGTTACTTCCCCTGTATTGTGTTGACACGTTAAATAGGTAAGTAACGACCTGGAAACACTTTACGTTGTACATCAATTAATCAAGATATTGGAGTGTCAGACAGATATTATAACAGAGGAATTCGTAGATAGAACACGTTTCACTTAGACAAAGTATCAGAGAGTAAACTTCGGTGATCTTATGCAGGTGAAATGGTGGAAAATGAAAGTAGGCCATAAGTAGTGTTCAACTAAACAAACTTTCACTTCACCAAAATAACAACAATACTTTATAACAAATAGGCTTCGCTTGTACATGTTCTGAATTATATGCAAGATGTAACAAACCTTCACCATGAGCATTATAATGTTCTACCACATGAGCTACATACACCCAACACTTTACAAAATGAGAGTTTGCTATGTCTATAAAACTGAAGTAATACAGAATTCAACAAAAGTACCATACACTAACAACATATGTACATTGTACAACACAAATACCACCTGGACAACCTTCATTACAACAGCTAATGTACAATGGAATTCAATTGTTCATAACGCAATTATCATATTTCAAGAAATACAAAATTTTATAAAAGCATGCTTCAAGAAACAATGAATTCTGCTTACCAATCGGTCTCCACGGCTACATGTACAGGAACTGTAATATGTTGTATCGCTTTAAAGATGTAGTCAGTGAGTGGCAAGTTAACATTTTCACTAATTGTTGGCCTACATACACTGTAAACTGACATTGTCAACTGTCCCAGTGTGACCTATGAACTTATAACTTTGCATTTCCTGTTGTAGTGATTGTTTTGTAATCCTGAAGCTGTCAACATGGGAGGTGACAAAGGTAAGTTGTAAGATTAGTCAGATATAGAAATAGAGGGCTAAAGCTCACTTTGTGTCCTCAAAAGAGATATTGAAGTCAAATGATAGCAATGTCCTCTATGTACAAGCATATAGTCGGTATGTATATATATTATAGAGGTCTCTACAGTAACTTGTATTTCCCTGTCACTGGATTCATACAGGACATTGAATTCCAAGTTTAGTATGATTTACATGAATGTAGAAGGAAGTTTCAGACTTGCAGCATGCTGAATATTGAATTTAGCTTGAAACTTCTTGTTGATTTATAATCAGTGGCTTTCAATATCTTTAAAGTGACCGAGGGTAGTAAACATTCAATCTATGTTAAAACTCAATGTAAGTTTACATAGTAAAACACAGAATACAACTTAAGGGTTTACAATGATTTGAATATTCTATACTGTGATGTGAAGACACCCAGTAATGACTCTGTGTCATTTTTGGAAAATATCTAAATGAAAAAAAAATGCACTATCATCATACATGCATGATTTTTTCCTGCTGTATTGAAAATAGATCACATGATCTCATGATCTCATGATCTCATAAGTTTCCGTTGGAGAGATAAATATGAATTGCTTCCCTTTTAACCTGGGCATGCATACCGGTATACATATGATCAATGAAGTAATAACAACAGTACAGACAACTGAATTGTCAAATTTTCAAGGCAATCTGCCCTTTTACAAGACACAGAAAATAAGACACAAATATTACATAAATCACATCACATACATCGAACATGAAACAAGTACAAAGTTATAAGCTAAAATCAGGAATGTTAGTGTAAATTTAGGTGTCTTGATATTCCCTTTGGCCAATGTATACTGAAAGCCCTTTATAAGGGACAAACAATCGTCTTAGAATGTTGTATGAAAGATGGTGATTCAAATATCAGTTTTATGTAAATCTCTGTTATGTTGTGCACAGTAGCCACTGAGGGTATATGTGATTGCAGAAAAAAAAATTATTTCACACTCGGATGAAAGGTGTTTACCAGTACATCTCAGTTCAATAAATAAGGAATTGTTGATTAGAAATAAGAAATTTTATTGTGAAGATATTACAGAATGTATGATTGCTTACAATAAAAAGAATTTTTTATAAAAATCACCAGTTATATATATCTATTATAGTAAAACGCATTCAGTGAACATATATTTTTAGGATCCAGTACCATATTGGACCATACCTTCTATATTACTTACTAAATTCTATATATTCAATTTCAGATCGTCAGCACATATGAAATCTAATAATTAATTAGTAGTAACCTGTTTACCATAGGAATTCAGATAACTATCTTTTTTGTCATTATACAAAACCTTGGTACTGACAGCTCTGAATGTTAGAAGTGATTTTTGAAAAAAAGAAATTTTGTAAATTGACTGTTTTGTTCTTATTAGAGCATAATGTATTAAAAATGTAAAATTTAGTCATAAAAGAACCATATATACATCATCAGACATGAATAAAAAAGAAACAATCTTTCTTCAATAGCCCAAAGCATGTAGGATGTAACTTAAATCCACGTACCCTGGTATCTACCCTCATTTAATATTGACAAATATATGATACTTACTTGCCTGGACAGATATCTCTAACAATGTTCCATTTCAGTAGGGAGTAAACGAAGACATCGACATGACAGTTCTACATCAGACAGTTCAGACTCCAGCAGTACTTCATCTAGTTCAGGTATTGTCATCTATTTAAGTCTCAGTTTTTATGGCTCCGATGAAAACAACTCTAGATTCTTTATGCTTATGTTATATCAAAAGTCAAAAAATTTTATTACTATCTTAAACTTTTAATTTTGTATCAATAAATTTATATTAGTTATTTGGATTTTAAGTATCAATTTGTCATGAATTGAATTTGAGCAATACACACAAGATATTTTGGAACATTTTCTCCAGGTTGGTAATGTAAATATAATAAAAGTTCTTATAACACAACCAGTAGAAGATTTGAATGTGACATTTTGATGACTGCACAGTCACCTTCATCAGACAAACAACCAGTGTGAATTTGCTTACAAGCAGTAATGTAAGAATCTTCGCACTGGTCATTTGTCTAATGTAGATACAAGTATGGCCATCATTTCTTAATTGTCCTTCAGAGAAATGCTGTGTCCTAACCAAGGTATAAAAGTTATCTTTTACTGCCACATTAATGTAAAATAATTGATTGAGGAGATAACAGATAGATCTGTCAGATTTCCTGTTTGTTTGTCAAAACATCCCAAAGTTTTGTTGTGAAAATTTCAAAGAAAGGCCCATATTGTAGGTGGCGAGTATACTGCTTGTTTTTATTAGAATCTAATGAGGGGACTAATGTGGAGGTATCTGCAGAATCAGGGGTTTTCTTTCACCATAGAAAATTGATCATGTTTAGGCAGGTGACATCCACACAAAATTAATGAATAGTCGTCAGTGCTATACACATCAGTTATGGAGGTCTTTTTGTTTGCTGTTGTCAGATTCATCACCAGAAAGAAGAAAAAAGTCTTACAGACATTCAAGAAGTTCATCTAGTTCAGGTTTGTAAACACTTGAATTATGTTCTGACAATTTCCTTTTAACCAGGAAGGTCTAACACATCCCTGATTTAACATTGGATTACACAATAAATAGTCCAGTTAATAAGAGTATTGCTTTCTAAGAGCAGCTAGAAAAAAAACAATATGAATGTTAGGTTTGTAAAACAAGTCTCAGTTTCAACCCTGGTAGCACCATAAACAAAATCTGACCTCTGTTAGACATGTACACTAAAGTATGTCACTCGAACATGTACTTTAAATTGTGTCCCAACACTAACGCATGTGTCTTACATGTAATGCATGTAACACAATTACTGGTATAAGTCTTAGTGTTTGTTTTCTTTACTTATGTCTTTAGGTGTATCAACAGTACAGTGTCTTAATGTGTCATATGTACATGTGTCTTAAGATATATCAACAGTACAGTGTCTTAATGTGTCATATGTACATGTGCCTTAAGATGTATCAACAGTACAGTGTCTTAATGTGTCATATGTACATGTGTCTTAAGATATATCAACAGTACAGTGTCTTAATGTGTCATATGTACATGAGTCTTAAGATCTATCAACAGTATAATGTCTTAATGTGTCATATGTACATGTATCCTTTGACTTTAAGTACTTATGTGACGTTTTTTGTGTGAACAGATTAAACAAATAAGCCTAGACAACTATTTGAATCAGCTCATTCATTGGCAGATACTCATTGTATCCAGATCCAGACACAAAATCTATACCACTCAAAGCAGAAATTTTGATAGGTCAAATTGAACAAACCAGGGTTTTTTTTGTAAAGGGTTTAAATGTGTGTGGAAATGACGACAGATTTCTTGATTCCTAACTATAAAAAAAGCTAAATCTATATGAAAGTCTTTGTGTCATGATATGAATAAGCTAACTTTATTGAAATGAGATGACCCTATGTATACTGAAATGAACTTAATTACATCAGATATTAATGCATATCAGCTGTGTAAGTTACCGTATTCTGAATTTCATTTTTTTATTTCACACAACATAAACATATATATGGAATCCTACTGATGTTCTGTAGTGATGTCTGATCCAGTATACAATCTTTCATCATAAAAACAGAGAGTGATGTTTACTGTCATATATTTTGGCATTTCGTTTTTCTAGATTCATCACCCAACAGAAAGAAAAAATCCCACAAACGACCTCACAGTTCTAAATCAGGTATACTATATTGTAAAATATGAAATGTTACTTTCTAAATGTCTTTAAGACTATTGTGCTGAAATCAGTAGAAATAGTATTATATTGCTGATAAGAGTTATTCCCCCTAGATTTTATACAAGTATTCTTTGCAGCTGAAGGTGTTGTAATGACAGTCAGAAATCAAATGAAAATAAATAAGATGTTTAATCACAAGATCATTTTATTGCTATTAATTGCTACTTCAAGATCTAGGATATGCAGCTTACATAATCAAGAATATGGCCATGGATACATATAGGAAAATACATCACTAATATCTAACAAACATCACTGATTTAAATTCCTTTGATCCCCAGAATATATTCCGCCTAAGAAGAAAGTGCACAGAAGGAGCAGATCATCCAGTTCCAGCTCATCAGGTTTCTATATTACAGTATTTTGTATAATCCCTAGTTTATAGAATTAACATTTAATAATTGTTGAGAGGAAAAAAAGGTACTGGTGTGTAGTGGATTCTTTTCCCATTTGAAAGTTTTCCCAGTTAAAAGATCGGTTAACTAGCTCTTTACTTTCTTTCCTCCTTGGGGAAAAATCTTTTGGCTAATTTGAACCCCAAACCCCAGTTAATTTTTCCATTAATATTGGTTATTAAGGAGGAAGTTGATTTCTTCTCCCTTGATTATCATATTGGTTTTTAGGGGAAAGTTACCAGAGTTCACTGAATCTTTCCTCCCTTATGTTTGTATAGGGAGAAAACTATCCATGTCGCCTAGTTGTCTCCCCCTAATACCAATATCATGGTAGAAACATTTTGATTATAAGGGAGATTGAAGGTGAGAGAATTGGCTGAAGTAGATAATTTCTACCTAATACAGCATCCATATCAAGTGGGAAAGAATCAATGACACAGATAACCCTTCCTCCCTCCCCCTCCCCTCCTCCAAAACGCCCAACCAAAAATCTAATCAATTTTAAAAAAGAGGACATATTGTGAAAGCGAAATGTAATTAAGAGCAACAACTAAACAATGTTTTCAATATCAGACTTTCTTTTCTCATGCATATTCCCCTATCTACAATTTGTGTACAATTTATTGATTTTCCATTTCCACTGATAACATAATATCTCCTTTGTTTTATGTAAATTTTAGGTAAATCTTGGGTATCATCAAACTAATCCGATTAATTTTTCTTGCTTTTCTTAGCAAATATTTCTGTAACCATTTGAAACTCCAAATATGTATGGATAGGTTTTTCCTTCATGAAAGAGTTTTTGTTCAGATTTCAAACAAAAGGTTATTTTTCATTCCACTAGAAGATAACAAACAAAAGGTTATCATTTTTCATTCCACTAGAAGATAGAATTTTGTAGCATACTGTGTAGTTGGTAATTTTCAAAGGTCAAATTTTTAAATGATCAAATTATATTTCAACTGATTAAAGTTTTTTAATCTGGTTGCAAAAAGACATCTTACACACACGGGTCTCATTACTTCATGGGAACAAATTTTCATTATCACTTTAATGTACCACAAAGTGAAAAAATATTCTTGCAAAAATAACCATATATATGGTGTTTCATGCTGCAGGTTTTAGCTTACAACAGACTCTGATGTAAATTGATAAATCATGATGGGTAGGCACTCTTTAAACTTTGGACAAACACAAAACCAGTTTACCTGATTCCTTTGGTCAAATAGTTAGTCTGTTAGCGACATTGACATGACAAGATTTAGCTGTTGAAATGATTTCAAAGCTGAGAACAAGGATTTCTATGTTATCAATTTGATTTTGTCAGATCCCTCCTTTTAAATGTCTGTGGTTTAGCATACTAAATATGTATTGTGAGGGTAGAAGGATTTTAAAGGTACTGCAAATGCACTTATAAGTCAATAAGTGTAGGAGTACTTGATTACATGAATGTGGTTTGTCTTTTTGAAAAATCACAAATTTCTATAGGTGCTTTTGGTAATGATAGGGTATCTTATGCATGATTTTGATATCCCAGAGTTACTTCCCTTCCTTTCACTCAGGTTCTGACAGATGGAATGTAATAGCAAGGAGTGAAATAGACTCAGGTAGTTTATGTTTAACACATAAATGTAGAGATAAGGTATGGTTGAATATTCCAGATAAAAGATGATCCCTTGCCATTAATTTTTTCCATTTTTTACGTTATCTCTAACACTGACCTTTATGTAAGATTATGTTCTAGTCACTGTATTAAAATCATATAAAGATGTAATTATAAGATGTAAGAAACTGATAGCCGATTCTTTCCCCGGGGAAGAAATTAATGACAGAATGGGAAGGTATGAAGAATTAGCTATTATCAATAAATATTTTTGTGATATTTTTACTAGATATATTCATTGATAGCTTTGATTGATGATTGTGTCTGTTAGGAAACTGTGCATATAAAATGTTTTCTTTCTCTGCACAGAGGAAGAGAAAAGGAAAAAGAAGAAACATGATCACAAACACAAGGTATGTGATTTATCAGAATTAATCTTAATCAAACAAGAAACAGAAAAAATCCTTTCAATTTTATTTTGAATAATGGTCATTGTTTTAACAATTTGTTTCATTGCAATGTTTAGAAGACTTACTTGACATTTTTCTTCGTCTTAAAAGAATTTTGTTGTTATTGATGTTTATTTCTTTTGCATAAACCATGCTGACCTTGACTTTGACCTGGTGGTGACATATGGCTCTGTGTGAAACCAACCCTGAACAACTTGATGTGCTAACATCTTGGACACTTAGAAAAAATCAAAGAAACACCATCGACATTCCAAAGAGGATGGTGGCCCTGTACAGTTGTCTAAGGTAAGTGTAAACATGGGGTCCTGAACAGTAAACACAGGACCCTGTACAGATGTCTAAGGTTAGTGTACAACATGGGGCCCTGTACAGCTGTTTAAGGTAGGTGTTAGCATGGGGCCCTGAACAGCTGTCTAAGGTAAGTGTAAATATGGGGCCCTGTACAGCTGTTTAAGGTAGGTGTTAGGATAGGGCCCTGTACAGCTATTTAAGATAGGTGTTAGCCTGGGGCCCTGTACAGCTGTTTAAGGTAGATATTAGCATGGGGCTTTGTACAGTAAACATAGGGTGCTGTACAGCTGTCTAAGGAAAGTGTAAATATGGGGCCCTGTACAGCTGTCTAAGGTAGACATTAGCATGGGGCCCTGTACAGCTGTTTAAGTTAGATATTAGCATGGGGCCTCGTACAGTAAACATAGGGCGCTGTACAGCTGTCTAAGGTAAGTGTAAATATAGAGCCCTGTACAGCTGTCTAAGGTAGACATTAGCATGGGGCCCTGTACAGCTGTTTACATGGGGCCTCGTAGGGCGCTGTACAGCTGTCTAAGGTAAGTGTAAATATAGAGCCCTGTACAGCTGGTTAAGGTAGGTGTTAGCATTGGGCCCTGTACAGCTGTGTGAGGTTAAGTGTTAGCCTGGAGCCCTGTACAGCTGTTAGAGGTAGGTGTTAGCACGAGGCCCTGTACAGCTGTCTAAGGTAGATGATACCCTGGGACTCTGTACAACTGTCTAAGGTAAATGATAGCATGTGGCCCTTGCAGCTGTCTAAGGATAGTGTTAGCATGGGGCAAAGTAGAGCTGTCTAAACTTTGCCTGTAGCATGATGGGATGAAGGGCTACCAGGTTTGTTTAAATGAATGAACTTGACCTGCTTTCAAGGGCACAATGGTCAAATATGTTGAAATAATGTAATGACTTCTTCTCAATAACAGAAATGCTCATGTTGCTGATATTTGGCCTGTAGCATGCTTGGATTTAAGACTTCTAAACTTTTTCAATATAAATGACCTTGTTTTGTTTTCTAGGTCACAGGGGCTAAATATATTTAAATAAACTTCTTCTTTTCAATAATCAAAAGGCCCAGACTGCTGATACTAAACCTGTAGCATTCTAGGATGAATAGATACCAAGTTTGTGAATACAAATGTCCTTGACATGCTTTCAAGGTCACAGGGGTCAAATATGTTAAAATCTTTAAACAACTTCTCAATGACCAAACAACCCAGGATGATGACATTGTGCCTGTAAGATGATTGGATGCAGGGCTTCCAAGGTTGTTAAAATGATTGACCTTGACCCACTTTTAAGTTCACATGTGTGAAATATGTTAAAATGTTTAAATGACTTCATCTCAGTAACCAAAAGGCACAGGGTGCTGATATTGGGCCTGAAGTCTGATGGGATTAAGGGCTACCATGTTTGTAAATATTAATGACCTTGATCCACTGTCAAGGTCACAGTGGTCAAAGTTGTTGAAATGGGTAAGCAACTTCTTCTCTTTAACCACAAGGGTCTGTTGCTTACTTTTTCAACAAGCAATAAGTCCGAAGTAATGGCATTTGTGTAGTACAAAGAATATGATTTCAAGTTTGCAGAAAATGTCCTTATGAACCAACCAATGTCTTCTAGTAAGCTGAAGTGTAGTTGAGCATTTCATTTTAGGCTATTTGGCCTCTGTTATATAAAGGTCTTGATAGTCAGATGACTGTGTGCCTCTTGTTATTGTATAATCATTTACAATTTAATTAAGAAATATTGTATTTTTATATTAATTGAACTGAAAATACTTCTTGAGTAAAATCTCCCAAACTTGGGTATCAGTTTGATTAAGTAGTATTCATCGTGTAGTAAAGATGATTTCCAAGTGTGTAATTTTAAAATGAAACTCAATCAATAGAGAAAAAAAAAATGCAGTTGAAGCAAACATTTAATTGAATAAGATGAATGTCCATTTAATGATCTCATAACACAGCAGTCCATTAAATAAAACGGTAATGTTGTATATTCCGAAGACATTATCTATTTCATAATATAGAAAATTAGCAATCCATGAAATTGTAGGATTAGAAATAAGATAAAATTTTCTCTCAGAATTTACTAGCACATGAAAAATTCTGTAATTATATTTTGTGGTTTTAAGTGCCTTCTCTCAATCAACAGGCCGCTGGTTTTGAACAACATTATTTTAGTGTTGTCTCCCCTTGACCAAAACTAATGGTGTCCAAACACATCACTTACCCAAGACAAAATTAATCTTTGGTTACTGTACAACTGACCTAAGGAATAAGGGGAGAAATTCACATCAGACAGTCATTAAAAGTTTTTATTTCATTATGTTTGTAGGAATCTGGTTAACTGGTGTTTTCTTTTCATACTGTTTCATTTATTTTGACTTTATCATTGTTTGAAGTACTTTACAATTTTGTATAAAAGAAAACCAATGTAAAATATCCCTACTCTATATGTGGTTTCGGCATCAGAGTTATGATGGTTCTCCCACTACTCTGAAGTAGAGGATGCCTGGAAGTGTAGAGAATAAACTGGAGGATGTCCAAAATGTTATGCTGGATAGGACTGCACTGAACGATACTTAGGAAATTTATATGAATCAGTTGCGATTTTAGTGGGAAAGTAAACCGCGTTGCTGCAGTCTTTTAGGAGACAGAGGCAATGCTATGAATTTTCCAGGTAGATACATTCATTGATTAATTGTTACTGGTATTATCTTTCTTCATTCTGATCTATCGAAATTGATTAAATCATGGAACTGATGCACCTCCCTGACTGGATTTGGATTGCCTATCAGGTTTCAAAATTAAGACCATTAGCATCAATGAGGAGCCCTAGAAGGACAAAACAATTGTACGACCCAGTTTAATTCATCGTTCGCTTTACTTTAACTATCGCAATATTAATAGGGTGCTATTTATTGCATGTCTTTTTTATAATCTTCCAATTGGAAAGCCGCAGTGCAAGAATATCAACATTGCCAGTTAACATTATTAAATCACACTCAGTGTCAAACGTTATATCAAATTGTATAGTTAGAATTTCAGAAACTTTAGCTAGAAACCACAAACTCTCATATGAACACTAAAAAGAACACAATCTAAAAGACACTTGTAAGGCAGATAAAAGAAAGTTCAAACGAAACTATAACTCTCTTATATAAGGAAGGTTATTGTAGATACCTAAAGATTAAAAATAAAAGATATGGAAACGGCACAACTCTCTTATATAAGGAAGGTTATTGTAGATACCTAAAGATTAAAAATAAAAGATATGGAAACGGCACAACTCTCTTATAAGAGATGTTGGAAGTTTGAATTATTATTAAACGTTAGTTATAATGAAAATGACTTTCCACATTTTGTCTAACCGGTATCCAGTCATTGTTCTGAAAAACGTTATGATCTATTGTAAGCAAGTCTTCAGTATCTCTTCAATTTTTAACCACCACCGTTGATGTGGGAAAAATCATTATTATCCTCTGTTAGGATTCTTAGACTACAAGATGTATATTTTCAGGGGGTAAATACTGCTTCTCCATATTTCTATCAGGTTATGTATGGAAACGGCACTAGTGTAAATGCACCTGTGTCCAAATGCATGAAACGAAATTATACTATTGTAATGTCTGTTATATTGTAATGCCTGTTAGTTTTGAATACATGACTTATCCATGTATTTGTTTCTAGTTCATGAAGAGATCGCACAGTAAAGAAGAAGGAAACCGGAGTGCCATTTCTGGGAAGAAAATAAAGATGAAGGTCAAGAAATCAAAGAAAGATATTGCAGTAAGTATTCTTTATCATCATTAATGGATCAGAAAGTCGATTTTACTGATGCAGGATTAGATATGGTCAAAAACATTTCAGAAGCAAATAGAATATAAGACTGTAATCTAAATGCGACGTTTATACATTCTTTTTGGAGTATTTGCATAGTTTCTTAACATTCACGTTTATTCAAATGTTTCCTTACACTATTCTTTTTCTTAAATAATCAAATTTATTGAATGATATGATGAGAATAGTGCACTGCATCCTCCTATTTCCCTTTTTTATCGATGCGTTTTGATAGTATTTAGTTATATACGAAATATATTATCATTCTCTTGATTAGAGGTGTTAGTCATACTGTTATTCTATAGCTTTGCCACCAGGTATATACAATGTGAAACATTCCGACGAACTTTGTTCTTTGTTTATCTAAACGTTAAATATGGATGTAAAATTTAAGATTTAACTGTAAAATAAAAATCCGTTAATTTGCAGATGAATTAAGCTTGGAAATTAAAACCTTTCTGTCCACCCTATAACTAATATGACTCGTATGATACTCGTAGACTCGTAATGTTTACCAACACATCTGTTTAAATATTTCATAATTTTAAGATTAATATTAATTTGAGTGTATTAATATATAAAGAAATAATTGTTCTTGTGACGTTCATGTACAGGATAGGTATAAGGGTTTTATATCTTACTCTACCTTCTCGGTGATATATGTACATTTTCAATGGTAAATAACCTTGTAATACTAGTAGCACAATGGTTTAAAAGATGCAGGCTCAAAAAATTATGGGAAAGTTTTATGGTCGCCATAGTTATGCAGAAATATTCTATTTCAATTTGATGATCGTTAGTTTGCCTGTTGGTTCCGTTGTTGTATACCATGTTCTCGTTTGAGAACGTGACATTACTTACTTGAATTGACCAAGGTTTACATGGCAGATGTCGTGGATGAAGTAGATTCTAACTCTTCCGGACTTATTCTCCTTGTACTTGTAGTCTCCGTGTAAATCTCTGGTTCATATTTTGCTCTAGTTTTATTGAATTTGGCTTCAAATTATGATTATGTCGCCATGTTGGTATTTTCTTGATGTTTTTTGTATTGTTGTCGTTATCTCCATTTCTGCAGTAACATAAACTAGTCCATAGGCAAGTTATTTGTACATTTTGTGAGATAAATCCCATAAACGTTCCATGGATTAGAAATGTTTTACCTTTTTTTTTTGTCTTTTATTTCATCCCAACACTATTTCATCCTCATAACATCATTACATAACACACATTCAATATTGTCTATCACAATATGTCGTTATGTCCGAGACACATGGACAAGCTTTAGAATGTTAGAAAAATGAAATTTGATTTTAGAATCAGGATGACACTTATAAAGCAACGGATTAAGTAATTCACTAATTATTGAATTACTAGAAAACATATGATGTGTTTGCATTTATTCTTGCAGATGGCCAAGAGCCGTGCTCAGAAGCTGGACTTTCTAAACGCAGTGTTGTAGGGGAATCGACGGGACCACTCGCCCAATTCCAGTCGTAGAACACAATGATAATATATGTGAATCCTATGTAATTTATTATGAAATAAATTTTATATAATAAAACGATATATTTGAGTTGTTCTGTTGAAACTTCCAGTTGCATTAAGTTAATCAAGGCAAACTATGTACACAGAATGTATTAAGTATTTCGCCGTTAGATATCACGGGACATACGGTCATGATGTAGGAATATGAGCCAAGACAATTCAGAAAATTAATATTTATGTGGCAAGAAAGATTTAGATATTTCAAAAATGATATTTAAGATATTCTTGGTGCTTTCAACAAAATAGTGTGACACACAAAGTGACATTTACGCAAACTATCGTCTCATTGCTTACATAACCAGGTAGCTTATTTCTTCACGATTTCGTGACTCTTGACGAGTCAGTTTGAGATCTATATGAGACCAAACATAAAACAGAAGCGTTATGAATCTATTATGAAAATTGTAGTATGTGCCTAGTAATAATTTTGTTAGTAATATTATTTGTGAACATGGGTAACAATGGCGACTAAGAGACAACATCACGGCTTCACAAAAACAGAAAACAAATATTGACAATTGCAAAAAATTCGCAATAGTTTCCACAAATGGTACATGCTATTAGTATCCCCCCTAATACCTTTTTACAGGAGAATAAGACCAGGTGTTCCGGAAAGGTAAGCTTTCAACGACACTTATCGTGCACGTTTTGGTCAATTTAAGTAATGTCACGATCCGAACAAAATAAAAAAAAAAAAAAAAACGAAACGACCAGGCACACAAACAAGCATCAAGCGCTTTAGATTCACATCGCGTAAAGAAACTGAGTACTTCTCAATGAGATCACCACGCTAAACATAAAACTCCCCATTCTGGTGTATATACCTTATGTCTGAATATGATATAGTGTGTACTTTTGTCGAAAGTTGGCCATATTAATTCATTGTCTATTGTTTCTATTCAATATCTTCATTTTTGAATTTGCAATATATTCGGTAAAACGCTATCCATTTGGTCAGTCTGATCAGATACAAAATATTTAGGTCTTTGGCCTAGTATTGACTGAAGATAACACTTCAGCTACTCTCCAGTTTTAAGGTATATTTATAACCCAGTAGCAAATATGTATACTCTGGTACTAACGTAAACGTTGATACGAGTAATATCCAGATTCCTTTAGCGGGGTAGTGTTGATAAGGCTACTGGCTACTGGTCAACAACGCGCTATGCTGGCTATTATCAGTGACCAGTCTACACCTGGCCCTTATGTAACATTCGGACACTATTGACCAACAATGCGTAGAACAGGTCGACCTAGTGACTGCCGTGACCCGATTAGGCGAAGGACAGACGCTGACCTGTTGGTATTGTCCATATACACTTTTCCTCACTGTTAATATGTACCAGTATTCTTATCGTACTTCAGTCTTTTATAATTCTATCTATCAACTCATACAAAATGTAACTGTGTCAAAAACGAACAAACGTTGGTTTTCTAATTGGAGGTTTTAACATCAAAAAACCATTATAACAAATGATACAATTAAACTTTTTAAGAAATCCTATTTTTAATTTTAATGAAATACATAAATGCAATTACAATATAATAGATAAGCACATAAATGTCATTAACATTGTTTCCAATGACGATTCATAGAAATTTGGAAGCTCTATATTTTTTCACATCTAACAAAATGTATCCCTTCACTTCAGGGATCAGTTAAATTGACCGAAAACTACAATGGATAGTCAGAATTCTGAAATCAACGTGAGAGTATTGCTGTATAATTCGACAGCGTGAAATTATGAAAAACGTATTAGTATCTTGAGTGGAGTAATATACGCACGTGTACGTCCACTCAGGTCTTTCTCTCTTTTTCCAATTTACACTTTCCGTTCTTTTTAAAAGCAAAAGGCACAAATGGCCCAGCTGCTTGAAACTAGCACAATAAATATATTGAAAACAAAACACAAACTCAAATATTTTAAAACAAAATATGAACAAAACAAAAATTTGTAAGTGAACCCTTAAAACGCTTCAAAAGGTGATTAAGATTTGGTGTTCCCGAAGAGTAAGCGTCTTCTGCTTCATCAACCGCCGTGGTCAATGCACGGTAAGTAATATCACGTTATCAAATGAAAACCAGTTTTCTAAAAAAAACCAACAGGCATACTGAAGAGCAACGATCCACTTCAACTGTATATTACAGACAGAAGTAGAATAGTAAAATTCACGATGAGACCATGATGACGACTGTAAATCCCCCATAGTCTTCAAGTTCATATTTTCCTTTAATTTCTCAACATCTCTCACGGAAATGGAACAAGTTCGTGAATGTGGAATCAACTGCGACATGTTATATGGAAGAATAATATATCTCGAGTACTGTAAGGTTTTCAACATTATTCTATACTATATATGGTTTTAAAAATCCTGTTTGACTTGAAATAAATGCCCTGTACTGCCTTTTATCATGCTTTGTTTTGTTGCGGTATCAGATATCTAAGTCACACCCCGGAACTAGAATCATTTCCATTTGCATGCACATATATCTATTGACGCAAATCTTACTGTTACATATTTCCGTAACATGCATGAGGTGTTGGCCATGATTCATCTGTCAGTGTAAAGGTATATATGTGTTTGAAATGCGGTCAGTAGCTTGATTTAAACAATCGCTTATACACATGACTAGCTGATTACAATAAAACCTCGATAGATCAGATGAACACCGCAGACAGTGTGAATAAGTGATGAAATAGAAGATAATTCCTTTAGCTTTTCTATCTACCTTGATATCAACAGTTGATCCCCGGATTAGGAATGACATAACACTGGTTGCTATCAGATAATACGCCAGTTTATCACAAGATAAACTTCATCCTACAGTAATAGATCTGTTGTGACAATGGTGATTTATGACACAATGTTTGTATTCTGTGGTAGATTATAATGATTTGCAATGACACACTAAAAAGATATGTAACTGAAGTTTTATATCATCGTTAAATTCATAATTCTCTGTCTTATTGTATAAATTCGAATCACGGTTTTGCTCTGCGTTGAAAAAAGTTAATATATTATTTCCATATTTGGCATAAATTACTATTTCCTGTATAAATAAATATACCTGTTTCCAGAGTCAAACACATAATCATAAGTTTGCAATCTGATGCTGTGGTTTTGTCCTGTGTATAATGTACTTTAAGCGTTGTTTCCTTTTGTAGTGTTAATATACATATAATTCGGTGAGAATATCGTTGATGTTTGACTTTATTTACATAAAAATAATCTATATTCGATAATTTAAGATATATTTGATACATTTCGTGAAATAAAAGATTTCTCCTTTCTTTTCTAATTGCAATGATGTTGAAACTAACAATAAATGTGTCAAATTATGTCTGAATCGGAGCACGAGCAAATCCCAAGGTGCAGGACTACAATGAGTTTCTTGAATGCTTTTTCATGTTATTCATTCATGTGTATTGAGTACATCATCAGTCTTAAAGAATGTTTGACTAAAAATCTTTTATGAAACCTTACAGATAATTTCACACAACAAAAACCATGTCATTGACTAGGACAACCTTTTTCAAGTGGTAGATCAAAGGATGATTGGGACTACAGACTCTCGCACCCATTTGGACATGTTTTTTATTTGCATTTATGCATAAATGTCAATACATGCACTGTTCGTATCAATATTGTGGTTTTACAAATATTTACTTTGTACATTGGTCCGTTTACGAACTAATTTTCATCAATTGTGGAATAAGTAACCGATTTATTATCCGGTAATAGCGACCAAACATTGTATATTTACTATTCACATATTTTCTTGGTATCAATTACATAACGTAGTATAATATGATATTTTAAAATTGTTGAAGTCTTTTTGAAAATAAGTGTGTACGGTCTACTAAATGAGAGATATCTCACAAACATACTCGCGCCAATGACAGCATGGATGACCAGTTGTACCCGGTACAACTGGACTCATTTTCGATACTCTTACTGACCTATCCTCAGGTTGACCTAATCTTTGAATAAGGTACTATTCTAACTGTTTACTTTGCTTCTCGAGTTTTATTAAAAGTTAGCTTATCTCCAGACGATAATTATGGTGTCTGGATGTAGGAAGCACTGTACCCCTGTCAGCGACGCCCACTGTTTTTCTTCTATTGTTATTTTTAACTGATGGTGTATTGTACTGATGACAGTCACCAGTGTTAAAGGTGTCACTGGATGTTATCGTTATGCAAGATTTGCGTGTTCTAAGCCAAGGATAAACTAAGCCTTTTCTCTGGCCACGTCTTTATTGTCATAGCAATGCCTTTTCTAGGTGCATGGACGGGTCAAGATTTTAGAAACAGGTCAACTTTGTTTCTGAATAGAGTAACATATCCTACTTACAACTGTGGCTAGGTCCTGTAACGTCAGAATGTTGAGTACAGGTTTAATCTGAAATGTTCGTGTAGGCCACAATGTTAGATGTATAGTGAGGTATAGAATGAGGATAGATAGAGCCATATAATGTTTTAAACTGCATCATATAACTTGTTTTCTTTTTATGACTTGTCAGTGATGCAAAGGGACTAAACTTTGAAACCTACGAAGCGTCTAAGGAAAATCGATCGAAAACTGATCGAAAGAAAAATGTCTAGATGGGGAGTTGCAATATCCCAATAGTTTTTAGATTTCTGATTTTCCTTATAATGTATCTCATAGTTTCAAAAGACGTCGAGTACAAACGCCGTTATAAAAGCAAACGCAATATTCACACCATAAGTACGAGTTGTCCTTTGACAATGGAACGTATGGTTGATTTGTGAACGCCTTGTGAACAGCCAGTGTCATTCAAGTTGCAAGACGGTATGTCATTAAAGTAGCTAGTGGTTACCACATAGAACAACACAGGGAAGGTCCCAAGCATGCCAACCGAAGCAACAGGGAAAAGTGTATTGCCAGAAGCCACAACGACGACAACATAGATAATCCGTTTTTCAGCTTACTGTGAAACACATATCCTCATGGGTATGGGGACATCAAACAACGCAGGATCTGTACCTGAGG